ATGAAATTAAAACATACACTACCTATGTTTTGTGCATTCAATTTTAAGTGTTTGGTGTCCATGGTTTATATATTTTTGAGATTTCTGAAGACATATTTACATGTACAGGGTGACCCAAAAATTGTACCCACATGAAATAGAAAAAAACGTTTTCTTCGATTGAAAAAAATGTAACTTTCACATGATGAAGAGAAATCATTGTCCAATAAACAGTTAAAAATTCATAATAATATGTGAATTACTTACTGAGAAATCTGACCTTTTAGATAACATGCTCTAGATGACATGCTCTAAATGTGTGATGCTACTTTAACAAGTTGTCCTTTTAACAGAGTTACCTGGTGACACTTTCAGATCTTTATGGTTATTAAATTATCTTTCAGATGATCATTATTCAAGACTATTCCTTCCAAAATCAAGAGTTATTCCATGTTTTTATCAGTACAATTTTCTTTGGGACACTCTGTATTCAATTCATCCCTCTGAGTGTTTTGCCATCTATTGAAAGTCCTTAAGGCCATTGAAATATTATTTGTGGCAATATGGTTAATTATTAGAGAGATGTATTAAAAGATTCATGGTATGTCATACACGTTTTTCTTTATAAACCAAGGATTGCTTTGTTTCTGTCTCTGATAAATTAGAGTTGTAGAACAAGACAAAACTTAGATATGCATGATTTTATTTTTTGCCTTGATTCTCTTCAGTGATGAGGTATGGCTACCATGAACTTATTGTGTATAGAATCCTTTCATATAGAGGATAAAATATTGCAGTTATATAAATTACATGTAGACTGTTTTAGCAATGCTCAGGACTGTTTATTCATATTGGGGCTCTCAGGGGGGTTACACTAACCCCCTAAGAGAGCCTCTAAATATTTCATCAACTATCTATTCCAATTGTAGCTTATATTTCTAGTAAAATGTAAATGTAAGTCTGTAAAAAGCATTCCAATTTTCTTCTATCTGTATTTATTATGGCATTTATTGCGTACAATTTGTTTCTGGAGTTTTTTCAAACATTCGATTGATCAGATCAAACATTTGGAAATTGAACTTTATATTGTGACTTGCATCATTTTCCAATGTTTAAGTTCTAAAAATACACCACTTATAAATTGCATGAGTACAATAATTCATTCCTACTTACTCCAGAGTTTGGAGTTTTGATTACAATTTTATGAAGGAAGCAAACTCTGGAACACTATAGTCCAGATACAACAACAATACATGCTGACTGTTACAATTTTTATTTTAGTGCAATTTAGAACCTTTTACTTATTTATTATATGCACATAAATCATTTAAGGTATTCTAAGAATGATTAGATATATATAATAATATATATACATATGTATGTTCCTATAAACATTCCTATCATCTAACCAATGCTAGTCATTACAGTAATAACATGGTTTATGTCATTTGGACTAAACAGGGTGAGCCAAATTTGCTCATATCTTTTATTTTGACAAAAACTAAGGACAATTTTTGGCCCACCCTGCACTTTATTTGACTGTAAACATATCTTATAATTTTATTTTATTTTACAATTATCTGCAATATATACTCTGTTTTGTATTTTGTTTATGAAACATTTACTTATATAGCATTCCAGAATTTTGTGCAATATGGAAATGAATCTCAAGTTATGATATGGGTCACCAGAAATTACATTGTCATGATGGTTATTTTGTCATGATTGTCAATTGTCATGATTGTCAATTGTCATGATTGTCAATTTTTACTGTCAATTTGTCATGATTGTCAATTTTTATTGTCAATTTGTCATGATTGTCAATTTTTAACAATTGACAAACATTCTTCAACCTTAGTATTAGATTTTATTTATTATTTTGTTATATTATGTAAATTACTATGATATTGATTATGTTAATTAATATTTGTAATGTTGATGTGTCTGAATATGAGAAATTAATTGTTCATAAACTCAAATACTCAAGATTTGGTGAAGTGAGTTATGATGAGCAACTATCACCAGATTTTGTCACAAGACAGTTTCATTGATTTTAAGGTGCATAAAGGTCTGTCTATTGTTTATAGGTCTTTGCTATCACTTTGTACACACCATGGTTTGACTGCAAATTGAATTTCAATTTTATACAAACTGAAATACTTGAAACATTATACTTTCTGAAATATCACCAAGGTTCTTCTCATTTTGGGTAAGTGCGCCTCAATTTTGAGAAAATACTCTAATTTTTTCAAGAAAAGTCCTAAATATTTCTCAATTTCCAGTTCTAGGTACTCAATCCTTTGATGGTTATACTATAGCAAGGCCTATTTTTATGTTTCTATGGAGAGTATCCATATATGTCTATGTCTACATCTATGTCTGAAAATCATGGTTGTTTTGTTTTATTTTGTTTTGTAACTGTTGTCTGGGGCAAGTATGTACAATAGTACAGTTTCCATATAGCTTTTGAAATTTCACTAAATATTGTTTTTCGTGAGATTTTAAGAGATTTAAGAGAACTTTTCTGGAAAAAACCTGGGCCAAGTCTCCATTGATGCAATGTATAAATTCTCTAAAAACCTTGGTTTATGAGTTTACCAACCCAAATTTTGATGTTTAATCACAATATATACATTAACAAGGTCATCATATGGTATACCATTCAAGTTTTAGACAGATTCAACTAACGTTTTCGTGAGATTTTAACAGATTTGCATATTAGACCTCTAATGATTTACCTTTCCTTCTTTTTAATGGCATATTTGAATTCAGTGGAAAGTTTTCTTCTAGAATAACTTTGATTTGTATAGCTATGGTATTTAAATAATTTTCCATGACTTCCTAAACTTTCCTGAAAAAAAACGTGTGGACGAGGTTTGAGTACAATTCCAATTATTGTATAACACCAGATCTTTTCTAATATAAGTTTCTACTTTATATTTTACTGTCTGACTTGTACTGTATTTCATTTCTTTTTTCCCAAGAGCATGCGTGTCAGTTCTTTGCAAATTCTGTAGAATTAGGTAGATAAATGAAATAAACAGATAAATAGATATTGAATTGTATGAAAAACTACTGTGCATGTATTATTCATTAACCTCTAAGATTGCCTCTAAGATAAACCTTAGTGTGACTCAAGAATGACAGTAACCTGCTACATGAACTCTGATCAAGGCGACAATATGGTTGCTGTTAGAATGTGACATCATTATTTATTTTGTCTCATCCTGGGGTTCCATCAAACTTCTAAATCAGAGCAATATCAGTGCTTACTCTCTCTGTGTGTGTAAGTCCTCTTTTGAAAATCTTTGGTTACATTTTTATCCTAGTCTTTATGCTTCTCTTCAAGTAGATTTATGGACTGTGATACTGATTTAAAGTGAGAAAAACCAAGATATTCATTCCTCCATCTTATTACGAGAACGATAGTCTATGAGGTTGAAGGCCTATTTCTCTTAATATGTTTTGTAAAATTGATTGTCATTCAGGATACCATAATGATAACTTGAAAGACAATTAGTTTAATGAATTATAACTCATGAGATTTTTGATAGTTTAGCTACAAGCCTCTGTGACTCCTCCTCCCCTCCCACAACTTGACTACGCACCTCACATTTGTGGGGGGGGGGTCACAAGGGCTTGTAGCTTTCATATTCTTAAAAATTAACCTCAAATATTGCATTGTGCTATTTAAGTTAGGAATTGTTTTCTCAAGTTATGTGTATGAAGTGTTAAATGTATTCTTTAGAAAGGATCTGAATCTTTGTAATTAATTGTTGTGGACTATTATGCAATAAATGACAACTAATCATTTTTACTGGAGATTTTGTTTTGTCATTGCTTTGGAAGGGATACTCACATTCCATAAGTTACTTGTACCACGTGCCTTGTACTAAAAGCGTGGATCGTATCTCAACACAAGCTTGACTAAATGACTAAAAAAATTTACTAAAATATACATTTTGCACTTATTCTTCAAAGTATTAACATACTCTATGGGTTCCTGAAAAACTATGGTATAGAATTAAATATAATATGACAAATAAGGTCTTCTGCTTGATGTAGACTACATAATGACATTGTATCATTTCTAACCGATTACTTTGACTCTCAGGAGCTATCAATTCTAGGCTCGGTTTCAAATCTTAACATTTGGGAAGGGGGGGGTTGCCCCCAATGCCCTCCCCCTTCCGACGCCAATGATGAGGCTTGGATGTTGGTGTAGCAACCTTATCTAAGACACAGTACATGTTTATGGGGCTTGTGGACCGCCACATTTGGGTGTGCAACTCCCCACCCGTATATTGCTATGGAAATCAAATTCAAAAGTCCCATTAGGTGGAGAGCAGGCTCTTGAAACATCCCCTAATAACCCACAATTTGTTTGGGAAATCAAGTCAAGTGTAAACCTGTTTATGTCACAATCACAAGTGGTGAAATATTGTTATGGTGTCCAACTTGCTGTAACAAATGGTAGGTGGTGACAGTTAATGCTTTGTTTACTTCTTTTTATTACCAAAACATAGAATACTCCCAGAATACTAAACGTTTTCATCTGTGATATTAGGTGTATTAGTTCAATTAGTGCAATGGGTATACTAAAATAGGTAATCGTGTTTTACATTTCAATTATTGAAATTATTATTATACCTGGAAGAGAAACTAATACAACATGTAAAATATAACAATTAATATAATGTGGTTTACTCATAGTGACTGAAAAAATATATGGCTTTGTACAGTTGTATAATACTTACTGAACACAGACGTTTGCAACATTTTAAACTTTTTTGCCATTGAGAGATGGCGCCCCAATCAATGCTGCATAAATAGTACAACAAGTCCAAGTAGGTTCCAAAGTCTCTAATGACCGTTTGTATTTGCACATACGAAGGCTAGATATTGTACGAGCAAGCTGCTGCAAGTATACAGTTGATATTATCGACACAGTATTAGCTGTATAGGTCCACAGAGAACCATTTAGTGATAGGGTTTTAAGGCCAAGGAAGGAAACAGGACTGATGGTTGCGAAGAGGAAAATCGCAATCCTCGGTGCAGGAGCGAGTGGATTGACAGCAATTAAATGCTGTTTGGATGAAGGGTTAGAGCCAGTATGTTTTGAAAGGTCAGATGATATCGGGGGACTTTGGAGGTACACTGAAGAAGTAATAGATGTAAGGTGAACTTATGTAAGAACGTCTTTGTTTATATGACTGGCCTCATTCTTTTTAGGGACATTTTGCGCCAGGCTCGCTTTTTAGTTAGGTTTATTTTCACGCATGCGTACACGGCCCGGGGTACACGGTAGTCATTAGAACCACTTTCCTATTAGGCCTATAAGATATCTCTGAAAACTATTCAGATACAAATATAATGCATAGTAAAGAATATGTTTCGATTTGTGTAATAAAAACACATCTATCAGAGAAAAACACTTACACAATGATGAATGAAGCCGGGGAATGAAGTCTTCATCTATGCGCATGCTCGAAAAAACAATCAGTAAAAGTGAACCCCCGGGAAGCGAACAAGGCGCACTTTGCCCCTCATTTGTTTATGGAGCAGACTCCCCAAGAGGGGGTACGGAGGTCGTTTTAGTCACTTTTACAAAATTGTTACTTATTACATTTAAATTTAATCGTCATATTTTGTAAGAATCGTTCGTATTAAAGGCAGTCAAACTGTTAAAGCATTTCAATCGTTCAGTCGTTCAATTAAGCATGGTCTTGAATAAAAGCCAATGGAATAAGCCATCTTTAGGGGTCGTTCAAAATAATTTGCGGCTAATAATTTCAAACGGTAACGATGACTCTGTATACATTTTTAAATACTTATATCTGAGGAAACTTGTTTGTTTGACACTCACGCACGTAATAAATAATATCTTATTTGAAATAAAACCATCGGATCAAAGTAAATTTATTCATTTTTCATTTTTTCGAAAATTGCTCTTGCAATGCATATATAGTTTCAATGATGCCGCCCACCACGAACTTATAAAATGTAATCTCTTTTTTTGCAATGTATTCGTTCGTATTTAGGTATTTAATGACTGAAATGGCTGAATGCCGAGTCTGTTTGTTCAATCGTCGTTCAGTTTAATTATATTAAGCATGGTTTCGGATAAAAGTCAATGGAATAAGAAATCTTTACACCTTAGGAAGAGTACAAGCGGGACGAATCGGCTAACATGAACACAATTTCTCTCATTTTAGGATCAGGCATGCGTTGCCAAATCTACGGTGATCAATACCTCAAAAGAGATGATGTGTTATAGTGACTTTCCCATTCCAAAGGAATTTCCAAACTACATGCATAATACGTATGTGATGAAGTACTTCCGTCTTTACGTCGACAAATTTGACCTGGCAAAGCATATCAGGTGAATGATCCATTTTTTACATTACCTCATACTGCAGTTCAATATTTCTACGACGAGTTATAAATTATGAGCTTTGAATTTCAAATGTTGTCACTTCTTGAGAGATTTCAACACCAAAATGCCACGTTTTTTATTTCAGTATCAAACTCAACGTTTTAACTCTCACTCGATTACACAAATTATAATAAAGTAAATGGTTTATTGTGTATTGATTTCAAAAAGCATTTGATAGTTTGAATTGGGATTTTATCAGTGATGGAAATTTTGAAGACTAAATTTAGGTCCAAAATTCATTAAAATGATCAAGACTTTTTACACTGACCCAAAACTGGTAATAAAAAACAATGGACACCCCAAGAGAAATTAAACTACAAAAGGCATACGGCAAGGTTGCCCAGCATCCACTTTGGTATTCAATCTCTATGTCAAATTTTTATCTAAAGCAATCTTGCAAAATGAAAATATAAGTGGTATTGATATAAATGGAAATGTTCTGAGAATAATTCAGCATGCAAATGACACTTATTATGAAAGATGAAAATTCTATTAGTCTGTATTGAAACAATTGAACAATTTTCAAAGGTTTCAGGTTTAAAATTACATTTAGGGAAAACCACGGGCACTTTGCTGGGAAATCTTAAAAAACTCTTAGTTTTGTTAAAATTCAAATGTAAGTCTCTTTATTTTGCCCAAAAACGTTGAAAACACGCAATATGGGCCTTTAATAAGGATGAATCTCAATGTTAAAGGATATCAGCAATACGTAAACAGGTAAAGGTTAACAGATAAATAACGATTAGGATCTAAACGAGGCAATACTACCACACACTTAATCAAATCTTGAAATAAAACTATATCGAAATTTACAGATTCAAAACGACAATCGGGTCTGTGAAAAAAGCAGAGAATTACAGCCAGACTGGCAAATGGGTGCTTGAATTAACAAACTTAAACACAAACGAAGAGACCAACGAAACCTTCGATGCTGTCTTAGTATGTACAGGACATCACGCCGAGAAAAATATTCCAACTTTCCCAGGTTTGGAGAAGTTTAAAGGCAGGGTACTACATAGTCATGAGTACAAACACGTGAGAGGTTATGAAGACAAGAATGTACTTATTGTTGGTATAGGTAACTCAGGTGGTGATGCGGCCGTTGAAATAAGCAGAGTTTCTAAGCAGGTAATAATAAAAACATTTAGGGTAATAAATGGAAACAAAACAACATACATGTAGACCGTATAAATCATAAATCAAGTGTAGAACCAGAGACACACTTCATACTCATTGCGATCGAGTTTTGTCTAAGAGTGAACATTCTAAATTTCGTATGGTTAGCAAGATATCTGAAAATATTATGCATTCTTTTAACATAAACATGCCTTCACCAGAAATAAATCTTTGGTGATTGATGAACAATCAATTTCAGTCATTTTTAGATTGGCTTCATATTTAAAAATACAACTCTCTTCTTTACTATACGAATATTTCACTAAAATGAGGTAAATACATGTGGCTTCACAAGCCTGACGGACTTGTTGAATATCATTTTGTGAAAGTGACAAAGGTATTCATTGCATTTCATTTCATTCATTGCTATTTTGAAATATTTATTGAAAGGTGTATCTGAGTACGCGGAGAGGCGCTTGGATTTTGAACCGAGTTGGGCAAAATGGTGTACCCCTTGATCTGATCTTCACCAATCGCTTCTCAGATGTCCTTAGGAAAGTTGTTCCAACACCTATTCTAATGAGCCTGGCGGAAGGGCAGGTTGAAAGCCGTTTTAACCACGAGAAATATTCATTAAAACCTCAGCATAGAATATTCCAGCAGCATCCAACCGTGAATGACGACCTTCCCAACCGTATCATATGTGGTGCAGTCCAGATTCGCCCTGATATCAAACAATTTACAGAAAATGGCGTTGAGTTTGATGATGGGACCACAATTAATGACTTAGATGTTGTCATATTAGCGACAGGGTATAAATTTGGATTTCCATTTTTGGACAAAGATGTTATTGAGGTGATCGAAAATAAAGTGAATTTGTTCAAGTTCGTCTGGAATCCAGATTTGGAGCACCCTACAATGGCGTTTATAGGATTCTTTCAGCCCTTGGGTGCCATAAATCCTATTGCAGAACTGCAGTGTAGATGGGCAGCGAGTGTTTTTAAGGTATTGAACAAAAATTACAATAATATGATTAAATAGAAAAATACGATAGGTACGCTTTGTGACTTTTTAAATTGAAGAATGTTTATTTACCGATTGTTAGAAAACTACTTTCAGACTTGTTAGGATCGAAATTGAATTGAAGACAATGATAGCTTTTCAATGGATAATTAACAGATGTTATAGAGGAACAATCTAATTCTTGTAAAAACTTCTTGTAAGATGGAAATCAAAGGTTTCCGAAAAGCCTTCATTTTATATGCGATAAGCTATTTTAAATCATGACTGTTATTCTATTATGGTCGTATTTGAAAAGTATAATGCGTAATTTATGGTTTGTCAATTGCTTGACATGTTCGACAAGTTCCAGCTATCTCATTTTGGTAAAACATTACTGATTACATTGTTACAATATGACCTTTCCAACGGTACACCCAATGTGTGACTTGCTATTTTAATCACAAATTAAAACGTGGGAAGCAATGAAAAATAATTTTAATCATACATATTTCTTAAATGAAGGGTGACCTCAAACTTCCTTCCAAAGGGCTCATGTGGGCCGATATCAAAAGGAAACAGGGTGAAATGGCAGAGAGGTACTACAATTCAAAACGCCACACCATACAAGTAGACTTTGTGTCATTCATGGATGAATTGGCAGAACAAATTGGATGCAAACCGGATATATGTAAGTCTTTTACTAGGATTGAAATCGGCAACGTCACGTCCATGTTATGAGTGAAACTGATATATACAGAAGCGCTAAAGAATTGTATTGAGTGTCTTCTTATTTTAGTATTTTTTGTTACCATGACAACGAACTTTGATACTAGTCAAGTACATTTTGCATTATTTAGCAATTTCTTAACGATATTGTCATAAAAATATGTTTTCTTTTAAAATATGAATGATTTTTATATATATAAATCTAGTTGATATATATTTTATCTTAGGGAAATTGTTTAAAGAAGATCCTAGGCTGGCTCTAAAATGTTTGTTTGGTCCATGCATGCCCTATCAATACCGACTGGTTGGACGAAATTCATGGCCGGGAGCCAAAGTGGCCATTCAGACATTGTGGGAAAGAGTCGATGCTCCGCTGAAGACACGCCCTACTGGGAACAAACCGACATCAGGGACAACAAGATTTATATTCCAGTGCTTCCTAGTGTTAATTATAGCATACATTTTCAAAATCATCTTTGGGTTCTGAGTGAAAGTGAAACTGTGAATGCAGTTTTCTTCTCAACTGGACTAGTTTTATGCTTTCAAAATAATGTAATGTCTAGTATACTAGTAGTAGTATGTCTAGTATATCCCTACACTGACTATTAAATATCGAAGATACGTTTAAGAATAAAATGAAATGTAAAGAAGATACAACAAAATAGTGGTATGCAATATGGTATTCTTTTCATTCCTTAAAGCTTGTTAAAAGGATGTTTTTCTTCAGTTTATAACTAGACTCTGCAGGCAGGGTTCAGTAATGACAGAGATATGGCAGTGTATAAAAGGACAACAATCCATACATCTAGTCATGCCAAAATTAAAAAAAAGATTCAGAGAACAATAATCCTGGTTGGGTGGCAATTTTTACGTTTTCTAATGTTCATATTGTACATATAACAACTATTGAAAGGGCAATGGTATGAGAATAGTGTAAAACAACATTGATTATTGATTTGCACAATCATGTCTCTTACTGTATATGGTAACTGTGAGATCCACAAATGTCAACTTTCCAGGAGCATATTCATAAAATAAAGCAAGAATTAATTAGAGAACAATCTTGCAGTGTTCTGTACTTCTACATATAAACCACTTCATCTCTGCATGCAGATTAGGTGGCATTTTGGTGTTAGTTCTCCCTTGATTGCAATTCCTTGGTTATTATAATTTTCTGTACTAGTAACCCTCATTAGACCAAGTAATACTATAGTCTGGGTATTTTTTCTTTAATAAGTCTGACGTTATTGAATGGTCCGCCCTTCCAAATCCCTGGAAGCAAAGAAAAATTGGTAAAACACATGACATAAACATAAACATAGATTTGATCAAGGAATACTGTGTCTTGACTAGAAGAGTTCTCTAATGTATTGCTTTTAATCATTTTTGAAATATTTTTTATAACTTGTGAAAATGTTTATTTTTATAATTTTAATCATTTCTTTTAAAAATAGACACACACTTTCTGCTTAGCAACAGTACACACTATATCAATCAAAGGTCAATGACAATAAAGTGGGCAACATCACAATCACATCACCATCATAATGGCAGATGGCTATATCTCACCGTGACCTATCAATGCTAACCTGGGAATATCCATATGCTTTTAATGTTTTATTTTTTGGTGAGTGATCTATCCTTCCACCTCCCACACATTCACATTCAAGACCATTCTTTTCTACAACCGGGAGCACGTTATCATATATATCAGCTGAAATTACAAAAGAATTTATTTTTAATTTAATGCATATGACAGATGACTTTATTTGGTACAAAAAACCAGTTAAGATGTAACTTCAGTAAAACCTGTATATAGCAAACACCTACGAAGCCACAAAAATGTTCACTGCAGGCAGGTGTCCACTACAGTACAAACAGGGGATTTTAGAGGTGTCCATGTAAAATGTGTTTTAAAGTGGTGTTCACTTACACAGGTGTTCACTAGAGAGAAGTGTCTGATAAGACAGGCTTTACAAGTTTACAGTGCAGTACAGTTTATCCACAAATAGCCTAAAATGGTATCAAAGGAAGTCTTTATCCAAGATTTAAGCCGAATATTTTTAAATCTGAAGAACCCTTTAGGAATTTTTTGAACTTACCATGGAAACCAGCAGCTCTGAATCCCCTCACAATATACTTGTAAACATCTGCATCAGTAACATTAGCATCATACACCTAAATACAATGAACAGATGAATTAATGTTGTATTTTGCATATGCAAGTAAAAATCAGTATTATGCATTATGTACATTGCTTTATCGTATGATCTGTAAAATGAAGCCCTCAGATTGGTCAGTTCTTGTGCTGTACCAATCTGTATTGCAACTGAGATTGTCCCCATTGATCATCTCCATCGCAATACAGAAAATATTGGTACAGATGGGACAATCTCAGTAGCAATACAGAGGATCACACGATAAAACCGTTATTTCATGATTTGAAGTGCAATACAGGATATATTCTGTCTCGATATTCTGTATTGGCACTCGACTTTGTCTCGTTCCAATACAGAATTTCTCAAGCAAAATATATCCTGTATTGCACTTCAAATCATTCAATAACTTATAGTACAGTTCATGTACAGAGCATGAACCACCATATCATCTGCAGTAAAACCTGTTTTAGTGAACACCCCTCTCTCTCATGAACACCTGCGTTGAGTGAACACCACTTATAAATACATTTTACATTGACTGTTGTATAAAACCCCTTCTCTGTAGTGAACACCTACCTGCAGTGGCTCCTTTGATGTTCACTATATACAGGTTTTACTGTACATGTATTCTCTCATACAATTTTAACTATCACATATTAGAAATATAAGAATTGTATTTTTCAATTACTGACACATGCATCAATGATACTTCTATTACAGTGGTGTAACCATTATGGACTACGTTAGTTCATAGACACATGGTTGATAATAAGCATCAATAACTGAAACGTAATATGTAAAACATTATGAAGTATAAATATGTCATCCTTTTGCTAACCTTTATAAGGATGTATTTGTAGCGCCCTTCACATTCCTCTATATCAACATCAGGTACTGATGAGAATCTTTCATTGTCTTGTTGTGCCATAACCACACCTGAAACAAGACACACAGTGATAAATATCGCACTTTGAAGAGCAAACTGGCCACCATGCAATTTACCCAGCATGGCCAAAACCTAATCAGACCTTGGCACTAGTCTGCTCTTGCATCTGTAAACATTTCAAGTTGACAAGGTTAGCGGTTTTCCTGCAATTTTGATGACAAGAATTTATTTGTAGTCTCGAACTTTGGGAAAATTTAGATAACATCGTTTGTGACCTAATTTGATGACCTTCGACCTTGAAAATTTAATTTTTTCAGACCTCAGTAGGTGTTTTGTAATTAAGCTGACCTAAATTTAAATCCAAAATATCAATTTAGAAAATCAACTTTTTTGACCTTTTCAAGGTCACTGAAGGTGAATGAAAGGTCAAATCTGAAATCTAAGGTCAGATTTGAACTTCTGAGAACTTGTAGATGTTTTTAAAAAAAAAATTTGGTCAATTTGGAGCAAGTTGAAAATTCAAAATGGCCGCCAAATTGAAAAAAATCAAAATGGCCACCATGTAATTCAGCCAGCATACCCAAAACCTAATCAGATCTTGGCAATAGTCTGCTCTTGCATCTGTAAAAATTTCAAGTTGAACGGATAAGTGGTTTTCCTGGAATTTTGATGACAAGATTTGTTGAAAAATTCAAAATGGCCACCACGTAGTTTACCCAGCATGCCCTAAACCTAATCAGATCTTGGCACTAGTCTGCTATTGCATGTGTAAAAATTTCAAGTTGAACAGGCTAGCGGTTTTCTTGGAATTTTGATGACAAGAATTGATTTGTAGTCTCAAACTTTGAGAAACTTGGATAACATCATTTGTGACCTAGTTTAATGACCTTGACCTTCGACCTTGAAAATTTAACTTTTTCAGACCTCAGTAGGTGTTTTGTAATCAAGCTGACCTAAATTTAAATCCAAAATATCAATTTAGAAAATCAACTTTTTTGACCTTTTCAAGGTCACTGAAGGTGAATGAAAGGTCAAATCTGAAATCTAAGGTCAGATTTGAACTTCTGAGAACTTGTAGATGTTTTTAAAAAAAAAATTGGTCAATTTGGAGCAAGTTGAAAAATTCAAAATGGCCGCCAAATTGAAAAATTCAAAATGGCCACCATGTAATTCAGCCAGCATACCCAAAACCTAATCAGATCTTGGTAATAGTCTGCTCTTGCATCTGTAAAAATTTCAAGTTGAACGGATAAGTAGTTTTCCTGGAATTTTGATGACAAGATTTGTTGAAAAATTCAAAATGGCCGCCACGTAGTTCACCCAGCATGCCCTTAACCTAATCAGATCTTGGTACTAGTCTGCTCTTGCATCTGTAAAAATTTCAAGTTGAACAGGTAAGCAGTTATCCTGGAAATTTGATGACAAGATTTGGTTTATGTCCCGCCCGCCCGCACGCCCGCCCGCCCGCACGCCCGCCCAACAGCACAAGACGACGGCAATATAGCACTTTTTCAAAGTGCGATAATAATAAAGTATGTGTTCTTTAGTATGTGTTTCCAGTGATTAACAGTTACAATGTATGTGTCCAAGGAGGATTGAATCCCAGGATTCCATCTCAAAATTCTGCCATATATGGAAATGTTGGGATTACAAAATTGGAATTTTGCTTACTTCAAAATTTGAATTATGAGTTTTGGTGTTATTTCCAAACAAAAAATTCCAATCACACAAGAAGTGATAGAGATATTGGTTCAAATCTTTTGGACTGTTCATTATGAATTCGTAGTCAGTTATAATGTCAGAAAATAGCGACTTTCTGACATTTTCATTGTTAGAAAATATTGAGTTGGGTCCCTTGGTTCACCTTGCTTAAAGTCACTGCATATGGCAAAATATTTCTGTGTTTGGAATAACCGAAAAAAAGACCACGTGCAGTATGGCAAGTGATTTTAGACAGTCATATCTTTCACCATGAGTACTTTCTGGCCATAAATACAGTGGCTTTTATTAAAACAATATGATTTCTTTCAAGTGAAGTCCCCATGATAGTAAAATATCAATCCAACTCTCTGAATTTTTTGGGATTAGGGCCCCACCTTGGCACTTTATGAGACTCATGGGTATACCATTGGCTCTAGAAACTTTAGTAATTTGACACCAGTTTCTAATTTACCTCACTGACCTTTTGTTTCTCATTTTCTCTCAAAATCAGGATATTTGGGAAATGAGCAGAGAAATTTTGTAGGGAATTCCAATCCCAAAATATAACAAGTGACAACTTAAACTGCATCCGAAGGGGACACACAACTTCACATGGACCAACTTTAGCACATGATTTGATGTGATTGCGGTGCAATACAACCTTTTTGACCTGCCTCCATCTGTCAAAATCAGAGTGACAATTTTTGACATTTTCTATAGATGGCGTATTCAGGTGAGATCTTTTGATTTTCGTGGGGAGTTTTGTTTCAAACTTTTTTGACTGACAGAGGACATACTGGGGTATGATGGCATGATATCAAAACATGTCCACAAATCTTTGTTTTCTTTGAAAGACAAATCATTTAGATGGGAATACACGAGACACATATTAACTTATAGCATTTGGTTATGTTAGCACCCGAAATGCACAGTATCAACACCTGATATACAGTGGGGAACATAAAGAACTACTATAGCTATGAAAAATACATGCTGTTGCACATGTAATAAATTCTTACCTCAGTGTATTCAGTGCTCTATTTTCTCCGTCCTAGTAAGTTCAAATATAGTGGAATTTTTCTCCATAATGACAAATAGGAAGTGGAATAGGAATAGGACAAATTTGAAGTGGATATTCACATGTTAATGTGATCTTCAAATGTTGAGGCGATTTTGGAGCCTGATTACGCCGCAAGGAGGATTGGCTCCCAGAATGCAACATGACACGTGTCAGCTTTCAAAATACCATTACGCCATTTTGAAATCTGTCACGAGTAAATAAGGATGACTGATGTTGCATTCTAGGAGTCAATCCTCCTTGGATCATAAACATGACGATTCATGAAAACATTCGTTCGATTTGGTAGGAATTTATCCATCTATGGAGCTTTGGATTCATTTATTGTGCTACTTAAAGTGAACGGGAATTATTTTTCTACTGCTTGGGAGAGTTTGAGACACAAAACTTAGAATTTAGCGCATTGATTGTGATAGACGGTGAACACCGCCTCTAATGCGTTGGATTGTCGTAAGGACTTGCATTAGACGATCCTCAGAGACCCAGAGGGTGAATGAATGCACCTATGATTGTGACAACTTTTGATTGTTGAGGTTTATTATGTCTTCGACTTTATATTGCCAAACCTGGAATAATGAGCGTCTATTCTTTAGGTAGGTCTAAGTCTAGTCTGGGCATTATTCTTCCAGGTTGGGCCACCAATCGATGTCAGATCTTGATACAACTTTACAAGTTCCTGTGCTGTTCATGTGTAACTGAGTTTTTTTGTTTTTTATACAGATCTTATATCCCTCTGAATTGTAGAATTAGCAGTCATAAATACAAAATATATTTAAATTGTATATAGGAAAATCCCTTGGCCATGCATAGAACAATAGCAAAGGCTTATCAAACATGAAAAATGCAATAAATAAATAAATTACCTGAAAATAAAACTTTTGAAGAGAAGGGTTTCCCTATATTCCGAAAACGAGGTTGGGAAATTCCCTGGGGACCGTTCATTCAGTGCGAATAAAGTTTACACTGAACTGCATTCTTTATTCATGTAATTTATTTCATTGCATTTTTCAAAGTAGTACGTATATTTAACATGCATTTTACCCAGGTAAAAGTCTCTTAGCTGACAAACAAAAATACGGGTGTCGCTAGTAAAACATTTTGAGCTGATAAACAATGATTATCCGCTTGGCATTGTGGGAAAATATTGCCGCCATATTTGAATAGAAAACAAATTGTTCAAATATCCATCTATTTTGCATTTATTTATGCCTAAATTGACTTCTAGCCATACAAATCAAAACAGAGAGACTGTGTAATGACAAAATGTGATATCATTGATAGTATTTATGACTGTCAAAATGGATAAAAACTGTAATCAATCGATTGTAAAAGTAGATGAAACAAGTTCAAAACTAGAAAGTGAAATCGAAAGTGAAATATTTTCCACTCCAAAGCTAAACAAAGTGATTAAATCCACGTCAAAAAGGATTTCATCCTACAAAAAACTTACTGATACCTTCAAGTCTCCTGTAAGTATGACTTAAATCTGGGAATACAGTGAATATCAAAATACCACCTGAATGCTAGTCTATGTACTTTGGAACGGATTTGTGCTTACAGCTGTAGGCTACATGTACCTAATCCCTAACGAAACTCGTCTGGCCCAGATATCTACTCCCCGATTCTGAAATGTCGTAGATCTATGACTTCAGGAGTAGATAACTGGACTAACGGGTTTGGTTACCTAATCCCGTGCCAGGACTATAGACTATAGTCCTGGCACGGGATAAAGGCTACCCTTTGCAGTCGTTAGACTTTGCTTCTCAAAAGAGAGCTTCATCTTTACTCTTTCAGTTTTCAATAAATTGCTGAACTCGCCGCACTAATCAGAGTTCGTTGTCGAGATAAGGACGACTTTCTATATATGGTCATTTTCTCTAAGATAATGCATAATTATTGTGCACGCATAAGCACTTGTTCCTTCCAGCTCAGTGATTGGTTGAGAATATGTCATCACGGTAGGTATGAAATGATTTATGGTCCGAGCTGTCACGGGCATCGGTCGTGGGGGCGGGGCTGCTAAACTGTAATATAGTCTATACTAGGCAGAAGGTAGTTTATATCCTGTCAATCACTCTGACAATAAATTAAGCAACTAACGTCATTGTACGGTACTTGTAAACTGTGTAAAATATAAATACTTGTGACTTCTCTCACAGGTTCTTGGTAAAAGTGGTAAAGTTTAAATATCAAATGGTAGTCTACACTTTGGAGGCTTGTCTACTTAGTGCTTGACAAGTCAATTGGTTACTATGTTAGGGGAAAATGTGCAAATTTGAAAGTTGGTAACCCTGCTAGGAATGTTAGGTATCCGGCATTGTGGGTCATATCCACTCTACAGTAGCACCAGGCGGATATAGTCGAGTGTAAAATTGAAGTGCCTTGCCACATTGTCTAACATGAAAAACATGAAATTTACCATATTATAGAACAAAGTCAATTTTAAGTAGCCTACATGTACTTTCATAAATATGTAACTTTCTTTTTAAAGATTTTCATTCATAAGAAAACTTATAATTAATCATCGGTGGCAACACTGGCGAGTGCAATTTTTCATTGGCGATTCATTTCACAAGTCGATTGCCACTTGTTGAGTAATAGAAAAATCCTAAGACCCACACTGTCCGGTCACCCAGTTTTTTACGCAAACCCACTTTGGAAATAGAAATGTTAAGAAGTAGGCGTACAGTGTACAATAAGCAAATACAGTGTATATGTAATTACCCTCAATTGCAAGTCACTGCTACAGCCCAGATGTACCAGCTAGCCCCTATTGGCTAAAGAGGTAGAGGTCAGAATTTGGAGTACCCCCATAAATGTGGCATTTATTATTTAAATCACCTCTCACAACTACTTCTGAATTGAAATATTAGGGTTGAAAATAAGCTGGATGAATGATTATTTAGATGAAATTCAGCGTTGACTACTGACAATGATTTCCAACCCCAAGTTTTCAATACACAAGTAGTTCTGTTGTGGGGGGGGGGGGTGATATGAAAAATCAACCTCGCATTTGTGGGGGTAACTTTGGAGGGAAGGATCCTGGGTTCGATTCCTGCACAGGGCATTGAATTTAGCACACTCTCTTTCATGTCTAGTACTGGTATCTTGCTTGTTACACTACAGCTCCCTGGATGTGTGCCCATGGGTTGTTACATTGGTGTCAGACGTGGGATTTATCCTTGGGTATACTCAGTTACGATGGGACATCGTCTTTTAGGAGGATGGTGCAATGTCCCTTGATAGCAAGTTACTACTACAGCCCAGTGTAGCAGCTAGCCCCTATTGGTCAAAGTGGTGGAGCTTCAGACTTGGGAGCAGAGGGCCTGGGTTCAATTCCTGTATGGACCATTGTACTTAGCACATTCCCTTTCATGTCTAGTATCTGGTTCATTCATTACACTACAGCTCCCATGGGTCGTTACATATACACTAAATTGCATCTTAGGCTAAGCCTCCAACTCTCCTAAACATAATGATCAACAAATCAAGTTGTCTGTCTGGCCAAATGTCTCATCCTAGACTCACCTCTTTCAACAGTTCAAAGGCTGACTGAGCTGATAGTACATTCTGTTCTATCAGATCAGTCAGCCTTTGAAAGAGGTAACCCTTAGATCATTTAACCCCTGGTCCCCACATTTGCCAGGGATAGATTCTTAACATACAAGGACTGGGCACCAAGGTCAAAGCATTCATTCCAGAAATTACCCGCATTTCTGTTTACAAAGGGCACCTCATGTACTTAAGGTCATGTGGGAGACATGGATCAACACTGTTAAGGTCACACAAAGTCAAAGTTCAATCCAATCACACCTGAAAGGTCAAATGCTTAATCAAGGTCATTCTCAAGGTCAATGTGCAAGTGTATTTGAATTGCAGTTTAAAGCTCAAAGAAAACTGGAAAACAAATTGTGCTACAAATAATCTAAATATTATAAAGATAAACTGTGTATGCATGTATATCTTATTGAATTTATTTGTGGAAAACTGTATTAATTGTATTTCAGGTAGTAAAACAAACTAATGAAAAGAGGACTGGCCAAACTGCAGATTCTTTGCAGTCAGAGATTGATGAATTGTTGAGAAAAGAGAATGAACTGGATACAGAAATAAATCTGCTTGAACAACAGTATGTATCTTATACAGTTATAATGTATAGTTGTTTTTAATGTCATTTGTCACCATTCAGAAAAGTAGTTTATTCACAATCTCATGGCTGTTATGGACTCCACTGTTTCATGTATCTCTAGCCAGGCGTATAGGCATGTTTGAGGTATTGAGGTATACCTCACAATTTTTTTCAGAAAAATATTGATTTAAACATGTTGTTTCATTTTTGCGTCATGAAGTAGATTGTGAGATTATATTGTTATAGCAACCATTTTTGACTAGTCTTTTGTGTTGGTGTTTGCTAAAAAATATTTTCTTCGTCCTAGATTAGGCCTTCAAGGGGAGCTAATTGGATAATTCATTATGTTACATTCTTCTAATTCAATAGAATAACTGAGTACAATGCTGTATTGTGATAAGTAAAATCATGTCACATGATAAGTATGCTTGTTGCATTTCAGAGATCTCCATGAGGATGAACTAGCTAATCATATAACCATGCTGCATAAATACAATGAAATGAAAGATATTGGACAGATGCTGTTAGGACGTATTGGTAAGGTATAACACCAAATACATAGAGGATATCCTATCATTTTTGAGGGATACCATTTTTATCCATGAGTGGATATCACCCATTTCCAAGAGTGAGTGCAGCGAATGAGTGGAGATCGGCGATATCCAAAAATGGATAAAAATGATAGTCTGAGAAAATCATAGGATATCATATTTATCCTAAGGTTGCATGCTATTTTTGTATGGACTTGAAATAATTTGACTTAAAAGTTGTTGTTTTCTCATTCTTTTCTATTTTTCATTTTAATTTTTGTCTTATGTCGTTATCCCCATATATATTTAGCCGGATAGAATACAAAACTTGCATAAATATTTACATAATATGACATTCATTAATTGAATGGGACCGAAGAGATGAATTTGGGGCGGTAAAAAAGACAGTTCCTAGTCATGCTATCTAAATACTAATAAAGTATGTGTCATATTTTCCAAAGCTTTAGTCTCGGCAGCAGTACTGCATGATTTTCCTACTTTCTATTAGGTAATAGGATGAAATAGCTTTCCACACATAAAACACATGATAATATATGCATACCGGTGTTAGTGAAGTGTATATTGTCACTAATCACTATACACAGTATATATTCTGCAGAATTTTGGGTTATTGTATCCTCAAATGAAGGCACATTTGTATATGACATGAGCATTGTCAGGGAGGTGTGATGTGTGTGATTGTCTCAATTTGTTGAAAAAACAATAACAAATTATAGTTTGAAATGCCTAACATGCACCCTATTCATGTAAAGGAAGACGGAAAGTATTGCAACAGATTTGGGACAGTCATATGTTGGGTTTTGGCTATTTTCTGAGGGTATAAACAGGTGCATACATTAGGCCAAAGCATTACCTCCAGGAAAAGCACTCATAGAGATGATAAAATAATTTGGTCTTTGAGACAGGGAAGGTGCAAACATCCCAAATACATGTTTTTCTGAAAATGTCCCGATTTTCAACCCCTTTCACCCCTGCTTTTCAATTTTTGTTGCATCAATATGTTGTGTTTTGAAACACATTTACACATTTTAAAGGAACAAGTAATTCCTTCAGGGGTTTTAAAGATATCCATTTTGGGTGACCAAAATTAAGCTGAAGGTAATGGATCGCATGAGTTTTCCCTATGGGAAAATAAGATGGGAAATATTATTTTCCTCTTTATTACTTATTCATTTAAAGGGGTTACCTGTGTCTCAAAATCCTGGTGTTAGGAGTTTTGCAGTTGGCATTAACATGGCATCTGTAACAAATGGCAGGTGGTGACATTTTGCATGTTGATGCATGTAATGTTATAATAGTTTCCAACTTTTTATGAATGGTGGTTGGTGTCTGTAACTAATGACATGGCATCTGTAGCAAATGGCAGGTGGTGACATTTTACCTTGTTTACCTTTGAAACCCTGTCTAATATCAACTACCTTACCTCGGATTTTGTTGTTTTTCCAATTTTCATTTTGAGCCAGAAATTCATAAAACCAGAACTTGTCTAAGCAATGTCCCCAAACCAAAGCTACATATGCATTTTGTGTTCAATAAATGCAATTTTGTCTACAGCTCATCAACAAGGAACAACAACGAAAGATTTATATGAAAGGTACAACATAGATCTAAATGATGACTAACAAAAAGGCAAAATTGAAAACCAGGCACCACTTTTAATGTAAGTAAGTACCCTTGTATTTTATGATAAGCTTCAATGGAAATTGCTGTACATGTAATCAGTCACCTTTCACTAGATTTGACCTTTAGTGACCTCCTCAAGGTCAAAAGGTCTTTTTGGCTCACACAGTGAGCCTATGGGATCGACCAGGCGTCCGTCCGTCCATTGGTCCATCCGTCAACATTGGCCGCAAAATTAAAACTGCTATTCGGATTGATTCATATCCACATTCATTTTATGGATATCCATAATATGCCTATTTGACCTATCATCGCCATTTCCCAAGTTCGCCCAGTTTCCGAGAAATTGCTGATTTTGACGTCAAAACATCTTCTGTAAATACTTGACACTTTGTTGAAGTAGGACTTTCAAATAACTTGAAGTAGTTGCTGCATATGCAACTTAATTGTTCTGTGAAGATTTAAAAGCTCTTGAAATTACAGTTTTTGGTGTTTACTCTATAAAATTTGACAAAAAGTAGGACTGTAATTTTCAGGGAACTTTCTCATGTATAAAGTCAATCATCATTGGCTGCACAAAACACTGTGTGAGCTCAGGACCGTGGGTCCTATATTTTACTATATTTTATTGGTTGAACTGGCAGGTCATCATTGCGTCATCACTGTTATAGTTATAATCACATATTCATCATATATATATATATATGTTACAAACATGCAGTACAGGCTTTAAGGTACAGCTGGAAAATAACATTTTTGTAAAAAATTGCTATAAATGCACATGTTATTTTCTGGTACAAAATAAAGTATGAAGGCATATATCAATTTCCTTGCTTTTTTCAGGAAAGTATCATTACATTGTCTTCTTTTAGAATAACTGGTAGGAGTTCAATGGTAACTCCAGAAAATTCTGATATTTCACACTATCTATTTTTCAAAATTTTCTTTCAAAGTTTCCAGACAACACAGGAGCTACTATTGACCTGTTTTCAGGTTTACTAAAAGTAGACAGTGTAATGATACTTTCCTGAAAAAAGCAAGGAAATACACAAATACACACATGCCTTCATACTTAATTTTGTACCAGAAAATAACATGTGCAGCAATTTTTTATCAAAATGTTACTTTCCAGCTGAACCTTAAGCATATACCCTATATTGACCAAATATTGGTCATCGTTGTATCACACTTTATGTATAATATACTTAGTCATCATGTAATATTATTGGCCTATATTGCACTATTGCTTGTCTACTATTTCCTCCATTATTGCACTAGATACTATTCCTTGTCCAGGAACAGTTGTATTTTATGTCCGAGGTATAGCTTATTCTTGTCCAGGTATTTCATTTTGAGGTCATACCTACAGGTAGGGATATTATTTTCAGGTGTATCATGTTCAGGTAAAAAAGTTCACAGGTGTACTAAATTTCAGGCACATGTGTTTTATCATGTTCAGGTATTTTCTAGGTGAGCATGTTCAGGTGTATCATTTTCAGGTATATTTTGGGAGTCATGTTCAGGTGTATCATTTTCAGGTATATTTTGGGTATCATTTTCAGGTATATTTTTGGTTCCATGTTCAGGTGTATCCTGTTCAGGTATGTCGGTAACATCTATTTCTTGTACAGGTATATTACATGAGCCAGGTCCACTGTTGGGCTGTAATTTAAATCCTCTCCTGAAACATAATTAATACTTCATTCATATGCTAGAATAACTTTTAATAATGTCTTTTATCACAATCTTTCGAATTCTTCAAAATATAATGTTTTGATATAATATATAATATAAAAATATTGCTTAATTAACTTTAATGCTTTCGAAGTAATTTCATTTTGATGAGATGTAAGACAAATTTGGAAGTAGTGAATCTCCGTAATGAGGGCTGATGACACCACCACCTTTCATGTCATAGGACAAATGCTGTATACTGTATAGGATATATTGTGTTGTGATTTTAGGATAAAGCTTTCATATTTATAAGGGAAATTTCTCATTTCTGAAATGGAGCTAGAATTGTGATGATTTTGATGTATTGATATATTACTTTACACAAATACTTATATATCTCAAAGTGACAATATACGAGTATCTCAAAATCAACACAGTGTTACGAGGGGTGATCAATAAGTAATGGACGCTTTTTTACACAGATGCTTTTTATAGACCAATTCCTTCGATTTTCTTACCTGTGATACATCATTCAATTATGTATCAACTCTGAAGATTTGAAGACAAAATATATAATACATGTTGATATATCCCCATTTCCGTGAAGGAGGTACAGGTACCCCGGGACCGACATTTACGTCACATATTCTGAAGCTATTTTAGCTTGTTTAACATGAAATGCAGTTGAATGCAGGCTGAACAAAACAAACCATTATGGTCATGAATTACCCCATTTTGTTATGCCATAGTTGATTTTGAATATTTTATCATCACTATGTGGTATTCATGCCACATTCATTCCACAAGGCCCTCTAAATAGGTTCCATCAAGTGCTACATGTACACAATTCCCCATCCCCTTAACTCAAGATTGTGAGACAAGGCTGAATCCATTCTCTGACATGGTAGCAAGATGCAGTTGCACGGGTTGTTTTATTTAATCAATGTTAATAAACCTGCGTCCTTTCTCTATAAAATAAGTAATATAGAAATAAACAAGTCACATGTGAGTAGATGTTGACAATACAGTGCATTGGCCAAGGGTCAATTTTGAGGTCCAGGGATATTGTTTTCTGAACATTTAGAGATCTGTGGGCAGGTGCATTGTCCATATGGAGTAGGGTGTTCCCTTCTCTCACCACCCCTTTCTTCCACAATGCTTTCTCAAATTGATCTGCAGACCCCTTCCATACAACACTCTGACATTACAATACTTTCTCTTTATGTGTTACCAGTCAGCAAAAAATTTCAAACAATACAACACGTGTTGCATATAAAAAGTTCAAATCTCACTCAAATTTACCAATCTGGCTAAAAACTGAATATGTGACATAAATGTCGGTCCCGGGATACCTGTACCTCCTTCATGGAAATAAAGATATATCAACATGTATTATATATTTTGTCTTCAAATCTTCAGAGTTGATAGATAATTGAATGATGTATCACTGGTAGGAAAATCAAAGGGATCGGTCAATAAAAAGTGTCTGTGTAAAAAAGCGTCCATTACTTATTGATCACCCCTCGTACATCACAAATCACAGCAATCGTTTGGCAGCTTTCTTTACCTTATAGAGCGACATCTCTGCTCCTCAAAGCGTGAACCAGCTTTCTCAGGATCTATCAGATCTTTGGAGCTCCAAAGTTTTTCAGCAGTGGCTTGACCCCTTGGCCTGGAAAATTGAAAATTAACAGTAATAAGCTGATAATGCTTTTATGATAGGGCAGAGGCATAAATAAATTGGGTTGAAATTTTAAAAATATGTTGTACATTTTTCTCATCTTGAAGCTTTCATGTTGCTCATCACAACCAAAAACCTAATGGTGTATAATTAATGGCAAAATCAATATATGTGTTTGGGAAGATAGAAAGTTTTTATGTTGTCATGAAAGGTTTTATGTTGTCACGAAAGCTTAACTCATAAACTTACCAGACTGATGGTATAAGGTTGTTGTCATCTATGTATTCACCCCACATACAAGCCTCTCCCCCTAATACATGCTCTTTCATTTCTAATGTCCCTGAAATATACAAGTATTCATTTGAGATTGTATTACATCTGTTTGTTCTCCCCACATACAAGCCTCTCCCCCCAATACATGCTCTTTCATCTCTAATGTCCCTAAAATATACAAATATTCATTTGAGATTGTATTACATCTATTTGCTCTCCCCACATACAAGCCTCTCCCCTTAATACATGCTCCTTCATCTCTAATGTCCCTAAAATATACCAGTATTCGTTTGAGATTGTATTACATCTATTTTCTCTCCCCACATACAAGCCTCTCCCCCCTAATACATGCTCCTTCATTTCTAATGTCCCTGAAGTATACAAGTATTCATTTGAGATTGTATTACATCTATTTTCTCTCCCCACATACAAGCCTCTCCCCCCTAATACATGCTCTTTCATTTCTAATGTCCCTAAAATATACCAGTATTCATTTAAGATTGTATTACTGTATTTGCTCTCCCCACATACAAGCCTCTCCCCTAACAATCTCCCCCTGAAATATAACAGAGTTAGATTTTAGTATAAATTGCAATATTCATGGAACTTTAAGTACAGAAACCAAACGAATGGTATTGAGTCATTGGAATATGTTGAGGTTGTGAAACAAATCTGTATCAGTATGTTGATTGTACTTCTCTTATATGTTACCAGGGAATAATACCGGTAACATCCATCCTGAATTAGGCATTTTAGCCTAAGAATCCTTCCTTATAACATCTCTACCTTCAAGAGGATTAGTGAATATCATTAGCTGTCATTGTGTAACATTGCTCAATTTTGACCAAATCAAACTTTTTGCAAAATTTTAGAGCACCTGAGAAAAGAGTATTAACCAGAGAAGCCAAACTCACACTGACACCCTAAGAATCCTACATAATAATAGCCATATACCTTCAAAATCTCTTGGATCACTGTTGTACATTTCCATCCAATCCGGGCCATATTTAATTGTATCCAGATACCAATGAGCAGATGTTATAGCATATAGTCCATGAGATGTTATCTCCTCTAGTTTGTAGTTATCACTCTTCCATACTTGGATTATAGTGCTGTTGTCCAATGGCACATCATTGTCATATACATCTTCCCATACTATTTTACCCTTTTTGTGGTCTATTGTTGTCCATATGTTTAAAAGACTGAAAGTAAATCAATAAGTTATTTACTGAGAAGGACTACTGAATATGGGATTATCTACTAGATATTAAATACTTTTTACATTTGTTTTAATGGTATATTGGCACCAATATGATTGTGTATAATAAGGTACTCAGTAATGATTTACATGAAATAGTATACTAACTTGGTTATGAAATATGCAAATAATTCTTTGAAGTCATAAAATCCCCAGTGCATCTTCTTCATAAAAGCCCATACATCTTTGTTGAATTTCCTGGAATAGAAAACATGTTAAAGTATAGTGTCAATATAATTCAGTATGGTGTCAAATAGCAATTTGGATTTGCGTCACCAAGTTATTAACAATTCTTCAAAAATAATGAAGATTGACCCAAAAAGTAACTCACTTTCACAGATTCTTAACTATTGACACATTTCAGAAATGAAAACCAATATAAAAAGCAAAAGCTTTACATGTTCATTGATACAAATGTGGTACAGCAAAACTAACATGCATGTACCTCTTTAAACCAGTAGCATTTAGGTAAAACAGGATTCACTGTAGAATGTATTTGCAATCACAGAAGTAAATAATTTTGCAATCACAGAAGTAAATCAAAGAAGAAAATACAAAGTACAATAGCTTCCAATGCCAATTTACCAGACATCTGCTATCTCTCTCTTGCATAGGAGGCCTCTTTGGAAAACTGATGACAAAATGATAGGTGTGTATATCGATGCTTTCAATGATATCTGTCAACTAAGATCTAGATAGCACATTAATTAAATGTAGAGTTTATTTGACATCTTGTCAAATGTCTCATTTCATCTGTAAAATAGATCACTAATTGATATGCAGTTTTATTGACCAGCTTGTTATCATCTTGTGAAGGAAACATACAGTAAGACATGTGATAATGGAACTTCTTTAATACTTAAAATAGTGTTTCAAATATGAGGTGTAACACTTACACAGGCTCATTTTATATTGATTTTGAGAAAAGGCCATTTGGAAAGTGTTCCACATAAAGTGGTGTTCCACTTACAGAGGTGTTCAATTTAACATGTTTTAATGTACATACAACAACTGCAATATTATTTTAAAAAAAAGAAATATCTGCCAAGCTATTGAACCATTTATTTACATTCTGGCATGCTATACTCTTTCACTCTTTTCAGCATTCATATGGGCATTCGTCCCCTCCCAGGTGAATATACTGGTTCACAAAGACATCATTCACCTCACTACAAATGTATGACCAACACTTACCAGCATTCATATGTGCATTCATCCCCTCCCAGGTGAATATACTGGTCCACAAAGACATCATTCACTTCACTACAAATGTATGACCATCACTTACCAGCATTCATATGGGCATTCGTCCCCTCCCAGGTGAATATACTGGTCCACAAAGACATCATTCACTTCACTACAAATGTATGACCAAAGACATCATTCACATCACTACAAATGTATGACCAACACTTACCAGCATTCATAAGGGCATTCATCCCCTCCCAGGTGAATATACTGGTCCACAAAGACATCATTCACTTCACTACAAATGTATGACCAAAGACATCATTCACATCACTACAAATGTATGACCAACACTTACCAGCATTCATAAGGGCATTCGTCCCCTCCCAGGTGAATATACTGGTCCACAAAGACATCATTCACATCACTACAAATGTATGACCAACACTTACCAGCATTCATATGGGCATTCATCCCCTCCCAGGTGAATATACTGGTCCACAAAGACGTCATTCACTTCACTACAAATGTATGACCATCACTTACCAGCATTCATATGGGCATTCGTCCCCTCCCAGGTGAATATACTGGTCCACAAAGACATCATTCACTTCACTACAAATGTATGACCAACACTTACCAGCATTCATATGGGCATTCATCCCCTCCCAGGTGAATATACTGGTCCACAAAGACATCATTCACTTCACTACAAATGTATGACCAACACTTACCAGCATTCATATGGGCATTCATCCCCTCCCAGGTGAATATACTGGTCCACAAAGACATCATTCACTTCATTACAAATGTATGACCAACACTTACCAGCATTCATATGGGCATTCATCCCCTCCCAGGTGAATATACTGGTCCACAAAGACATAATTCACTTCAATACAAATGTATGCCAACACTTACCAGCATTCATATGGGCATTCATCCCCTCCCAGGTGAATATACTGGTCCACAAAGACATCATTCACTTCACTACAAATGTATGACCAACACTTACCAGCATTCATATGGGCATTCGTCCCCTCCCAGGTGAATATACTGGTCCACAAAGACATCATTCACTTCACTACAAATGTATGACCAACACTTACCAGCATTCATATGGGCATTCGTCCCCTCCCAGGTGAATATACTGGTCCACAAAGACATCATTCACTTCATTGAATAGCTTGTATAGTATAGAATATGTTGATTGTTTTGAGGGGTCCATGGGTCCAGTAAATGTGGGACCACAGTCCGTGAGCAGTTCTGGCATCCCTTTACCCCAAGATTCTGTGTGGCCTAGAATAATGAATAAACATATGTACATATGTATACAGTTCAGTATCCCCCCCTAGTTCCATTTTCATTGCCTTACAAATTCATTGTTCACTAGAGTTCATGAGTATAAAGTATAGCCTAATATAATGGTTTACTCTTGTGAGTATGTGGTAGTATAAATATGATATACAAAATGCAATCAATCCCCAACATCATAATAGTCTATAATATGGTATGCTTTGTTTCATTGATTGAATCTAATATTTGTGTTTGGTGTGTTGTTACTTAGAGATTTAGGTTGTTTTGTGATATATGTTGTTATTCGTGCAAGCACTTCAGAAAATAGTCTAAATCACAAAAGTGCGATATTATGTAGAGCTGGGGCCTTATTAGGCTATAAACATAAAATCACCATGATATATATTCTTCTTTATGGAAATCAAAATATTATCAGGACAGGTTCCCAATATACTGTAAATGATGTGTTAGTTTTTGAGTGAGTTGCATATTTTAATACACTGTAGTACTAAAGAAGCCCAGATGGCACATTATTGGAGATATATGTATCCCCTGTTTATAATCAAAAGTGGATTATTAGACTTTGTGTAATCACCTTGTAAAGAAAACACAATTGATCTCAAGCAAGCCAAGCTTTAATGCATATAATTCCAATAATATAGCACTCAGGGGGGTTTCTTCATAAAACAGGGGTAGCTTGTATCTAGATTCTAGACTGCCAATAATTAAATCAACTTGTGTCAGTTGAAATAGGATAAACTGTGCTTCATTTGCAGGCAGGCCCTTAGCCCCCCCCCCCCTCTCTGGTCAAAGATTCGTTCAAAATCATTCACCATTCTGAGCACTTTTTAGTGATTTTGGCCATATTTGGCCATTTTTTTAATCAAAATCACCTGTTGTGTCAAGGACATAAATTGTGCTCTTTTCCATAATTGAATGTTAATTTCTAGTGATAATGTCTATTGTTGTGATTTGCTATGGCGGGTTTTATCTGAAATCCCAGAGGAGGTATAATAATGTCAAGGATAAAGTCGATAATGGCAGACGTATCACTTCCTGAGAAGTCTATATATGCTGATTGACAATGAAGCATGTGTTTCAATTTTCAGCAGTATCATCAATATTGATCCCCAAGAGAAATGTCAAAAGTATAAGCATGAATACAATGCAATGCAATACATAGAGGTTATTTAATGGGAGGTTTTTGATACAGCTTATATCTGAGGGAAATACAATATATCTACCCAAGGGACCGAAGGGACAGAGGATTGATATATTGTATTTACCGAGGGATATACCCTATATCAAAAATCGAGTATATTTAATAACTGATTTATTCTGTACTTAGTAGATTATGAGAAATAATAGCCAAGTCCCCTGGCTCAGTATCTACTCCCTGAATTTCTGAAGTTGTAGATCTGATGAGCGGGTGATATCAGCAGGTGATATATATCACCCGATCACGTCACACATCATCTATATTCCCGCGTGTTATTTACCTATAACACTACTAAGTATGGAATAAAATATAATATATTGCAATACAATACAATACATTATCTCTCCAACGCATTTAGGGATGGCATAGCACCACTCTAAAAATGAGTCATAATTGTGTCTATTGTCATTTTTATCCTAAACAATTCCTCGGTACATATTACATGTTGATTTAGGAAAGTGGAAGTCAGGTCAACCTCATGGCTCATTTAGAAAAGTAACAGTCTAACTGTAAACTAATTTCCAGAAAAAATCGGTGATTTCCCAATTATTTGGATATCACTGAGCCATTTTAACTGTTAATTAAGGGAGGCAGCTTGACATTCTCTCCTAAGTTGGATTTATAGATCGTTCAAATTATTAGTTGCTCACCGTTCGTTGTTTTACATTGTATTGCCAATCGATTTGAAGGGTCTTCTTGTCAGGGCAGTTCATACCATTAGCAAGAATACAACTTTGTCTTAACTCTTTTATTAGATAATGTTTTGAACTAGTCATTATTCTAATATGAATATCATTCAGGGGAAACTAGTAAATAATGTATTAAATATAACATTGACTTTCTGGCCATATATTGGAATGAGGTAAAACAGGTGATAGCAAATTGATCATTTGCGATCACTGGATGGATTTTATCTTGTATTGACACCACAATAAGGCCACACTGCTGTAGCTGTTTGATTTTGAGATATTGTCTTATATATTTCGTACTATATTGATTTATTTTTCATGAAAGTATTCAATTTGATTAGATTAACTCATTTTAAGCACATGCCAAGTTTAAGATCTTACTGACATGATTTAGATAGTGGTTAAGCCCCCCCCCCCCCAGTGTTTTTTTTGATAATAATCAAAAAGACACTGTACCTCAGTCTGGAACAAATCCAAATAATGCACTTATCCAAATAATGCACTTACCTGGGGTATCAAATTCGGGAACAACACGTACACCTCTTAGTCTCGCATACTCTATTATCTCCTGAACATCTTTATGTGTATAAATCTCACTGGAACTATATGCACCCTAAATCATCAAAATAATTGAATATGTAATAATAATTGAGTATGTTAATTATATGGTACATGTATATCTGTTTTTTAGATTTGTCTCCTTGGCCATCACCCTAATATCTCATTGGTCAAATAGAATTTTTATGGTTTTCATAACATATTGTTATAGTCAACTTTTTATGGATGGTGTTTGTTGGTTGGTGTCTGTAACAAATGGCAGGTGGTGACATTTTCCATGTTAATGCTTTGTTGTTTTATTTTTGAAAATAATACCAGCTAAACATACAATAACCCAGATGCGAGTAGAAATAATCTTGATTTAAGTCATTAAAAATTCAAAATTCAGTCAAAGTAATATCATATTTGAAATCTACATGTAAAATTACATCTAGTAATGTGGTTTTAAAAAGTGTTTATCAACTTTGAAAAATTAATTTTCTTTTAAAATGTGACTTCTAGTTCGGGGAGATTCCCCATAGACCCCATGCTATAAAATCACAAAAAATGAAATATCTTTTCTTTTAGTGGACAGATAATATTTTGCTTTCCTGGACATATTTTCATGAGTATAAGTATCAGACACATAAGGGTTTTATGAAAATTGAGCCACTTAAATTGATAATATTCAAGTTTAAGGGAACTTTCTTATATACCTGCCATGTTAATTGACCCGAATCAGCCACCTGGTGGTGAAACTGGTAACTACCTACTCGCATTTGGGTAATTAAATCTAGTTGCTGGGACAGATATTCAGACAAATCTAACAAACCCAAGTTCGAATTATATTAGCAGTGAATAGTCAGATTAACCTGAGAATTTAGCACATGGCTGCACTAATTTTGCCATTCTGATACTCGTCACATCTTTCCATTTTCTAGAAGGGACCTTGATTTCTCATGATGCAATTTTACAGTAAGTCTTTCAATATAATATTCAATTCCTGAAAGTTTCATCTTATTCCCCTCACAAACAAGTAAATGAGACCACTTGTATAGGTATTTTTTGAACAAATTGTATTCAATGGATTTAAACTTATATCAGTTATTTCAGAATGTATTTTATTGTGAAAATGATGCAATTTTATTAATATATATTCGAAAAATCTTACCATCTTTGTAAGATTAGGGAATGTCTTGCTCTGGAAGGGAAATGACTGGTCATCTACAATGTGCCAGTGGAATACATTGTATTTATTGTGCGACATGAGATCCTACAAGAAAAAATTAATCAGTTTTATTTCCCACAAGGTCAACAATACATGTTCCTTTAAATCACTAGATAGCCATGTACAATGTATCATGTTGTAAACCAGGGTAGTTTGTTGTTTCAAGCCATTGTGCCCATCCCTCACCCATATACACCTCACCCCCAGTGAGAGTAGATAGAGTAAATCAAGAGGGCGATCCAGAGACATGAAACAGAATTTCAGGACTGTATATGTTTTATCATTGCATACTTACTATAAACATTATATTTTGTCTTTCAAGACTTTATGTTCTCAAGATAAAATATAAAATAGCATAGTTTGAGGTGCCATCTTTGGTATTTTTCAGCTCTTGACATTTTCCCTTTAAGCATGATATGTGATATGTATAATTAAAGCTATAAGTGCTTGTCCAAGAAAAAATGGCTAACACGAATGTGATATTTTGTATGTTCAGAAAATCAATGAACTCTGCCTTGAAGATGGATTATGAATGGATAAAGATATTACTTTTATCTCTTTGAATATAACATGTCTATAATTTACTGTATTATATTCAGTATAATTAATCTTTAATAATCAGATAATATGAGATGAAAATCAATTACTTGTAAATGTTCGTGGTAGTGCTGAATATGTTAAATAGATATCCATAATGTTAGTTATAAATATGCATGTCAAACTTTGTATACTGTAACCTATATTAAAGGAATAAAGACCCTAGATTCTATGATTTATGGCACAATACATGACTGGAAATTTTATTCTGTTCATTGTTAAAATAAATCATAGAATCGAGGTCTTTGTTACGATTCTAATATAATAAAGCAATAAACAAATCAGAAAGACAACTGTTTGCATTTATAAAATTCAGCAGCCATATATACTCTATTATAGACCAGTAAATCAATTGTTCATCTTGTTAGAATATAACATATATAACTTATATCACACTACTATGGGGATCAGTGATCTCCCCAGCATTTAAATAAAGAGGGCGCAGCACCAACTTGAGATTTCAAAAACAGGCATGTACCCAACTGAAAATGCATTTTGCACCCACTTGAAAATGAGAAAAAAATCATGAAAAATTTGCACATTTTGGTCTAAATTGTGAAAATGAAAATTTTGCACCCACTTGAGAAAAAATCCTGCTAAGAACACTGAGGATATACATCTTTGAGTTGGTGTCTCAATTTTTGGTTTTTGTAAAACTGTGTGATTTTAATAAATAAAGAAAAATTAAAATTTAAGTAAAGAAACAAATCTCAATAATTAAGATTGTGCAATGTTGTCTTTGGACGTGACTTGCCACTTATCCCTTTTTGTTTGAAAAGAATATTTCTTAAAAACATAAGATAGGATCAGAAAGGCTTCTACAAGTATAAGGCTACTGTAACAGATAGCATGCACAAACTTACTATATGTTCTAATATTGTGGATTTTTTCAGGAAGTGCCTTGACGTGTCAAGTAAGAATCCCCTGTGCTGGAATCGTGGGAAGTCATGGATCGTAGCGTGATATATGAGATACTGGAAATAGCAAGAGAAACAGTAATTACACAGCCTATATACATACGGGATTTATGGATAGATAATATCTGAGTGATTATTGAATTGAATTTGAGAAACATTAGGCTTAGGCCTGGAGATCAGTTTCTTAGAGTGTATGTTACCAAAAGATCCTGTTCCTTAAAGTTTTCACATAGCCCTTGTGCTTAACTCTTAAAATAAAACCTGCCTTTACAGGGTGTCCAAAAAACAGGACCGTAAGAAAGTTGAATAATTCGGTCAATTTTGCATATTTTGCCTTGAAATTTTAGAATTATTTAGTTCATTCAATGTGAATCTTGATTTTAGATTATTTGAGACAAAGGGCCTTTGTTAACATAACCTATAAGTGTATCTCATTGTGGGACTATACAATAAAACATGTACATAGTGGACACCTTTTGAACCAAAGAGGATGTACCCATATGTACTACTATGTAGGTGTTACTACAAAAGCCAATGGAGTACTCTGTTTAAGAATAGTGTCTACTTAGACATGAGACATGTTCTATAAGACCGGTTTTACTGGACTAGTTTTACATCAAGTCTCATCCCCATCACTTACTCTCCTAGTTAACGAAGAGGGCATGTGTTATAGGGGAGAGAGTTAACAAGGGCTTGATGCAAAACTATAATTGAACCTCAACACACGAAAAGTGGTCTTATCACAAAAATTAAAATTGTACTACAGAGGCAACAATGTGCTAAATTCAAATCCATCTTTCTGGTCTATATCTGCAAGGAAAAATTGTTAAGACATAGGCCTTAGCAAGGCCTTTTTATGTCCTCAAAACATGGCTAATTCCGTCATTACTCTAAAGATAAAAATATGGTAATTTCCTAGTTGATTCGCTATAAATATTTTTATAGTGTTTTAAAATGGATTTGATCACCTTGGTGACAAAGTATCAGCTAAACAGAGAAAATTATCATACATGTCATAAAATCCTTTTTACAAACTCATAATGTATTGTACAGTGAAACCTGTCAATTGGAACACCTCAAAGGGAAACAACTCTCTTAGAGTACCAAGACCAACTGGTTTAATGTTAAATGAACCTCTGTATTAGTAGAACACCTTTCAAGTGGAACACTTTAAGGGGCACAAAGAGGTTCCACCAGATAGGTTTTACTGTACATGTATATGTTCAACCCACTGTAATACTTGATATAGTATTAAGCACACATTTCAAAAGAATCTCATCTGGCTTTAAATTCAATAAGTCTGTAATATTTAATATGATTGCCAGGATATTATTACCTGGATGACCTTGAAATTAGAGAAATAGAGACAACAATAAAATGGATTTTAGTTGACTTAAGACTAATCCTATTTGAAAAACTTTTTTTGTATCGTTGAAAGCTTGTTATAATAGATTGTTTGCCAATTGAAAAGTTCAGTTGATAACATTTGTATTATGTGACATCCTTGTTATGTTCACTTAAAGCATTTGTGTATTTGTTTCTGTATTATATGACATTTGGAGCAACAAGTCTAAATAAAAGCAAGATAGCTTAAAGAAACCTTGTCTGTGCTAATGGTAACTAGAATATAATATAAAGAAACAACCTTGGATTCATAATATCAGGGGTGTAGTCAGCAATTGGCAAGGGGTGTGATTTTTTGGGTTTGCATCACAGCGAGTGAAGTGAGCCCCAAAAAGGGGGCTACAGGGGTTCACCCCCATAATTATTTTTTAAAATTACATTGTTTACGGTGCATTCAAAGCATTTTAAACTATAATTTGTTAATGTACCCATCACACCCCCTGGCTACGCTCATGTATATCAATGACATCATATTATAAAGAGACCAAGGCCCCATTGTTGGCTATTTTCCATATCATCTGAATATGAGAATTTGAAGGGTTTTGGGCATAGGGTTCATTTTATCATTGCCTTATCGCTCTTGTTAAACAGCTAATAGATCCATATACACTGTACAGCTCAATTACAGACTAATATGGCAAACCAATTCATTTTAAGCTGGTATATCTCAGCATGCTAATTGAAATTTTAATTAGTTCAAAGATTGATCTCTATCCCAAAATTACCAGTTAATTGGTTGTGCATAAATTAAGTAGAACCTGTAAAGGGGAACACCTCCCCAAGTGGAACACCTACGTAGCTTCAATAACCAATTGAACCTCTGTAAGTGGAACAGCTCCAAGGGGTACTTAAGGTGTTCCACTTACACAGGTTAGACTGTACATGGAGTTAAAAATGCCTTACACTTTCAAGCATATAGGGATTTTGGGCATAGATGAAAGAATTGTTTGTGAGGTAATACTGCCAGGAAGCTTATCTCACATAGTCCTACCTTGTGGTGTTCTGAATTGAAGACTAACTGACTGAACGTCTCTAGACCTCTTAGAACGCCCCAGATATTTTTGGCACTAAGAAAACTGAAACCGTCCTCTTCCTGGCCTATCACGAGATCATCTGGAATAGTACAATAAAACATGTATATATGTACAGTAAAACATGTATATCTGTACAATAAAACATGTATATCTGTATAATAAACATACATATCTTTACAATAAAACATGTATATCTGTACAATAAAACATGTATATCTGTATAATAAAACATGTATATCTGTATAATAAACATACATATCTTTACAATAAAACATGTATATCTGTTATCTGAACACCTTTCAATATGAATACTTTTTCTCAGCCCCAAAATTTTTGCAAACCTATATATTTGAAATCTTTTGGAGAGTTGAAAATTCTGTCATTTACTTGGATTTATAAAATATGGATTGCGATAATACTGTAATCCCTTAATAATGGGAAAGAAACGTGTTTAAGATTGTGTACATTACATCATAATATGGGATAAAACATTGTTCACTTTATGACTGCTTTTATATTTACATATTAAATATATTTAGTGATATACTCACATGATTCATCCATACCAAGATAAGGATATACTTCACAGGGATTACCCAAGTCTATGTGTAAAGTTCTAATACTATATTCCTCATCATCATTATGGCTGCTTCTTCCAAATATAGCATCATACAATGATGATCCTTCTCTCCTCTTAGTTTGATTAAAAAGTATAAAATAGTATCTATCAATTGCTTGTATGAGTGTATCACAAGTTTCCCCGATAATGTGGAATTTAAAGTTTGAGGCTAATGTGAAAATACTGCTAGTGTTTTGTTGTATTATTTGAGGTAGGGGCCATGGTTGACCTGCACTTGGCATTGGTGCTCGTTTGATGGGTAAATCCAGATATTCAGGCCACACCTCACCATTGCCTTGAATGACTGAAATTGAAAAATAGACAGAATTGAAATCTTACATTTTCAGAATTATATTTTTTCTAACTCTGTATGTAAGAAACTTAAACACTAAATTTTTATGAAACCTAACTCCTGTGCTACATCTGTACATGTGACATATATAAGCACAAAGATTAATGGGACATTACCTCCTTTACTATATATCAGCACATTTGACATATATATATATAAGCACAAACTTTTAATGGGACCTTACCTCCTTTACTCCTTGTACATGTGACATACCTTACCTCCTTTACATCTGTGGGACCCTACCTCCTTTACTACATCTGATCATGTGATATATATAAGCACAAAGACTAACGGGACCCTACCTCCTTTACTACATCTGATCATGTGACATATATAAGCACAAAGATTAGTGGAACCTTACCTCCTTTGCTATATCTATACATGTGACTTATATACATTAAATATTGATAGGTCCTTACCTCTTTTACATCTGTACATGTGACATATATTTAAGCACTGAAGTTTAATGGGACCTTACCTCCTTTACTGTATCTGTACATGTGACATATATACATTAAATATTAATGGGACCTTACCTCCTTTACTATATTTGTACATGTGACATACATTGTATACATTAAATATTAATGGGACCTTACCTCCATTACTATATTTGTACATGTGACATATACATTGTATACATTAAATATTAATGGGACCTTACCTCCATTACTATATTTGTACATGTGACATATACATTGTATACATTAAATATTAATGGGACCTTACCTCCTTTACTATATTTGTACATGTTACGCAAATCCTCCTCTCTGTCTTCCTCAGACTGGGTGAGTGACGTCTTCTCTGCAAGATTCCTTCTGCTTTTGTTACCATCTAAACCAACCCCTAAAATATATTGGAATACGATGGTCATTGTCAGAAGTATGATTGGGGGGACATGGTGCCTTTCTCCCCAAAGTGGACCCTCTTTTTTTTAATTCATGTGATGTTTGAAAAAGAGGGTGAGGAAAATTATTACAAGGGATATCCGTTCCAAAACTGATGATGAGTTCATTAATACGTGAAATCACTTGCTAACTCTGAATGTTACATCCATTTAGTAAATGAATTACATGGATTATGAAACGCGAATGGCTTTGTATAAGTAGTTTAAGGCAAATTGGCATCTTTCCTTTCTAGAGTTGGTTAGAATAGCACCATTGAGGTTCCTCTGCCCCCTCCCTCTATTATCTATTTCCTACCATGCCTAGCTCATGTACTGTGTATGTGAGTGGCAGGATGCAATTTTACTTGAAATTGGACATTTTTCTTATTGTATTGCATTAATATAGTATTGTGCTGATTAGGATCGTATGATTTGGAAATGCATATGTTTATATGATAATGGGATGGGATTACTTTTATACGATTCCAAACATGACAATCCATAAGCTAGATGTTTTAACGTTTAATCAGAAAAATTAGACATATAATAGACAAAAACGTCTAATCATGTTAACAGATAAGCCAATGCAACATCCATTAAAGGCCTTCTATTTTCTACTGCTCACTTCATGGGACACTTAGGCCTGATCAACTGTGATATATATACGCTTTGCTTCAACAGTTCTTGAGTACCTGATAGGCCTGATAAGAATAAGATTGAATTTTAGCAAATTGATGAATAGTCATCATGTAAAAACGAAGTATGAACAACTACATGACGTTTTTGTTATAATAACTACATGACTTATACATATCAGCGTCCATAGCCTTTGAGCTCTTTGAGGTTATAAAAAACATTCATAGTCTAGCTACAAGACCTTGCCAGGTATGAGAGGTGTTTAGTCAAGAAGAGGGGGTGATTCACATATGACTTAACACTCATAAATTTTATTTTAAAATAAGCCAAATTATATCATCGCGCCCTCTTTGCCTTGATCTTTCCTAAGTGGAAACAATAGATAAGGGGTCTTGATCAGCTCATTTTCATTTTGTGTATGTTTTATTTCACTTATTGATGAGTCTTGGGCTTCTGTATCCTTGATGTTTTCGTTCTCCAAATCTCTCGATCTACCTTTTTTTATCTTTTGTGTCACTGCACCTTTCAACTTTGCGACTACTATCACTAATGGAAACTTATAGGAAGCTATAAAACAATGACATAAAATAACGATGAAGGAGGGTATGGAATTGCTTTCTCCAAGTAGAGGTATTAGGCAGAACGCTGAATTAATTCCTGAGCTCTATTCTTTTTTTACTAAGGCTAAGGACTTCCGTTTTATTCAATTTTAGTGGGGCCTCTTTAGTATAAACTCCAAAAACCAATATAATGCGATGCACTCGTTGAAACAAGTTGTAGCCTTTTTTGTTCTATCAAATATTTTTTTAGCTTTGCATGTGTATACAAAAACCTTATAAAAATATAAAAAATTAATAAAATAAAATAAAACTTATAAAATATTCAACATCAACAATCTGACCATGGCATAACAAAATGGGGTAATTCATGACCATAATGGTTTGTTTTGTTCAGCCTGCATTCAACTGCAAATGCATGTTAAACAAGCTAAAATAGCTTCAGAATGTTTGACGTCATGTTGGTCCCGGGGTACCTACACATCCTTCACACGGAAATAAAGATATATCAAAATATATTACATGTTTTTTTTCAAATCTTCAGAGTTGATAGATAATTGAATGATGTATCACTGGTAGGAAAATCTAATGGATTGGTCTATAAAAAGCATCTGTGTAAAAAGCGTCCATTACTTATTGACCACCCCTCGTATTTGAAAAATCACATGGAATTATTTATTTAGTTTCTTTTACATCTACATGTATTATCTTCATATTTTATTTACTATACTTTGCAGCCTCGATATGTACATCGATAATTCTTTATTTTATCACAAATCTAAAAGTATATGTACAGTATTGCGATGTGCAGATTGTAGGATTGCGTGCAGTCGAATGTCTATAATAACACGAATCCTCTCTGGAAAATAGGCAGGCACTCCAATCATTTGTGAAAATGAACATCTTTATGAGACCATTACATTAGGATATACGGCATTCATAGCTGGTTAGGATAATGTTGGCACTTAGGTTATATAGTATAGAGCTTCATACTTCATACCTTTCTATTTCTATCCCCTAGGCATTGCGGATAGAGAGGCTTTAGATAAGGGGAGACTCTTATAAATCATGTCCTTTTGGGGCATCTATACGACATAGGCCAGGATATAGCATGGGTTTTGGGAAGTTCAAGGGCCACTTGATAGACATAATGTTTCTGAAAGATGACTTCATTTAGCATCAATTCATATATGTCTGGGTCTTTTTAGTTTGTGGACGAAGGATTCTGAGCAGTTTTACCCCCCTAGAATAATATTTCAGGGGGGTACTATATTATCATTCTATAAAATCAGTTATGCATTAACTATAGCACTGATTTATACATATTATGTTGCTAGAAGTGTAGTCAAGTGTTTCCCAAAGTTATAGGGAAATATGTTGATTGGTTTTGACAAAAACACAATTTATAGTAATAAATAAGCATATTTTCATTCGTTTTTTAGTCTCGCCAACTTTATTGTTGCAGCTTCAGAGAAATAATTGGCACCAATACTGCTTTAAGAAGTAATCTAAAATTATTTCCAATCTATGTGGGGAATTGTAATATAAAGAATGTAATGATACAATACTATTTGGAATTTTAAATATGGCTTAGTTGACCCCTACCCCTTAGAAATATGAGAAAGTGAAGGTGGCACAATTAGATCAGAAATTCTATAATGAGTACTAATACTTCTCCAAGTAGCATTTTAAAAATGTATGTGTGATATATAGAGGTAATTTAATGGGAGGGATGGAATATGAATTTTATTCAGAGGGAAAATATGATAATGGCCAAGGAAAACATCATATTGACTAAGGGCAATAGCCCGAGTGTTAATATGATAGTTCTCGAGGCGAATAAAATAAATAAAATTCATATTCCACCAACACCATCAATAACCTATTTATTAAATTGTTTTTTTTTTCTGAAACATAAAAATCAAGAGAAATCCCCGGGAATGGTTCTGATATAGGATCTGATATGTGATTTAGGCTGATACAGGATCCAATACGGGATCTGATATAGGAATCTAGCTATAATATGGGATCTTTTGAATATCAATTCTATTCCCTGTTTATTTCCCAGGGAAAACATGCTATTATGGAATAATGTTATAATTTTGTAATGATCAACTGTTTTTTTAAAAAAAATTCTGGATGCCTTTGTTAGTCTAATGGTTCATTTCTTCATGTTAAATTCTTGTTTTTATATTTTTCTTTTTCTAAAATTTTATCAAGAATTTCTCTTTATAAGTCAAGGTCTTACGATTCTTATTCAGATGCATCAGTCTGCATTTGTATGCTCATTATTTCATTTAATATATCCTTAAAAGTACAATAATTTACATCCCAATGATGCCTTGAAGCATGAGCTCTGTCTAGTCCAGCATAGCTTACCCAGGCAGGCACATGTGCATTTTATCAGCTAAGGGATTCCTTCCAGGGGGAACAGGTAATTGAGTCTATGCTGTCAATCTTATAACTAATAAATATAGTTTAATAGGGAGTAGCCATATCAGCATCTTCTATACCCCCCCCCCCTATAATCATTCAATAGGGACAATTGACGTTGCATACTTATTCACATAGCACTCCTAAATGCACTGTTTACCACTGAAGGAATCCTACAGTTGATTAAATTCACATGTGACTCTAAACTACACCTTTAGACATGAAAGAATTCTCACTCGGGAAGTTCAGCTGCATCTTTGAGGATGGGTTGTAGAGCTGTAAGCTGTTTGTGCTTCCGAGGAAAATTCTTATATGATTTATTCATGAAGGGATTATATATTTTATTTGTTTACCCCCCTGTCCCACTCCGTTCATGAGTATATACTCACTTACTCCAAAAGTTGTTCATAAAGCCATGGCAAGATTCTACAGTCGATACATTTCACCCATTTCTCTGAGGGTTAAGAAACTGCATAATGTTTGTGGTTTGTGCTCCCAAGGAGAATTTTAATCTACAGTTGTACCTTAACCTCCCCTCACCCCATCCATTAACAAAGGAGGAAAATTCTTATGACTTATCCCTCCCCAATTCATCGATAGAGGATGGCTGATGGACATGATGGCTGATGGTGCTCCCAAGGAGAATTTTAATCTACCTTAACCTCTCCCTCACCTCATTCATTAACAAAAGGAGATGTAAAATGTCTCCACCTGCCATTTGCTACAGATGTCGACCATTGACTGCCAACTGCCAACCCTAACACCATCCACAAAATACTATAACAAAAGGAGATAGACAGCAGTCACTTATTCCAAAAGTATTTCTAATACTGTAGATTGGGTTAATTTGGCGCCCGCTTTAATTTGGCGAAATTGAAAAATTCGCCAATATAAATCTTCGCCAAAATTTAGAATGAATCCCCGGGAATTATCTAGGGTATTTCGTCCAGTGTATCTAGGTCACTTCCGGTTTAGTTTTATCCAAAAATATGAAAAAATGTCTCTCATAAATTGGCTCAGAACTGGTCAGTCACTCATTAATACTCAGGGAAAACTAGAAAGGAAAAGCGCGGTATAGGAGCAGCATCGATCGAGGGGCAAAATGTAAAGGATGATCTCACAAATATGTTATCGCATCCTACGACCCCTTTAGATTGTGGTCGTAGGCCCGTTTCATTCGTAAGCCTGTCTTTCTACAATGTCGGAGAATGAACTACGCATTGCGCTATTAAATGACCTACCTCGATACATTCCAGAGTATTTTAAAATTCTTTTTATGTTGTTAGGTCGCCAATTGTATGGGTTTATCGTCAGAACGAAGAGATTTTAGTTTTTACATCGGAAATATCTCAGCAATTTTCAAAATGTCGGAAGGGGAATTCCCCAGGGATTTCCCTTATGACTGGTGCATGCCGGGAACTGAATGGAGGAATTTGACGGTTGAACCTACACGCAAATATTGCTATCAAAAACGAAAATATCTTCGTTCTGCCGATAAACCCATACAATTTGCGATTCAACTATATGAAAAGAATTCTAAAATACTCAGGAATGTATTGAGGTAGGTCATTTATGTGTGCAATGCATAGTTCATTCTCCGATATTGTAGAAACACAGGCTTACTAATGAATCGGGCCTACGACCACAATCTAAAGGGGTCGTAGGATGCGATAAACAAATATGTACAAACGTGGTGAATATCGCCATTGGTCCTCAAAAGATAAAATGAACATAGCCAAACATGCGCATTTACATGATAATTCGCAAACAGCGGGTAAGTTTAACAATTTTTTTTGCATATCCGCCAAATTAAATAGCCGCCAATATGCCAAAAATGGCAAAATCGCCAAATTAAGTAGCGCCAAATTAACCCAATCTACAGTAACATAGCCATAAAGAGATTCTACAGTAGATAAAGTTCACATATACATATGTACCTCTGAGGGTGGTGTGTGGAACTGTTTACAGTTTGTGCTTCAAAGGGAAATCGTAATATGACTTATAAAGCTTATATATACTAAAAAGGATAGGTATCGATATGGTGAACTGAATTCAACAATCTTTTTCTCTTAAACCAATTATTGAAAACATTCTGTAAAATAATATAATTTTGACCGATTGGCAACAATTTAATGCCAAAAAAAATTCTGTATAACTGTTTTTGTTAACATTTTTTGTTTTTTTAGTGCAATTGTTTTTTTGTTCCTTTCTACCAATTCTTGAGAATGAAATGAAATGCCTCTCCGAACCTTGTTGGAACAAAATAGCATATACAACATTTTCTTAGACCTCTCAATGCTATAGTTAAACAAAGGAAACTGGTTGATTTTACAATAAGTATGCAAAAACGTTTACAAAACCCCCCAAAATAGATAAAAATTAAGTTCAACCTTTAATTTCATTAACAAGATACTTTTTTAATATCAACCAAACCTTCCTTTGTACGATTACAATATTGAGAGACCACAAGTTGTGTTTATGTCGTTTTGTTCCAATGAGGTTTGGATAGATGTTTCATTTCATTCCGAACATATGATACCAAGAACAAAAGAAGTGGCTCATGTGTTATCTAAAACAATATAGAGAAAGGTATATAAATATATTTCAAATTATAATGTTACCATACAAAAGATAACCATTAAATTGACGATATGTAAAATTTTCAGAATGTTTTGATGACTGGTTTAAGAGAAACGTGTATTCAAAAAGTTCACCATATCGATACCACTCCTTTGAAGATGACTTAATCCCCTTCTACCCCACTTTATCCATGAGCAAAAGGAGAAAGACAGAAATGATTGTTCAGAAGTATTTCTTATAATATTCCTTTTATATCTAAAAATGATTCTACAATAGATAAAGTTTGCATGTACCTCTGACTCTGAAGAAACTCCGAATGACTCCCCCTCCCCCCCCCCCATTTCATTCAATTAATAAGGGAGAAGGACTGGACTTTTCTCACTTATTCCAAAATTATTTCTTCAAATATCCCCTTTACCCATGTGCAGTTGAGCATAATTCAAAGGTTTGCGTGAGACCCCCACATGGGAAGTGGTGGAGGTTTTGACAAAACAAAGATTGAGCTGTCAAACTCAAATCACGGGAGTAACCTATTGAGTCAACTTCCCCACCCTGGAAGCAATAATAGAGAGTCAAATATAGTGAAAATTCCTATTATTAACAATATACTTTTGAAAGTCTCTACTCTCAGGAATGGTGCATAATATTTGAGAATGTATAATGTTCATGTTCACTAGGAAAATTCTAATTATGTCAAACTTTACATCCTGCACTCTATATTAATAGGCATTCTTAGCATGTACATTATTTTCTTTCGGCCCATATCTTTCAGCCCATAAATTCCCATCCTCTAGGTCTATATATAAACATTGAAATAGGTTTTTGACCCAAGAAATTTGTGTTTTATGACATTTGAGAAACATATTCATGAAGAAATAATATACAAGGCAGGACATAAGTAGTCATCATAGAATTTCTGATCCAATTGTGCCACCTCCGCGTTCTTGTATTTCTAAGGGGTAGGGGTCAACAAAGCCATATTAAAAATACAAAATAGTACTTTATCATTACATGTACATTACTTACATTACAATGTCACACATAGCTTGGAAATGATTTTTGAATACTACTTAAAGCACTATAACTGCCTATTATTTCTCTGAAGCTGCAACAATAAAATCGGTAAGACTAAAAAGGGGTAAGGGGTAGGGGTAAACAAATCCATATTAAAAATACAAAATAGTACTCAATCATTACATTCCTTATATTACAATGTCACACATAGCCTGGAAATGATTTTTGATTACTACTTGGAGCACTATTACTGACTATTATTTCTCTGAAGCTGCAAAAATAAGATTGGTGAAAATAAAAAGATAACGAAACTATGCTTTTTATTTTCTACCAAACCAATCAACATATCTCCCTATAACTTTGGGAAACACTTGACTACAGTGCTAACAACATAATATGTATAAATCAGTGCTATAGTTAATGTATAACTGATTTTATAGAATGATAATATAGTACCCCCCTGAAATATTATTCTAGGGGGGTAAAACTGCTCAGAATCCTTCGTACACAAACTAAAAAGACCCAGACATATATGAATTGATGCTAAATGAAGTCATCTTTCATAAACATTATGTCTATCAAGTGGCCCTTGAACTTCCCAAAACCCATGCTATATCCTGGCCTAACAGGGACGTTAAAACCCACTGGCCGACCTTGGGCCTATGAATTCACAACAAACACCGGGGCCATTAATGTGAACAAACCATTAAATATTTTCTGAGAGCAAACATCAATATTTTAAAAGAAATCTCTTCACAGCATGTTCAAATATGTTTTGGCTTTGTGGGAATTGTATTGAAGTATGATAATACGATTTCTATTAGTATGAGCTTTCTTTGGAATTCGATTTTTGTTTCAATCGTGTCAAATAAAATATTAGAAAGATTATTTGAAAAATTTGGCATCTGTCAAGAACTTGAAAATAAAGTGTCTGAATTAGTATTTCAAGTGTCATTGAAGTCCGATATAAAGCAATAAATAAACCGTCGCATTATAAAAAAATATATGACATCGGCCGTCCAGTGATCACACATATGTCATGTCAGATCACTATTTAATCAGATTAAACTCAACATACGGCCTTACAATCAATCGGCTATCGGTTGTAATTAATTCGCAATTAATCATCACATTATTGAACTCATTAGTTGTGTTTCGGTCAGTCAACCCCATGTAATGATGCGTGACCTCTTATCAATCAAGCCTTGTTTTCAGGCCATCACCATGGGCTCCCGGGTATGGGCTTTCAAGAGACGAAAACCCATGCCACCACTATTTACCTTGATTTTGAAGTAACTCCCATTTTGGAATGATTTTGTTGATGACTTCAGCAACGTGAAACTTTCTCGTGCGAGCAATGGATTCTGGTATATTGAGACCTCTTTTGATATGCTTGGGTGTCCACGACAACTGGTACTGGAAACCAAGAAAACTCGCTCCAAAAATAAACAAAATAGCAACCTGAGTTTTCCTTTGGCTCAGCAATTTCGTAAATACCGGTGCCAACCTGCTCTTCATCTTCCCAATATAGTTTACATCAATTTTATAATCGCATTGCGTTTTACAATTGGTAAACTTCAAACTCTTGTACTTTATTCAAGCCATTCGTGCAATCATTGTACGCCTCAGCATTTTGTATTACTTTACTTTTCCATCCGGAATATGTCTATGTTATTGTAGCCTTTATCGCTAACAGTGTCATAACTCTCCCGCAAGACTCGATTAGAAGCTGAAAGGTCTGGTGTAATCGAAATCCACTCATAAATATTAATTACAGGGCCTATAGAATGATAATATTGATCTCGTAGGTCTTCATTAGTAGCTATTTCATAATTAATTAACTTATCTACTTCAGTTAGGGCCGCAACAGACCAAAGATTGATGTACACATCGAAAAACTCACAATATCGTAGCGCTTTGTGCATGCTATATATATCAAGTCTGTTTTTGTACTTAGGAGTACTCGACTTTAATCCAAATTTCGATTTTGATTCATTTTGATCCTACTTCAATTTAAGCCTGTAGAGGCAGGTACTGTAGAGACTCGCTTCGCTCACATAGTTTGAATAGAATATGGTATTCATACTCTTCGTACTTATAAATGGTCTCCAATAATTTGTAATTTTCTTTTTGTTCAAATCCTCCTAATCTGTTATTTTTCTTACTTATTGTTATTACACTAGCTTATCAAGGATTTTCGGTACGCTGAGCATCTATTTTGTTACGTTTCGTGCGGTAACGGATAAATACTCTACACAATCCATGATATACGCTTGTAAAATGTCCCTTGTTGCGACGATGATCGATTAGGCAAACTGCTACCAACGCCGATCAAATACCTTTCTCATTTCATTCTTTCACTACTTGAAATTAATTGTCAGATAAAACCATCTCAAGATCCAGTAAAAGCATGCAAGTCAATACTTTGATTTCTGAACACTGCTTGCTTCTCGCAATATTAGGCGTTCAATTTGTCAAACGCTCTCGTTTACTTTGACTTTCGCGCCCCCAATATTCACACAGCAACGTCTTTATCGTCAAGGGCACCATTCGAGTGTGCTGCGTTTCATTACGAATATAAACAAAAGCTCTTTTCTTGTATTGCACGCAAAGTCAATAAAATCACAATGATCCTTGGAAATGTCAAACATTAATTTACATTCAATCGAGGTTTTTGTGAAAAGATTCCCATTTTTAAATGTTAGCAGAACCTTTGAGTCATCGTAAATCAAGCCATTAACATCTCATGATATCTAATACCAACTAGTTAATAGATTCGTACGTATATCATAATTCGTATATACTTCAAAGTACAATGATCACGGTGTTATAGCATGACGGTTACGCCAAAGCGATTTGCAACATTTTGCGGTAACGATAACAAAAAATGGCGGATGGGAAAGACAGCATGTCCTCTTTCTCGCCTGTAGGCAAGATTCACAGATAAGATTTCCTTTTTAACTAGTTCCATTCGGTGACGTATATATGGATGGTACATACACACACACATACATACATACATACATACCGACTGAGATGTCCAAGTTCATATTTTTTAGTCCATTCTCGTGATTTCTCAGTATATGTGCCTCAGAGCCACTCAAACTATTAACAGTAAGTAAACTGTGTATAAACAAGCAATAAAATGACAAATCCAGAACAGGAACGTGGTCATATTGTAAATAATGAGATTTCAAACGCAATGTCGTTAGACGACTACGTATGAATTCTCCGGACGGTCACGTATTGTATTAGATGTACATTAGATATTTTGCGGACGGTTACGTGCATGTACATCTTTCAAGTGAAGGTTGCTAGTTCTGATAGCCTCTTTCCATGTAATTGTTATAATGGGTAAGAAATGGAATATTGAATTGCTTATATTTGTTTTCAGGACTCGCAAGAGACGCTCTTGTTTGAGCCTCTATAGGGCAAGGAAAAAATTGTGTCTTGCTTTATTAATGAAACCAATTTAAGTCAAAAAGATAGCAATGAAGAGGCAAAAGAAGAATTAACATCAAGTACTGATGAATATGACGAAATTAATAACAATGAATCTGGGATAGATATTTGAACGAAGTTCGCGTAACCGTCAATCAATTTTTGGCGTAACCGCAAATTAAAAATACAATATTATGGCTTAAGTAGAACATATTAAGTGGTTTCCAATGCTCGATTGGCTTTTTATGATCGTATGTAGGTTACATCTATATACCCTGAGGTCGTTAGGCAATGTAGACCATGCCCTAACGACAAAAATAAACAAATTACTAAATTTTGTATAGTTTTGAATTTCAAACTCTACAGTTTTTCGCTTATTTCATGTTATCCCCGGGCATCAATTTGCAAAGAATACGTTCAAAATATACATTACTAAATGCATCACCGAATGCGATGCCTACAAAAATCGTTCATCCTTTCATTGATACACAGTAGAAGAAAATAATGCACCAACCTTAGTTTTCTGTTCCGTCGCGGCCATTTTATTGGATAAATTTCGTTTTCAGAGGTGTCGTAACAGTCATGCTATAACACCGTGATGATAGTTGGCATGGCAAGTGTGTTAAAAAGTACATACACACGTGCCATCTATTAATGGATAATGATAGTATTGACATGATTGAGATCGGGCGTTTACTTTATGAATGCTTTTAATTTTATGATCCCTGTCAATGTTAAAGGCCCCATATAAAGTTTAAACATCTTTGGCTTATATTGTAGTCTTACCCAATGTTATCAAAGTGTGATATGTGAAACTTTTTTTCAAATTTCAAAAAGTGGTTTTTGATAGACTTTTTGTTCCAAAATTTGTGAATTTATTTAAAACCAACTTTTAGAGGTCACTCATATCTTTTAATTAGCCACAATTCATATCAATGCATAGCACTCATCCTCCTATGTTTTTTGCCGAAAAAATTAAGAAAATCGGTTCATAAATAAGCGAGAAATGAACTTATCAGTGCATGAAAATGGTTCTGAGAAAAATGCATTTCAAAATTTTAGTTCTCATAGAAACCAATGGTACAATAATATCTAAAACATAATTTATCCTTCCTTTTAACCTGGTAAGACAATCAACAATGGTTTATATGAAAGTCTAGCATATTTAGAAAAGATTGACATCGAAAAAAAATTCTTTTTCAAAACGTTTTTGCTACCTTAGTGACATCACTAATGTTTCAAAATATTTTTGATATGCTAAAACATTGAAGTGGCCCATTAAATATGGCATTTTATTATTGAAATAGTGTGTCCTTTATTCAATCTTTGCATTGGTGTTAAAAAGATAATCCTTTTTGCAATGCATTTTTTGAAAAATGGCGGGAAATTTGAATATTTGAGAAATGAAATGCTCACAACTTTTTTTCAAAAATCTCTAAAATCACTTTTTAAGTCTTGACAAATAGTAAATGAATGATAAAAAAATATTTTCAAACTTTAGACGGGGACTTTAAGTACATTCCCATTGGATTTCACTATTAATATCTTGCATTTTGTCTAGTTGTGACCAACAATTATATCTTCCCAGCGGCAAACTGCAAAGCGTATTTATTACTGTCTGAATTATTGCTTCAATACAGGTCGGGATAGAATCATTGCAAGTTAACCAAATGTTTGTTTTAGATATACATTTATATTAGTACATGTATATTAAGCTAAATCGAGTCGCGTGCAAATTCTTTCCAGCATCGACGTTGGATTTCAATAATAGGGAGTTTAAGCTTGCATATAAAATCGAAATGCCAACCTATACGTATGACCAATCGCCCATACAAATGCATCGCTTAAATATTTTCTGTTCACGTTTAGGTTGTGAAAAACATTGCAAGCTTAAACTCTCCGATTTACACTGGCCCTGTAGAGGGGATACATTGTAGTTGTTCAAGTGGGGGTACACAGCACCGGATACAGTTGTAGTTTGGAAACATTTTACTTGAAGCGGGACACCCTGTAGTATATCTTGGCGAGTTACCACTGATGATTGAAGACTTGTCCTTTGTCCATATTATAATGGCAACATATCACATACGAAGATGTGCATGGTTTTTCACTGCACTCGTTGTCATGGGACTTTGTTATATTTTAAACTTGGTAGAGCACATAAACACTGAATTTACCTTCCGTGATAGACGGATGGTTAAACAAATGATAAAGCAGTCAAATTCTAGTAGTTTTATGTTGAAAAAGGAGATGTCCAACACGGTGTTGTCGTGTAATAAGGCTGCAGTATATCTACCTGGATATATCCCCGAGGATAGAGACGAGGAACTTATCGTGTATAGCGAACTGGGAAAATGTGGAAGCGGAACACTTGTGTCCATTATCACATCCGCATGTAGACTCACAAAAAGATACACAACGCGCTACTTCTGGCCTATCCCTGATCTTGAACCTTCGGATGAGAGACACAAATACATCAAGACTCACATTCTGTCACAGAGAAAACCATTCATTTTCATGGGGCATTTACGTTTTGTGGATTTCACAGAATTTGGGTACAAGCAGCCGATATATATCGATTGGATTCGAGATCCCGTCGAAAGATTGATCTCGCTATATAATTACGAAAGGAGAGAAACGAATGTGACTAATGGCCTTATTAAGGAAGAAATGGAGAGACCCTTGGATGAGTGCATTCAAATATGGATAAACGAAACAGGATGTCGCGATGCTGCTGATCTACCAACATGTTTACGAAGTAGGGCACATAAAGGATGTACAAGTAAAGGAATCGAACCAGTGTACTCACAAGCCTACTCAGGAAGACCATACAACAAATCCAAAGAGGTCCTAATAAATATGGCCAAATCAAACATAGAACGTTACTACATATTTATTGGGCTCAATGAACACTACACGGAGAGTGTGAAAGGTTTGGAAAAAATCCTTCGGTTTCAAGATAAACTTAGTGCCATATATAAAACTGTGTTACGTGTCAATGTAGGCAAGAAAAAATCTCGTCCGAGTAACAGTAGTATAAAGCTGTTAAAGACGCTTCTAGCAGACGATTATGTAATTTATGAATTCATACGACAGCGTCTTTACATTCATTTAAAATGCCTAGGGATTTTTAAGTGAGAAAAACCATAAAAGGCCATCTAACGATATACAAGTCTGAAGATTTTGATTTGATCTATTTTATTGATAAGAAATACAACTTGTATTGACAAACTATGGAGAACCACTGCCAGGCCATCGTCTTTGTGTCAAGAATGAGGAGAATCAAACAAGACTTTTTTCTACTCGTGGTCTTGTATTTCGTCTAAATTAAAGGAAGCAGAAGTGATACAATGAGGCTAAATGTTGGATATTTTCAAGAAAAGCATATCAATGTTTCCCGTAATTACCCTTTACGTATTTACATTTTCAATATTTTACAAGATAATTTTTCAACAATTCAAGGATTATCTTGAAATAAAATTAGAACTGTTGGACATTTAAGAAAATAGGCATAATACAGTAATATGTGATGATGATTCAAGTGTTCCTGTTTTTCAATGTCTCGATCTCGGGGACTTTTGTTTGGATTTTCAAGTTTTTGATTGAATGTGCGATGAGCGAAATTTGATTTAATAAACTGGACTTGTTTTGAAAATTGAGCCTTTTTAAAGCCAGGAAAACATTTAAGGAATTAAGCCCTGGGCTCTGTGCATTGTAGACTTTATTCATCATTCCTCCAAGGTATTGTTTAAAACTTTGTTCGAGATTCGCAGAATTAGAGTGTTAAAGTTTAGGCAACAGCGCCTGGGTGGAATGAATCAGCTGCAATGCATATCTTGGGCTTAAAGTCTTTTCACACATTGCAAACTATTTTCTACGAAATCACCTAAATGATACGAAATCACTAAAAAGAACATATTTTAAATGAAACCTTTTGCAAGGTTCAAGTTGGCAAAGTATCAATTTCAATCTGTAGAGTCGAGTTGTCACCTTGACGACCATTCAACAAATCACCTTGTGTGGATTGTTGGTTGTATAATGCAATGCAGCATGAAATAGCATGTTCGGATTGCCTGGAATCGGACAAACCTTGCCTGGCTATGTGGGAATTATTTATAATAGAACCTGTAACTTTACTCCTTGAACACCCCGTATCGTTTGCAGATGGTGTTTTCCCATCATCGTGTTTCACAACACCGTTAAAAGTATTGAGGCTTCATGAAAACGTGATATTCTGAGGTTTAAATACCATATTTGGTTAGTTCTTTATTTACTCAGGGATACTATCATGACAATGAAGACCATATTTTACCTTTGTCTGGCTCTTGCCATGTCTGTTGAGATGGTGTCATCAGAAATAAGGTATAGAATTTCTGACTTTTAAAATTTAATAATCATGATTTCCTCAAATCTTAAAGTAAATTGGTTCAATCTCAACTAAATAACAATACTACTTTATACTGAATACGCCAATGGGGCAAAATCCCACTTGCCCCATCTGCATCAAGTACCATTGGCTCTTCTTGGAAGAAGCAAGGAACTTTGTGTATGGTTCTGTAATCTTGCAATACGGAGGATATCCATGCCCCATTGTTGTATGTTGGGTTTAGCCCCTTGACTTACAAGGTTACATCTGTACAATGCACGTTGTCTGAACCTCGGATGACGGATATGATTGCCATATATCTTAAGACCTATAGATCTAGGTTTTGCAAGAAGAAACATTCAATTAACTAAGGGATTGGAAACTAAACCTAAACACATATATTATTTGTTGATTTAGCAAACGCCAAGATGACTTGTGCACGCGAGAGGAATGCCGCAATGGACAATACTGTAATAATGATGTTGACTGCCCAGATGATAATACTTGTAAACATGAACAAAACTATGCACCATACTGCGCATGTTTCTACTGTCGACCTGGCTTGATATAAAGTTATAGAAAGAGTAAACATTAATGGAAACCGAACCTTTAATTATAGGATTTAATCATCTTATCAAATATCTGTCTCACTTTCAACTGAAGTCTTTTGTGGAATTTCAATAAATCTGATCAGAGATTCCGATCCAATGAGAATCCAATGTTATATAGCAACGTGTCTATTGGCTAAAATGAATTGTTGAACCGTAGTGACATCTGACAACTCAAATGAGATATTAATATGCAGCATTTCACCACCTTCCATTTGTTACAAACGCCGGCCGCCGAACACCGTCCACAAAAAGACTATAACAAGTGGTAAACACAAGTGGCGGTGACATAAAAACAAGACATTGCCAAATGCAACAATGTCTTTGTCCAAATGTCTTTGTGGGTTCCGCAGCCTTTACTGGGACAAAATTAGATAGGTCTAAACAGAGACCTTTGATTTCATAACATTCTTTCTGGCCTGGAGGCCATTGCTCAAAACTTCATTATTAATGAAAAAATTCGAGCAACGACCTCCTGAATCATTGTGGGATACACAGCAAGTATTATCCTTTTGTTATCCGTTAGTTAAAGTGAGACTCTGGTATGTCATGGATGGTTAATGATGGAATTCTAAAATTCTTCCAAGGGGAATCATTGTGATACTTTAAATTCCATATACCTGTAGATTTGTTTCAACTTCAACTTATGACATTCTGAATTTCATAAAATAGTAATGATGGGTCATTTGTTGTAAGTATTTCATTTATTTAAGTTAATTTCATAACAACATTTGATAACGGGAATCCTTTTCTGAATCTAATCTTGATTGAACAAAATGTTGATGTTTAAAACATGTAAAATGTAGTACTTTTATTATTACAAAACAGTTATACAAACTATTGTGATCTTGCTCTGAAAACAATAAACTTTGAATATATATACACTACAGCACTTTACAAATATAAGATGAAGATTTCTAATAATCTCATGGAAGTGGAATGCTATTATTGTAAATTGCATAAAATTATAATATCATCTTCCATTATTGGAGTAAAGCACTACTCACTCACTAATACTGTTCTGACGCATAAATACGAGCTGGATATTTATATACAGGGTGTCAAATGGCGTTGTGCCCCCTATCCCCAGCATAAACTAGAAGAGGTACACATGCATACTATATACCATTGGAAAGAGCATTTAATTGTTATTAGAGTGTGAAAAGATGAAGATGGATGATAGAAAATAATACATAATTTGAACCAACTTTTAAAAGAGAGTTTGACCATCCCCGGCAGCTTTAAACGGCTGCCAGTCAGGCTGGATATCAAGTTAAAAGGGCATTGAAAAGAGCAGTGTCTTGAGCAGAGATCTCAATACTTTTTGAGGTTCTCCTGGAGGATATCTATGGAATATCTGTTCTCTACAGCTTCAACTTCCATAAGTAGCTCTGTTTTATCCATTAATATGGGCTCAATTTGAACTGAAGCATTTAAGTCAGGATTGTTGCTCTGGTATTCACCAATACCAAAAAGGTCTATGCAGGAATTTTTAAAAATCAATAAAAATAGCACTTTACTGGTGCATTTCAAATGCTTTTGAAACTATGTAGCAATATCTGACCCTGGTCATCTATGGTTCATTTTATCTAGAATTGAATGCTCTTTCTAATGATATATATAATGTATGTGTACTTCACCTAGTTAATGCTGTGGAAGGGGGGCACAACGCCATTTGACACCCTGTACAATTACAAATGTATTTACATTTATGTACAGACTTAAATCTTTTGACACAATAATTTAAATAGACATCATTTTATGATAACCATTTAGTACATATATTATTTTAAGTAGGTACTAAAGTATAAAACCTTTGTAAGTTTCTATCACAGATACCTGAATATCACAGATCAAAAGATAAGTTTAAATAAAAAAAGTCCAGTTCAATATCATGCATCTGATCCTGGTATACCCCCCTTTTTGAAAATCTTGGGTATATTTCTAAAAATATTGTTCTCTTATTATGACAGTACAATCTCCATGGTTACAATAACTTAGATTTAGCTTTTTTCGTTAAGAATGTTGAGAGAAATGCACACCAAACTAATAACTGATTTAAATGACATTGACAATTGTGCACTGACATGAGTTCTACACAGATTCTGAAGTCAGATATATATAACTCATTTTCAACATGTAAAGCCTCAGTCACATTTGCTCTATGGTTCACAAAATAAATAAATAAAGTTCACATCGTACTGGTTTTCCCTATATTTTATGCTACATATTTCTTGATTTTGGGAAGCTACAGCCGCCATATGGTTGCCGAAGATCAAATGAGTCTAAGGCTCGAGTAACTGACATATACATATGTATATTCCATATAAGGCTACATCTAAGTCATGAGACTAGCTGAAGGGGATCCAGTGTAATTCAAATTAATCCAGGTTTAGCTTATATAGTTTATCATGTATATGGTCTCCAAAGTATCGGGCAGCAAGGTCTCTCGTAGGGAGCTTTGATTTCGGCACTTGTTTCAAGTTGTATCCATGCCTGGCAAGACTTTGTTGTAGTTCTGTGGGTGGCTTCCTAAAACAAATTTTAAATATTATTCAACAAATTTTCATCCATAAATGTAAATGTTTATTTATGATAACGATTATTATCTAAAAATTGAAAAGGTTGCGTGACACAACAATTTTGTCACAATTTAACAGTATTTGTCACAATGTTACAGTATTTTTGCTGCCATCATTCCATGCCTGTTTTCTAAGAAGTCTAAAATTTCTGACTTTGTTTCAGAATAATTTGGGGATTTTTAAGATTTTAAAATTAAAAAGTAAGAATATTTTTATTCTTATGACTTTGGACATTTCTGCATCTTGCATCTTCAATTACCTTTATTCCTATTCCAGAAAAAAGAAATAAAATCATAAGAGAAATATTAGCTCATTTCACATTTTATGTCCCTTCAAAGAAGTTTTCATGGCCTTTCACTACAGATGTACTCACTGCTGTTTTGGCAAAGGGGATGTATAGGCCACCCGACTTGTAGATGTAATCTCTCTCACTACTGGGGGAGGTTGGTTGGCCCTTTCCCATTCTACTCTTTTGTAGGTTTTAACACATAGTGGACAGGCAGCTTCGTTCTTTACTAAAACATAAGAGAACATGGGAAGGATGCTAATAAGAGACCAAGCAAAAATGTCAATGCATTAGGCTATACAATTCTTTGAACTCTCATGAGTTTGAGATATCTTCAAGATTTGAAGTGACAGATATCATTATTAATAATTACATTGACATTTTCTTTTACTACTAACAAAGCCCTCATGAAATAAAGCATATATCTTTAAAAATAATGTGAAAATTGAACACAACGTGAAGATTAAAATTAGACGATGCCATTTATTTAATTCTGCAACTCTGTATAAAGTGATTTTTATGACAACTTTAATCTGATCATCAAGACCTCCTGTTAAGTAGTTGCTCACCTCATGCAAACTTTGTTTAAGAAAGATTGAACACAGCAGTGAAAGAATTGGCAATTCTTCAAAATCAGGCCTGTGGCCAGGATTTACCAGGGGGAGCAGTTTTACCAAGGGGGCAGCTTTTGCCAAGGGGCGGGCTTTTTGACATTTTGGCAAAAAATCATGTGCAGCCGCTAGCTCCTATCACTCCCCCCCCCTAGCTACAGGCCTGATAATACACTGATGATACACAGTTTGACACTTGACTAAAATATCAGAATTTAATTTAATCATGACCTTTCTGGGTTTAATATGCCTCATCAATTAAGATATTTATACATGTATATAATGTAAAAGCAAAAATGAATTCACATCTTTGATTCACTTACTAGCTTTTTCCATGAGTAGGGGATGTCCTCCTCTTTTTGCAGAAGCCATTGGTGTGTCTCCTTTGTTGTTCTCAATGTCAAGGGATCCGTCATGTTGTAGATAACAGTTAAAGCAGTCAGCTTTCCCTGCTTCTGCTGCATAATGACCCGCAGTGCACCCATACACTACAATAGCAAAAATATATACTTTAATCTGGACTAAATCAATTCCATGTTTAGCCATGTTTATTAGAAATATTATGTTGCATTTTACACTTCAGTGATCTCACAAGTATTAAAGCAAGTGGGTGCAGCACCCACATGAGATTATAAAAATAGGCTTGCACATTGAGAAGGTCATTAAAGGTCAAATGTCAAATCTAAAGTCAGATTTGAATTTCTGAGAACATGTAGATGATTTTGAAAAAAAAAATTAGTCAATTTGAAGCAAGTTGAAAAAATACCTTTTTGACCTTTTTTGACATTGAGAAGGTCATTGAAGGTCAAATGTCAAATCTAAAGTCATATTTGAATTTCTGAGAACATGTAGATGATTTTGAAAAAAAATTTAGTCAATTTGAAGCAAGATGAAAAAATACCTTTTTTGACATTGAGAAGGTCATTGATGGTCAAATGTCAAATCTAAAGTCAGATTTGAATTTCTGAGAACACGTAGATGATTTTGAAAAAAAAATTAGTCAATTTGAAGCAAGTTGAAAAAAGACCTTTTTGTCCTTTTTTTACTTTGAGAAGGTCATTGAAGGTCAAATGTCAAATCTTAAGTCAAATCTAAAGTCAGATTTGAATTTCTGAGAACACGTAGATGATTTTGAAATTTTTTTTTAGTCAATTTGAAGCAAGTTGAAAACAGACCTTTTTGACCTTTTTTGACCTTGAGAAGGTCATTGAAGGTCAAATGTCAAATCTTAAGTCAAATCTTAAGTCAGATTTGAATTTCTGAGAACACGTAGATGATTTTGAAAAAAAAATTTAGTCAATTTGAAGCAAGTTGAAAACAGACCTTTTTGACCTTGAGAAGGTCATTGAAGGTCAAATGTCAAATCTAAAGTCAGATTTGAAGGTCAAATGTCAAATCTAAAGTCAGATTTGAATGTCTGAGAACATGTAGATGATTTTGAAAAAAAATTTAGTCAATGTGAAGCAAGTTGAAAAAAGACCTTTTTGACCTTGAGAAGGTCATTGAAGGTCAAATGTCAAATCTAAAGTCAGATTTGAACTTCTGAGAACATGTAGATGATTTAGAAAAAAATTGAAGTCAGTCTAAACAGTATTTGTTAAGTTATAGGAAGTTGTAAGAAATTGTTACAGACGCCGGACGCCGGACGCCAACCTCCAACCGCCGTCGGAAAAAAACGGAGACCATAACAATATGTCACCACTTTTGGTGGTGACATAAAAACCTTAGAAATCTTATTTCAAAAGATACTATTGAGATAAACTCATAAAGTGTAATTTATGTTATTGTTAGAGCCCCAAAATACTTTTCTAGAAAAATGGCATTGGATTATTCATTTTTAGAAAAAGGTCAATACCCATAAGACACCTATAAAATTTAAACCAAATATGCCAACAAATATTAATGAGTTATCAATACCTACATTTTTATGAATAAGGTTGGCCATTTTAAATTGAGTGGGCATTCATTTTCCATAAAGTATCAGCCCATTCCTGAGACAAATTGGGCAACTGGTATTTTAGTTATGGGAAAGACATACTAATAACAGACACAAAGATAAATGAATAGATGAATTCTCTTTATCCCTGCTCAAACCTTGTTCTTTGGGATAATAAATGTTCTATGTAAAACTAATAAATTAGGAAGAGGGAAGTCTTACTGTCTTTAATATTGGGATCCACAGACTTCTCATACAGCCAGTGGAGTACATTGACAGCCCCATGTAAGGCAGCAACATGGGCCAGTGTTTTCCCCTCTCCCTGGGTAGCTATCAGAGATGTTCCCTGCTTCACTAGAAACCTCAAACAGTCCAGTCTGTCATGCCAAGCTGCGTAGTGACCAGGAAGATTGCCCATGTTGTCCCCTAGTGTCAGATCTGAGTCTCTCTCTAGCAGGCTTACTACACTTTCGATGCCTACAACCAGAAATGAGAATGAATGCAAATATACAAGGGGCTCCCATAGTAATTTGGTATTACTTGTTATCAGAGGATTCCTCTTAGCTTTCCTTATATGATCCTACAAGCCTTATATGGATCTATTACATGACATTCAAAATGGCGGACAGGAGTAAGTTAGGCTGCATACATGTATATATGGTCCTATCAAGGAGGATTGGCTCCTAGGCTGGAACTAGATATTTTCCAACAATGATAACGTCGAAATGTCGTTATTTTCTGAAATTATAACTGACTATACATTCAAAATAAACAGTCCAAAAAGATACATACCAATATCCTGATCATTTATTGTGAGTGTTGGAATTTTTCGTTAGGAAATAAGACAAAAATTCACGATTCAAATGTTGAAGTGAACAAAATGATGGCTGTTTGAATTCAGATTTTGAATCACAACATCTCCATATATGGGACAGAATATCGATGTTGCACTCTGGGAGTCAATCATCCTTTGTCCTATAAGCCATATATGGATCTATCATACTACATTCTAAATGGTGGACAACAGTAAGTTAAAATTCCTGTATGGTCCTACAAGCCTTATATGGATCTATAACATGGATACCACATGAACCAATACTAGATATAGTACCAACTTTGAACAGTGGGAGATCCCCCCCCCATCAATTAATAAACAATGCTTCAGTATGTGATATAACAGTATGTACTGTAGTAATAGTATGAAGGAAGCATGCTACAAAAAGCATCTTGGGAAACCCACCTCCAAACTGGGCAGCACAATGAAGGGGGAGTTTTCCTAGGTCATCAGTACACTCCAAGTCCACACCTCTCTCAAATAAGAACTCTAAAACTTTCTTGTGGTTTCTCATAGCTGCCAAATGGGAGGGCTGTCGACCTTTGCTATCCTCCAATATTAACTGTGCTCCTGAAAATATGCATGAAGCAGGACCAGATCAGTAAGTATACAGATGTAAATATGTGAATCCTCGAACCAGTGAAATAACTGATCGGAGAAATGGAAACCACAATAGGATTAGACAAATGGGCCTAAATGCACCATCCGATCGTGTGTATGAGTGAATGGAGTGATTTATCAAGTTAATGAGTGTTAAGCTGTCAAATGCATTACCCAATCAAACATGAGACATACCTCTATCAGCCAGCAACACAAGGCATTTCAGTTCACCCTGGAATGCAGCTATATGGACAGCACTTTGCCCATCACGATCTTGGCGATCAAAGTCTTGGACATACTCCAGTAAAAGACTAACACATCTTGCATGTCCCCCCTGGCATGCCTCGTGCAGGGGTGTCCTTCCACCATTGTCTATTTGATTGGCATCTGCACCAGCCTGAAAAATAGTGTAAGTAACACAACTTCAATATTACTTGAATGATTTTACACATAACCATGTAATATTATATTATGGTCAGACAATTTCTGTGACCATTTAAAAATTTTATAACATAAAATTCTATAGAAACCTTCATCCAAGAATTATGAAAATATTACATCATGGATTATTGGATTTCCAGTCCTGTCTCCATTGTTCCACAACTGGATGACTCAAACTGCAGTTAGTATCAAAGTAACAATTGTAAACAGCCTGGAAAAATGATATTCATGATATTCACCATTGATGACACTATCTCAGATATCCATGAATGTATTCCTCCCATAGAGTTAGTGTCATCCATTGTTTCAGTTAGTGTCATTCCTACGTCATCATCAAATTATGCTAGAGTCATTTTTAGTGAGGCCGTTTTCTTTAAATTTCTCCAATATTACGGGTGTTTGAATATTTTCTTGTAGCTGTTTACAAGCATAGCTTCATTAGTTTGTATGGCGAAATATTTGGAATCCAGATTGGCCACCATCTTGAATGATACTAACTGCAGTTAGAGTCATCCAGCTGTGGAACAGTGAGTCTCATAGTATGGCAGTAGCTCATGGGGGACAAAAAAACCAAAAATGAAAAACAGAAGTCTACAAATTCAAAGATAGTACAATCATACTAGTAATATAAAATTGATGTCCTATATATAAATTCACTCCACCCTCCAACCTTCATTCTGATAAGACTACTACTATACCGTCAATAATTCCTCAACAACGGTGTGCTGACCATAACCACATGCCATCTGCAGGGGACTACGTTGTTCAGGCTTCCATTTCAGATCTGGATTAACATTTGTGGAACGCAGAACTTTCTTTACAGCAGATGTATCACCTCTTTCTGTTGCCTGGAAATAGCAAGGCACACAGTGAATCATATATTGCATAATGTTCATGTCTCATTTCTCAACTCCAGCTATTTTACATAATAAGCTATTTTCAAACCACACCTCAATTGCAGGCAATGATTAACACATTGTGAATTCATTTATGCAAGCCAGTATATAAGGTAGCATTCAAAACCGATGACTAGAATTATAACAATCAAAAACAGGAATGTTACTCCACTTTTAACAAAAAAGAAAAACAGTCCCTTTACAATACAAAATATTTTTTTCAACTGTACTCATGATAACAAAATTTACCTGGACTAGTTCAGTACTTAAACTCCTATTAGCTGGAACACTAATCTTCAGCTCTGCTCTGTCTGTTTTTTCGCTATCAGGTGTGCCATCTCCAAATCTAACTGACTTCTCAGACCTTGTAGATTGTACTGCATCAACGGTGATCTCTTCATTGCCAAGACTTTTGTTATCCTCTTCATCTGGTAATGTTTCAGTGACATAGGTCTGTAGGTAGGTTCCTAGGAGTAGAATATTAACATGATTTTCATATGTGATTTCTAAGTGGAACACCTTTGGTACCTCTAAATGGTGTCCTACTTGGGTGGTGTTTCACTTATAGAGGTTCATTTAACATTTAGTCAGTTAATCTTGGGACAGTGTTCTATCCAGGGTTTTTCTCAGCAAGGTGCAAAATTTGCCTATTTTGCTGAAAATCCCTCATCCAATGATTCATCCTTTTGACAGTGTGCAACAGATTTTCAACAAGGAAGTATAGGTGCCATGTGACACCTGGTTGCTGCAATTGATGATTTTCATATGTAATAATTTGATTATTTTACACAGTATGCACAGTATGCTTTAACATTAAGGGTCTATGTCAATATTTCAATGTTGTACCATAACATAATGTCCCACAAAAAGAAGCCGTCCATCAGTCCATTCGTCCATCTGTTCCTCTATCCAGGCAACAACTCAAATACCAGTTGACAGATTTGGTACAAACTTTATAGGCTAATGCCTTATGGTGATAGGACCTCAACTAAAACTTCCTATTTGCCCTTTAAATATTTATTTTGAAGAATTTAAACAATTTTGTAATTCAGCATTATGTTTAAAGGGGCAACAAGACCTGTAGAGAGAAAATTTGAAAATTTTTACTTTTTCTGAGCTATCAGGGCAACATTTGGCTTAACATCTTCTATCGATCTTCATCTAAACATACCTATTTTCTTAAAATGTATGTGGATAAACTATCAACTTCAGCATTAAGAAGTGTAAATTCAGTTCAAAGCTTCTATAAAGGGAATCCCACTTATAGATTATTAAGATCCATCACGTTTCAAGAGGAATATCGGCTGAAATAATGTTCATCCAGGGGGTTTCTTTGTGGATAATAAAAGTATATGTCAGTCTTGATGAAAATTCCAAACTTAAATATATTTTGACACTGGTTCATGATCGTTGAATGGCCCGTCTGCACTAATTGTTGCACCTTTAAGTTTTGATTTGCATTATAAATTATACAATACAATTACAGTAATTGTAAAGGCTGAAAGCATTATTGGCCCCCTCAGTATTTAGTATTGTTGAACATGGATTTGCCATTGGGAATAACAGTGAGCATAAATTCTTATTCTGACATCTAATGCTGGAGAGGAAATTTCAAGAGGGAGCTAGTACAGGCTGTGGATCCCAATGATAAATCCTGTATTCCATACAAATGTATCTACACAGCTAAAAGAACTTGATTTTGTTGCCATAGTATTTAAGCATCAACATTGCATGCTATGATAGATTAACTAATTGATCAATAGTCTTATCCTGTTTCCTGTTTCACAACATGGTCTTGTTCCCAATAAGAAGTGCACCTCCAAACTGGTCTTTAAACATGCACTGACATGTTAAAAGAAATCTTTTCAAAAAATTATCCAGTTTCTTTGGATTCCTTTATTTTATTTTCTGAAAAAAGAATTGAGATGAGGATGTCCAAATTCATCAATATATGAAAATTTATCTACTTGAAAAAGGGGCATACTTCGCTTTTTTGTCAATAACCATAAAATTCAAAGGATTTTCCTGAGTCAGAAATGTAAATTGGCATAATATGAACTGATAAAAGGAACAATATTCCAAAATTGTGACAATATTTTAAAGTATAATATACATGTACATGTATGACAAAAATCGCTGTAACAAGTATTTTAGTCAAGTCCATTTTAAAAGGTACATGTATTTACATTTTAAAACAACAATATCATTAGGTTTATATTAAAAACAAGAGATAAGAATGTTCCTAAAATATTCTAGTTACATTTGAAAAATGAGTTGGTAATTAAACGTCAAGTGCTCAGTCTGGATACAGTGTTAACATGTACTTGCAGGGGTGGATACAGAAACTAACAAGGGACGAGGCCCACACTTTCGGAGTGAAAAAACAAAGTCTGTTTTTAAAATTTATGAACTAGCATTTGAAATCTCTGGTGATTTCTGCATGAGAGCTACCGGAAGTTCAGCCATTTTTAAATGTCAAAACCACCATTTTGATTTCTCAATAGAAAATTTCTACTCGGGAAAGACAAGTCCTGATCGACATAGAAGCAGCTCATAATTTACAATTGACTTTCGTAAACGAAGTATGGAGATGCAGGGAACATTTTGAGGTATAAAGTAAGTAGCTGAATTCAGTATTTCAGTGGTTATGATTATCTAGCGGCCTATTGTTGGCGGCCAAAAGCTGTTATATTAAACCTGTATTGACATGACATAAGTCTCTGATTGGTCAAAATAGACAAACAAAACGGCCGCCTCAAGATTTTCAAAATACGCTTCGAATAATATTACGTTCATTTCTGGCATGTTAACCAATATCATCAAAGGAAGAGCAAGATAAAGAAATGTGTGCTGAATATGCCTACATCAATTAAACATCACATTGAAGTGTAGTATTTGGTAACTAGCCAGTAAAATTTTGAACAAACGAAGGTGGTAAGCAAGAGATGTAATTATGTCTATTACGGGGGGGGGGGAGATTTCCCAAAGATAACCTTTCATATTGGCACGTTCGATAACCAATTTTATAAACAGGCCTCATTTGCCATTGAAATGGATCTCTCAATGTTCACTTGTGTTTTATGAGTATTCTCTGAAAGTTTGAGCAACTTCAATAGTATTACCTTAGTTTTGAAATGATGATGTTGAACTGATGTTGAACTGAAATAAACGCCTCTTCAACGATTTCAAATTTTACTTTGCACATGCGCGGCATTGAGAAAGCACGTGCTCATGATTGTTCACTAACCAAACCTGTCTGGCCCAGTTATACTCCTGATGTCGTAGATCTACGACATTTCAGAATCGGGGAGTAGATAACTGGGCCAGACGAGTTTGGTTAGATTGTTCACGTGATCCCATCCTGCAATTTGATTTGAGATCGTATAATGGGGAATCCCAGAATACAATAGAATACGAAAGAATTATGGGAGCTACAGTGCTAAACTCCCACAAACTGCAGAAAAGTATACACCATAAATCATATTTACCAAAATGAGTATGCATAATGCATTTGTCACGAGTTTGAGCTGAAATTTCACCAAAATTTTTTTTTTTTTTTTTTTTCATATATTTATTCTTCATACATAATACAGCAAATTCTACTGAGAAAAGCTTGACAAGCTAAAAGGATCATCTTGATATGTCTAAAAAGTTAAGAGAAGTTGATTTGATTTAATTGCTCCACACCACTGGATTTCCAGATAGATAGAGTCTTAATTAATGATCTTCATCGTCTCAAAAACTCAGTCACTTAAAGAAAAATCATTTGCATCCCTTAATTCATCTTGCTCGTTTCTTGTCATGAATTCGAAAGTTTATCACATATTGTTAATTCTTCTAGTATTTGTCCATTATTTGTTTGTCTTCATCACATAATCATAGGCATCTGAATCATACATATGATCCTCTCCTAAATCATCAAGGAAGCGCATATATCTTTCCCTACATGTTGCGAGGCTGAAGTTAGTAAGTCCTGCTACATCACATGTTGAAATCGAATCAGTGTTTGTCAGTTTGGAATCTTTGTTATTTTCGCATTGTGTTGATTTGTTGTCAGATTGTTTCTTGATGTTGACACTGCAGCCTCTGTGTTTTTTATCCAAATTGTTTGTTTTAGTGGCAACATGTTGCACTTTTAACTCTGTTGCACTTGATTGGTGTCTTTTTTGTTTAACATCTGTTTGCATCCCAACATTCACTTTTTTGATTCTGTCTCCCGAATTCAGCAATTTTGAATTAAATCCACTGTCGTCTCTATAATCACCCCCAGTTTCATTATTATTGTTTACAATGTCACTGTTTTCATTATTACAGTTTTTAAACAAGTCTCCATTTAGTACAGGCTTCACAGGTGTTGACTGTTCACATAATCCTATTTGTTCATGGTGTTTTGATTCACTCAACAGCTTTTTGTTAGAATTGTAATCACTAATCCTATTTGCATCTCTAATAAGTCTACTTGGTGACTTGGTATACTGGTTTGTGACCTTGGGTTGTAAAAATGGTGTGCTTTATATTCCAATGTGATAGTTGTTACATTGTTTGTTGAATTTCACCAAAATGAAGTAGGCTAAGGGTAGTCTCTGCCAGATTGTTTATTGTGGTAAGCTTGTAAGTGCTCAGAAGCAAATAATTCATGTGCGCAAAATAATCAAATAATCTGATTGGTTTAAACTTTGCTGCGCATGCGTGCAATGTGTGCCATTTTTCTAGTGATTTCGTTTTGTTCCATGGAGTTTGCGTTTCAGTGTAACATCCGCAAAAATGGCGGAATTAACAGGTACAATCACTTCGAAATTTCAAGAGAACTTTTTACCTATAATAGCAAAACTTTTGTTTTATTTGTGCATTTTTTCTATCAGATAAGAGTCTCAGGGGTATGTAGGCAAATCTTACTTCGGTCCAAAGCCTTCTCTATATTCCGGCTTTGAGGAGGAAGATTGAGCTGCCTTAGTATTATAAATATTGTAAATCATTGTGTCACACGCACAGTAAATATGGCATAATAATATGAAATATACCTTTATGTATAGATTTGAAGAACATCAGCTCACATCCCCGTCTGAATCTATTGTTATATTTGATTTCTTTAAGCGAGAATAATTTCAAATGTTATTCACGTCCAGAACCGGAAGCCATTTTTAGCTACAGCGAGAAAATTTCACCATGTGTCAAAACTCCGAAATGAAATTTTGAAATATCTAAATCCAGACAAGCAACGCTTCATCCTAAATATGATTAATATTCTTAAAAATATTTATTAAATTTATTAAAAATGAGTTCTAGGTGCGTGTAGGTGCGTGTAGCACAGTACATACGAAATCAATGAAGTTTCGTCTAGCTGTAAGCTAGAGACTCGAGTAAGGCAAATCAATTTTGGTACATGTAGGACTCTGTTTAGTTTGAAAACGCACCCTTTATTATTATATATCAGCACTGTAGTCACTTCTTCTGGTCTATTATCTCTAAAGCTCTGGGACTTTCCCTTCTCTTTATTAAACCAGTCCAGTCTTCAAAAAGGTAAAGCTTGTGCTTTTTATTACACTTTGACTTTTCTATTTTTTTGGAAAATAACAATTCTTTTATCAACATTTGAAACATAAATAATGGCCAGAAATTAAATGTCAGTCGCCAGAAAGTAAAATAAGAGTCGAGCTTTCTACAAACACTCCAATTAAAGTCAGGTTGTGGTATGGTTAGATGTAAATATGAAGAAATAACGCACCTGTTTGCCTACCAACTTCCCCCATTTTTAGTTTACATCCGACTACTTTTCCGCAGTCTTTTGGCAACAGTGGTCTAAATTCAAATTGCTCATTAATTAAATATTTCTTGCAGTTATATACCTAAGAGCTTCCGCAGTAAAATTGGGATAAATATTTTTCTTTATGTAATGGTTAATTGCTATAAACTGAAAAAGGAAAAAGTTTTGCAACATTTCAAATTGATGCCAACAATCGGTTGTACTTCCGGTTTCGTGTCACGTAGATTTTTTAAAAATTTGATGCAAATTGAAGAGTTTATTGCTTTAAATTGGAGTTTTATAGCACACTACAGGAAATAGTTATTATACGGATACATACCTGATATACATCAAGTGGGCTAGAAGACGTCAAAAGATGAGGATATTCAAGATATTTCACTTTACGTTATTTTATTTTTTTACATTTTTTTCAAAGAATTCTTGCAATGATACAAATGCACAAAATATTTTCATTGACAATTTATTGAAGGTATATGGCAATAATGAAACTTTGACAGTGTCGCAATTAGGAACTCTTATTGAAACACTGACATCAACAAATGAAGCTACTCATCATGAACCGATAGAAGATTGTACTGATTTGTCATCAACAGAATGTTTGACATCAAAGGTAAGCTCATATTTATTTAAACTTTTTCAAAGTGCTATTTTGTCTTTGTCTCGTGCTGATGAGCTTGCGTGTCAGTCTGTCTTGGTGGTTGGGCAGGCACCACATAAATCTTGTCCTTATAATTCCAGGATGTCCAAAATGAAAATGCTTTCCTGTTCAACTTCAAATTTTTACAGATTCAAGAGCAGACTATTATCTAAAAAGTATGCTGTTTTTTCGTCGATCAAAAATCTATTTTTCAGAAAAAGTTCAAGTATTCCTTCTAAATCATTCAGCCTACTTAAATTCGATGTATCACAGAGTTTTATGGCTGAGTGTTTTTATCCATTTCATAGCTAGGAATAGAAATACTCGAAAATCGATACAAACATCAAAGGAAAGGTCAGTCATTTTCTCCAGAAAAATTATTCTAGCCCTGTATTTGAGTGACGTCAGGTTTCCAAATATTGGGCAGGGGTGAAAATACTTTTATTCAACATTTCTACTGAAAGATGGCAGCTGCGAAAGAAGTACCTTGTCTCCCTAAGTATGGACGAGTCCATTCTGTCTGGTGACGTCACATTCTTAAAATCGTTTGGCTCGTCAGATTTAGAAGAAAAAAATGCAGAGAAATGTTGATGTATTTCATGTGAGTTCTCCTCACTTTCATGTGGTGAACTGACGAAAGGTAGGCAAGATATAACACCGTTGTGGCCAATCTTACCGTATGGCGTATATAAAGAAAAATTGAAAAAATTTGAAATAAATCAATTTTTGGATCGATGAGCAGCATACTTTTTAGATAGTAGTGGATATATCTGATGAGGTTTTGAGCTCGCTTGATAAATTACTTGTGGGCTGTTTTGAATTTTTTTTTCAATAGAAAAGGGGCAACAGTGTGTCTTTTTAGGCAACAATACTCAGGAACCACACAAGTAACATGTATGTGTCAATCAATTCTACCGTTTAAGATAATGTCGTTTTAACTGTTTTTCTGTATCCCACTTTATCCTAAGCAGAAACTTAACGGATGACATGGTAACAACAAGGATACTGTTATTACTTTTACCAAGTCAGTTAGGTTATTACAGCTAAGAGAAGTAAAATAAAACAATGAACTAAAATAAAATTCTAAATTGAAAATACCAACATATTACAGACACCAAATTTTGTTCATCTTGTACATTCAGAATAGTTTGCAGTAAAGCTGTGAACTTTTGTAATTTTAAATGGTTCAGCCGTTTTAATTTTGGGTCCATGCTTCAAAAATACATACTGGTTTACCAGACCCCTCTTATCTGCCTCTTTGAAAAATTCAAGACAAAGGTGCCGGTATTGCAATGTTTAAATTAACTTGACAGAAAAGCAGCAATATTAAAGAGGCCATGCATTTCTTAACTAACATGAAACAGTCTGAAATATACCACTTTTTAATTATCCTTTGCATTTGTTTGACTTCACTTCTAAAAAGAGAGCTTCGTCTTCACTCTTTCAAACTAAAATACACCTGTGAACTCACCGCGCCAATCAGTGTTCATCGGCCAAATTTGACCGACGATCTATATATGGTCATTCCTTCTGACGTCATCGTTGAACCCAGAATTGACCAATGACAAGCGCATATTTAATTAGAACGCATTTCGCGTATGTTTCTTCAAGCTCGCTGATTGGTGGAAGGAAGGTCAGCGCATAGGTCAAAAGTGATTTATTACCCAAACTGTCACCGGTACCCGTCGTGGGGGTGGGGCTACTAAATTGTAATATGGTCTCTACTAGGCAGAGTGTAGTTTAACTAGACTCTGCACGCAGGGTACATTCGAATAGGACTGTGGTCCATTGTGGTACAATCAGTAATAGCATTTTTACTCTGAGGAAAGAACTAATGGCCTTCAGTTCAAAGCAAACCAGGTTAAGCCATGAATAGAAGTATATTAACTCTTAACAAAATTCACAGTTAAAATCAGATTTAAAATCAAAGAGATATTGCATTGCATAGTTGCTTAAAACTATTTGACATCAGTTGATGGGAAAAGCTAAAAGTAAGTTAAATTACTTACAGATAATAAATTGGATATATTACTTTTCACAAACAAATATAAAGGAAAAGGGGCAAAACAGAACATAAAGGACATATGACATTCACATTCTGTCAGGCTTTCAGTCAAGCTACAAGCCTACAAGCCCTTGCACACAAGTGTGTGAGAAGGGGGGGGGGGTCACAGAGGCTTGTATCAAGACTACCAGGTTTTAAAAATACTTGGCTTTAGTTTAATGGTGTCTATAGTGTCCAAATGTATTCATCTGTTAGGTAAAGATAATTAATTTGTATTACTTTCCTCAAATCACTAACCAAAATAACTTACTTTTTCGAGCTTTCGGTAGCAGCTACTACCTCAAGTCAAGATGATATATTGGCGGGAAATGGGCTGACCCTTGACCTGGTTTGGGTTTTACTCCTGTGTAGTTCCAACAGTCCCGGGGAAACCTTAAATCCAGAGTCCCTGTTAAGTTGTGGCTTGCTTGTATGAATATGAAGTGCTTCCTTTACTTTCCGTTTAAAGTAATGGGGTTCTCTATCTAGAATTTTGTAAGCTATAGTGATCTCACATTTTAATTACTTGAAAGTGAAATCTAGCATTTGTTATATTAAATGAAACACGTTATGATAAGGTAAATGATAGAATAGTGTCCCATTCTCATTGAGTTCTACAATGGCTCAAAATTATAGATAATCCCTGGATTATCAACCACACTGATTTTTAAATACTGTGATTAACCTTTTTGTTTTTTTTAAAAGGTCACATTCACAAATGTTTGGAATAGAGCTTAAATAAGCAGTTGAAAACTTTGCAAGTAGTTTTTCAATCCCTGAACTTATATTATACTTCTTACCAGGTGGGGATTTTTTAAGTTATGATATTTTCAAAAAGGCGGGTTTATGTCCAAGTCTATTTGTGTATTAACATATATTATTTTTATGACTTAAAGACATTTAAGGTTTATTTAATTTAAAGAATTTAAAGCTATTGACCGTTTAGTCATTCCATTAATCTCTAAGAATTTCTAAAACCAAACTATCGTTCCTAAACAACTAGATACTTTCAAACACCCATTAAAGACCACGAAAGCGACATTTGAGTTTGTTAAGTCTTATTATCATCATAATGTAAAATCATGTTAAAGGGTAGAATGGTTAGTATATATAGCTATTCACTTAATCACCCTATGCAGACAGAGCCTGTGGGAAATATTGGGTGCGGAGCAAATGAGCGGAGGGTGCGGAGCTAACGGTTATTTTTGAATTTAAATTTGGGATATTTCTGAAACTAAGCCGTTTTGGGACTTCAAATATACCAAGATATGTGTATTTGACACCAAATATCAATACAATTGTGAAAATAGTAGCGCAATTCATTCTATAGTGACGCAGTGTGCCTTAAACCTTTCCCAGACCTATATATTCTGAAATTATCCTTTTAATACTGAGTCCCCAGCATTCATAAAAAATGGTGTTCAAGGTGCACTATCTATACAAATTATTTTTGCATCTTGGAAGCCAGGCAGTATCTGTGTGATTTTATAAAAATTCGGAAATTTTTTCAGATATGAGCCCCCTCTAAATATTGGGTGCGGAGCAGCTCCATAAACGTAGCTCCGCACCCAATATTTAGAGGGGCTCATATCTGAAGAACATTTCCGAATTTTTATAAAATCACACAGATACTGCCTGGCTTCCAAGATGCAAAAATAATTTGCATGGGTAGTGTATCTTGAACACCATTTTTTATGAATGCTGGGGACGCAGTATTAAAAGGATAGTCTCAAAATATATAGGTCTGGGAAATGTTTAAGGCATACTGCGTCGCTATAAAATGAATTGCACTACTATTTTCACAATTTTATTGATATTTGGTGTCAAATACACATATCTTGGTATATTTGAAGTCCCAAAACGGCTTAGTTTCAGAAATATCCCAATTTTAAATTCAAAAATAACCGTTAGCTCCGCACCCTCCGCTCATTTGCGCCGCACCCAATATTTCCCACAGGCTCTGTCTGCATAGGGTGTTAATAGATGGTTTTTTAAGGTAAAGAAAACATGAGTTCCTGGTATAGCTGTAATAGAGCTTATTTGTACTAAAATAGCTCATATCTACAAGTAATGATAGATCTGTGTGGGAGCAAACATCCATATCTGTCTTTGAAAGTCATTCAATGACACAAGCCTTATTCCTGGAGTTTTGCCATACCGAAGAGGGCTTCCCAAAGGGGTAGTGAGGTCACTTTTAAAATTCCAATATATGACCCTTAATGAAGTTATTCTTTGTTGTAAAAGTGTGATATTAGGTGGCACCACTGTGATAATTTTATATTTTTACTGCCTACATCTGTCTACATTCTTCTCTGTATTTTAAAATGATCTCATAAATCACCTGCTTGTATTGTTAAATGATCAGTTCATAAATTATTTTAATGATTTTTTGAAAATTTCCAGTGTTTGAGTGTGGATGAAATCTTAGAGGTGAACAACCTCCAAAATACCAGCCTTATTGACAAGTCAGGACTAGCTGGTCTCAGTCCTACATTAATACACCAAGCACAAAAACATTGCAAAGGCCCTCATGAAAAAGCATCTCTTCGGAAACCTAAGCCAGCTGAAGGTACAGTAAACATTAAATTTGTTTTAATTTTGTGATATTGATAAGACAAGGCTTGCTAGTCCCAGTCCTATCTAGAAAGCCCCTGGGTCAGTAGTAAGCAAAAGTATACTATTAGAAAATCTCAAACCCTTCCTTTGAAGATCAAATGAGTTTTTGTTTGTGTAGGGGGGTTGTTAATAACTAGAGGTCATTGATCAAGTGATAGCATGCTAGGTCACCCAAAAATAGGTTTACAGTACACTTATTCAACAATCTCTCTCTGTAAACTGTTAACCTTATTTTGGGCAACCCTGTATCAAGCTCAACTTGAGCATTCCTATATTCTTGATAGTATATGTAGTTTTTACCTTTGCGATTTCTAGTATGAAAGGTTCTAAATCGGGAATGATTCAATTCAATGGGAATTACTGTTCCATTGTGTGGATTTATAGAAATAGACTAGAAACTGGCATTCTAAAAGGCGTTCCCTCAAGATTTGATTTCATATTTGATCTTGATCAACAAATTATATGTTGTGATCAATAGTTTGCAGTTCATACTTGTATGTCTGTATCCGTGGAAATTATGTATTTCTCGTTTTGTTATATTGATAGTTATGTATTTCTCGTTTTGTTATATTTTCTATCTTTTTATTCAGAAATTCTATTATCTACCATAAAACCTTCAACGGTTTATAGGGGTTTTTAACAAAAAGCCAAATTGCCGTGTAGCATGTGTAGATTAATAGATCAGTGTTACAGATAAATGACATGTTTTTGTTAAAAATTGATCAATGATTGACAACTTAGTTAAGAGATTGATGTTTGTGCTTCTGAAATATAACACAAATAATCAATAAATTCCTAAATACTGCATAATATTTATTTTTTTAAGTACTATTATGTACATGTACAACTACATGAAGTACTACGCGCATGTACATGTACAACTCCCAAAGCAGAATATGACCATTTGTTTGAAATACAATTTCAAAATGGTTTATTACAATAAAAAAGGCTAACAAAGACTACCCTGCATGCAGAGTCGAGTTAAACTACACTCCATTTAAAACAACAAAATTACATTAGTGTTATTTTAGTGTTTGTTAATTACTATTACTTAGTCCAGGCCATTAAATAGAGAATGTAAAGTATGTACACATATTTTACTATAACTACCTGACGTCATTCAAGTTAAATTTATATTTTACTATTATCACCTATTACGTGTATCACAATAGTTGTCTAACATTATGTGTGTCACAGTAGTTATGTCACGTTATGTATGTTACAGTAGTTGTGTCACATTATGTGTGTCACAATACTTGTGTCACATTATGTGTGTCATAGCATTTGTGTTAAAGTAGATATTTTTCAGTGATCATGAAGTTCTAGGTCTGTCTATTTATTGTAGTTTGATTAACTCAGACATACATTATATGGATTCAACAATTAAGCGCCTGATTGCTCAAGTAATTTTTATTGCAATAGGGGAGTGAGCATCATTATTTTGCTGTATCAGTTTTTGTTATAACCTGATATGATCTAAATTGCAAAACAGTCTTATCTAAATGCACCGAATGTTTCTTTGTATTGTTTCATGAGTTGAGTATTGTCAATATAATATCCAGTCTGATATTATAGGAATATCCTATGGTTTTGAAAAAATATCATTTATATCCATGAGTGGATATTGAAATCTTCATGAGTGAGCGCAGCGAATGAGTGAAGATATTTGTATCCATGAGTGGATATAATTGATATTTTTGAAAACCCATAGGATTGTCCGTTTATCCCATGGGAAATCATCATCAGCGAAAAAAGTTGAAAAATATAATGTGAGAAAAAATTTGAAAAAATAATTGAAAAAAATTGTGAAAATAATTTTTTTTAAATATTTTTGAAATTTAAAAAAAATATTTTTGAAAATAATTAAAAAATTTTTTTTTAAAACTTCATAACCATCGAATATCACTTTTCAAACCATCAAATATCACTTCAAACCATCGAATTTCACTTTTTAAGACATGATATATTTATAGTTTAAAAGTGATATTCGATGGTTTGTGAATTTTTTGCTAAAATATGATCCACGTATCAAATATATCTTCATGTGATATTCGATCTATATCCTTGCATACATGGGATAAATCACAGTACCCTTATATCAGTATTTAAATTTTAGATTAGTTTTTCCAAAATAAATGCATGCAGTCATTCTATTATCAGATAGTTCAGTCTTACAATACATATACATGTACACTTTAATTAATAGTACAATACATGTATTTAATATGCTAATCATTTGTTTTTCACAGCATGACTTAGAATCTCCTGATGTATAATGATTTTTTTAGGAAATCGGCAAAAGAGGATTGACTCCCAGGTACACAACTCGATTTTCTTCAACAATGAAAATGTCTTAATGTCATTATTTTCTGAAATTATACTGGTATATAAACATTCAAAAGATTCTACCAATATCTCGATCACTTCTTGTGTGTTTTTGGAATAATTGCTTGTAAATGAATTTCGTAATCACGACATCTTCATATACGACAGAGTATCGAGTTAGAACCCTGGGAGCCAATCCTCCTTGGGAAAGTGGGTGGAGTAAAGCTTCAAAGTGGTGGTATTGTCTCTTAAAATTGTTGTGTTCATTTCAATAAAAAGAATAAAGATGTCAAGGTGTCTTGAATATTTGAAACTAGTATTATTCTTATAAGTATTACATACCTAGCAAAGCATTTGTATGGAATTCACTGGGAAAGTTAGCGGGCTATATGATATCCACCAATATTGCCCGATTACCTCGATATAGCCCCCTTACCTCGTTTTGATATTATATTCTTTAATAACCATGACAATAGAATGACGTCATGTTTCATTTCGATCAAATTCTACTCGCTCACAGATGTGTGACATCATTGATACAAAGTAACCATAGGAATAAAGGTATGTAATACATCAGCTATGTCACTATGACGTGTGTCATCGTTCTTGCCAAAATATAGAGCCTCAATAGGTCGCCCTATATTGGAGAACTCAGGCATATTTCATGACATAACCTCTAAATATTGTACCATTGGCCTTGTCTAATTAATCAAAATGTGCCATTAATGATAATGATGATCATAAAAGAGTTTAATAATGATTACAGTTATAGCTTTACCAAACAAACCTGCTGTTTTGCACGTTCCATCAGTTATAATTAATGTTGTACAATCGCAGATCATAATGTGCAGTTTTATTTTACCAGAGGCTTTTTCTGGAAATTGTTTTTTCATAGATTTTGAGACACGCTGAGAGAACTTCTGATCAGCATTTGGAATTAATGCTCCAAATAGATATCTAATTAATATCCTTTCCATTGCAAAGAGTAAAATTTTGACTGATCAGCTACTGTGATCAAAACAACAATGTATGCAATATACCAGATTATATTTAACTAATTTCATTAATATAAATGATTAAAAATGCCAACTGTCAAACACTGGTGTCGTTTCCTTTCATCAAACACAATGATATTGTTGATATTGAATTGAATGGTTATTCAAAGTCATTGTTATATTTGTAAACATATTGCCCTGATATATTATACTGTAGTTCCTGTAGTAATAAAATCCATAATTATATTCAAAACATATAAGAATTAATTGATATCGAAAACATTTCTACTTCCAGTATGGGGGTATGGTGTTCTGACGGTGACTATAATCAATGCATGTGCACTAACGGGGGTATGCTTTGTGCCAGTGATGCGCCACAGATATTATCGCAGGTTCTTGATGTTCATGGTGGCCCTTGCTGTAGGAGTCCTCACTGGGAGCAGTCTTCTTTTCCTCATTCCTGAAGTAAGATAATTCATAGACACTGGTCTACACCAGGATGATACTAAATTGAGTTATTATTATCCAAGATGGTGGGCTATAAACCTTTGATTTCAGCAATTTTAACTAAATCAACTAAAATTCTGGATTCCAAATATTTTGCCATGCAAACTCATCTCTGAAATTGGAGAAATGTATTTAAAAAAGCTATTTGACCTGTATTTCAGTCACTTAACCTGCTTTATTTCAGGCATTCAACTTGATGAAGATGAAATAGATGCAGAGATGTACATGTTAAGGTTACTACTAGAGATGTCAAGGAACAAAAAAAATCGGAGCAGTTCGGAACATTTTGCTTCGGAATGGAACAATTTCGGAATGGTTCGGAACAGAGTGACTGCGTGTATAAGATTAAAATAAGTTGATCATTTAGGTCTATTTGGTAGTGAAAAGCTCTTCAAAACTCTTCAATGAGAAGGAGTGAAAAGAATGAACCTCTTTTGGTGCAAAATATTGAAAGAAAAATGCTGTTTTGTGGCGATTTAAGGGCCAAAAGTTGTGAAAGGGTAAAATGTTCTTGTTCCGGAACCGAACCGAAATTCTCAATTTGTGTTCCGTGTTCCGTTCCGACAGCATAATTCCGCGAATCGGAACAAAATCGGGTATCCATGACACCTCTAGTTACTATTATGGTAGTTATATTTCAGGTGTTTAATCTGTTTTTCAGGCATTTAACCTCTATGAAGATGAAAGAAATGCAGAGATGTACATGTGGAAGTCTACCACTATAATAGCTGGTATATTCTTATTCTTTGTGCTAGAGAGAATACTCAAGATGATCATGGATTGGAGACAGGTATGTATCGTAGGATTGTACACCATGGTCATACATGTTTTATGTTGTCTACTTTGGGAGGGTGGGAGGCTACTTGCAGTACAGAGTACAGTACAGGTGTGAGGGTTACTTTCACTGTATAGTACAGGGGCGGGGCGTAACTTTATTATAATTCCAGTAAGATTTATTTCAGTGTGTCTGATATAATTAATACACAGTTGATTGAAATACATGTAATGTTATGTAATGTACCATGTATTAGAGTGGCTTGGTATGTGTTGATCATTTAAGACATTATCTATTATTTGAGCAAACATGCGGGAAACATGCCCAGTAGACTATAAAGACTAAATACCTGTCATTTTATTTTATATTCAAAGTGGCCAATGCCATTGGTATGTATAATTGATACCAATTTCAAATTGTTTATTTGAGTAATTATTTGAATAGTAATAAATAAAAGAAAAAGAAAAAAATTAAAAATAATAAATTGTTTATTAGTTTAGTGGATCTGTTATCAAGGTAGGATTCATGAGTTCACCGTTTTGTATGATTGTGTTTCCTGGATTAAAAATATATGTTTAAACCATCCTCAGAATTTTGAAGATTTAAAGCAAAATGGTAGAGTACTACATATGTTTAAATGTTAAATATTCATTAACTTTGTAATATTGTTTTTGAATTTCTTTTGTAATTGACAAAAACTCTTCTTTTATGCATGCTACAAGTACTCCCGCAAGTACTATGCTGTTAGATTTTATTTGGAAAAAGTTCGTAAACTAATATTGTCACTATGGTTACCTAGGCTAGAGATGAGGCTGGCCAGATTGTCAAGAGTCCTACGATATCTACTATAACATCAACCGTAACAGAACAAATACCCATTAAAGCTGGAAAAAATAATGGAATAGTTTTACAGGCATATAAGAATGTCATTGAGGTATCAGTTAAATAAGGGAAAAGTTTAAGTTCTTGGAATTTTGGTAGATGAAAAGTTGCCAATGAACAGTTGCCAGTGTTTTATTTGAGTTGAACAAGGAAAATCAGTTTTGTTGGTTCTAAGATAGGATTCATTTTGGGAATCCATCGATCTGTATTATATGGTTTAGCTAAGAGAGGTATAATATTTCCAAGTTTTTTTATTGGATTCATTATGGTGATCAAGTCTTGACTCTCAATTCAAAATAGTTAGGCTGATGTTAACCATAAATGCATGGCTTGATTTTTTATTTTTTTGCATTTTAATTTACATAATGGTTCTGCATGGCTCTAATTAATTATTAATGAATTCATTATTTTAATGATGGAATATTTTTAACATGTTTAAGAAAGCCTATTTATTTCATGAAATTGATTCATTTGATAACATGGTCAAATATTTGCTATAAATAAGCAATGTTAATGTTCACTCCATATGAATTCAATTCATCAAATATGAATTCAATTCAAATTACATCAAATTTAGTTTATTGAATAATTTGAATAATTTCTTTTTCAGTTAAGTAAAGATGTTGGGGATATTGCCAAAGTTGTAAACTTGAATTTTAGGAAAACTCTCAGATATCAATCCCGTGATAATATTTAACTTTATCATGTTACTGTTTCAGTCTAACATGGAAAATATTCTATTTCAGTTTATACACAAAGAAAAATTGGTAAATGTGCTGCCACTATGCTCTGTAGATCCAGGGATTCCCCTCCCTCTTTGTGCAGGGATGCCCCCCTCTTTATTCATGTATCACAAGACATAAATATTTTCTGTCTATAGACAAGTGTGCTCAGTACATGCAAGGATGTCTATCTTTCTCTTTGCTTATGTATCCCAAGACATAAATACTTTCTTTTTCAGTCAATAGACAAGGAAAAGATGGGAAATGAGCTACCAGTGTGCTCTGTACATGCAAGGACGCCTCATGAGAATGAGCCACACATGAAAGTCCACCTGAGTGTATCAGAAGAGAATGAAGAATCATACACCCGCCTGGTGCATAGTAGCCCAACTGATGCTTCTTTAGCAACAACTACCACTCTAGTGGACCCTGCAGCTGTAGAAATTGCACCGGTAAGATACATGACATTGCAATTGCATACTACAGAGTGGGCTAAAAAATGCTACCCATTCTGATGTCATATAGTCAGAATGAGTAACATATTCTGGTCCACCCTGTATAAAGTAACACTTTTGAACACTTCTCTAAATTCCTTTAAATGTGATCACTATTTATGGCATCCTCAGAACACAGGGCTACATAACTTGTTACTCCTTCTGGATCTTGGAGCCCTGCAGTTGGAGGATGATTTATGGGGGTCCCGATTAATTTGAACATTTTTCAATGAGATCATTTTAGCTAGTTTACCCCCATTTGAAAATGCGCTATTTTAAATCTTTCAATTTCAAGAAAGATATACTGGTAAAAAATATGTCTCTATTGTGATAAGGCACAACAATGTATATCAGTTTTAACACAATGTCAACTGTCAATAATTCCTGTTCCATTTTCTCTTTTGAAAAATGGAAATCAAGGTACAAAATAGGGGAACTGCAATTCAATACTCAATATTAACCGAAAGACTTCTTGAAATTCACAAATGACTCAATATTTGACTAATATGAGCCTTCACAACTAAGAATGCACCTCTTTATTTCAGAGAAACGGACATTCCCACAATGGCGCAGTTGTGATGTCAGAAGGCCCAACCAAAGAGACACCTATCAAGACAGTAGCTTGGATGATTGTGGTTGGAGATGGACTCCATAACTTCATGGATGGAATAGCTATAGGAGCAGCATTCTCACAGAGTCTTATCACAGGCATCAGTGTCTCATTAGGGACCTTCTTTGAAGAACTTCCTCATGAATTAGGTATGGTTAATTTATGAGAATACAGGGTGAGCCAGAAATAGAAATGCTTTTACATATTATTCAGAGGAGCAGATATGCAGCTAATGTACCACCCTGTACATTGTATACCTGTATCTATTCAGATAATTGAGGTATAAATCCAAAGCAACAAACAATCTGATGGTGTAGAGGATCTACTCACGTTTGAATCTCAAATCATACATTTGTGTGTTTCCAATAAATCATTATGGATTCTATAAACATGTAGTATTGTAGTATAGAATCAGAAAATGTGGATGATTTTGGTCAAGTTGAAAGTCGAATGTGAAGGTTAACATCTTTTAAAACAGTCTTCATATTTTTTTATTTTTAGTTCCATCATTTTCATTTTTCATCTGTTCACATGGATTTTTATCACTTGCTTAATGTTTGGCTGCTCAGTACTGGTCTCCTTTGTCTTGGCTTTTAGGGCTATGGCGACTCCCATGTTGGCGGTGGGGTATAGTTTTAGTAATTCACACCATCATATCTACAAGTTAGTGACCAAATAAGGCATGTCGTGGAAGAGGGGCATATAGGCTACATCTACATACAGTAAAACCTCTATATCCAAACACCTCTCAATGTGAAAACTTTTTCTCGGTTCCAATTTTGCAAATCCCCGTTGACTCACATGTTATTAAACTTTAAAATGTGAACACCTACCAGTCCTTACAACTTCTGCTGGTCTAAGTGGCATACGGCTGAGACAGGTTTTACTGTATTTAAATGTTGTCTGTGGTTTTAAAATGAAACAAGGAATGGAAATGAAAGGATCAATGAAGAATAATACATGTAGTCAGACTCTAAATTGCCTAGAAAATAGAATAAACATTTTTTGATGACATTTGTTTCTCTTTGGTGGGTTGAACAGGAATAGCAGAGGCCCAACAAAATGTTTACAATTAACAATAGTAGAATTGTGTATGAATAGAGAATACAAAAATTACAATTAAATTGAAAATATTTTGAATTGAGTGAACATTGCAGATTGTAATAGTGCTAACCTGAATAGAAACTTATTAAAAAACAAACAAAAAAACATTGCAGATCATTCACATTTTAAAAGTAAAAATTGAATTGGCAGAAAAGGTGTGAATATGGCATGACTAATGGAATAGAGAAAATATTAATTATTATAAGGCATGGGAATGAAATGGAATAAAGCATACTTTTACGATATAAGAATTTCAAGCTCTTTAAAATCTGGAAACCTTTATATTATCATCAGCTTAGAAAATCACAACTGCATGAGAAAGATTCAATGTGTATTAAATGCTTGCTTTTGTATCGTGTTTGGGATGATATATTTTTATGGAGAGAGTCTAATGGTTACAAATAGGGAATGTTCGAATAAACCCCTTCCCATTACCTCAATTTCATGAGACAAAATATTAACTTTTATTCTTGATCAAGTTGATATCTCCCTTGAATGAAACATTTTACCAAAACCCCCAAATTAATTTCCTATTTCTGTGAATATTAATATTTTTTATAAAAATATTCATATAGATTCATATTCTTTGTTTACAGGTGACTTTGCAATTCTGCTAAATTCTGGAATGAGCCTCAAGAAAGCTCTAATGTGCAATTTTGTGTCTGCATGTACGTGTTATATGGGTCTTGCCATGGGAATTCTCCTGGGGGAGATGGAAGGAGTGAGCTCATGGATCCTTGCTGCGACTGGGGGAATATTCCTTTATATATCTCTGGTTGATATGGTAAGTATTAAATGGTGTATCTATACATGGAGTAATCCAGCAGAAAAATCTAATTAAAAGTAATCGAAATTTTGAGAATAAAATTTTTTGGAATGAAAACGTGAGTAGTTTTAACTTTCTTTATGTAATTGAGGTCTCTGTAATTTTAATTATTTTCTGTTAGTGTTTCTCTTGATCATTTTATATTACACCCGCTAATTGTCGCTAATGTTGAAAAACTTTGGCAATCAGCTGACTGTGTATATCTATGTTATTATTAGAAATAAATCGATAACATGAAAAAAAACATCCAGGGTATAGCTAGGATTTAAAAAAACAGACAAGGCAACTTTGTGAAGCATAATACTATCAAGTGACTTTTACAGTTTCATTTGAAAGGACTAACATAATAAAGTAATGGTTGCTTTTTATTTCAGTTACCAGAAGTAAACTACATGGCTGAAACCGAAATGAAAGAAGTTGGAAAAATCAAGGTTTTCCTAATACAGTGTGCTGGAATGTTATTGGGATACGGCATCATGATAGTACTAGTCAAATTTGCCGGAGAGATTCAAATAAATCTGTGATCTCACAAAGCCTGGACTAATGTAATTCTACTTGAGCATTGATTGCTCTTTGTAAGATAACATTTAATTCTCAATTTGTAGACAAGTTGTAAAAGTTGAATTCTTTTCAAAATGAATTGCAATATTATTAGAAAGTCCAGGAAATACAATTTGTAAATATATTTACCAACGTTATGTAAGGATTTACTTATTTGTACTGTCTCATGAGGTTCGCCATAATGTAATCATGTAAACACTGCCTTAAAGTGTACAATTGATGTAAGAGGGGTAATACCCCAGAATTCATAGCTGAACCTTTCTCCATGCGTTCATCTTTGAATTCTGGTGCATTTCCCCCTTTTAATTGATGCATTATTTATACATGTACATATGGTTATATGTATGTATATACATGTATTCATATATTGATATGGCCTTGTGCCATGTCTAACCTCCCCCCTCTTTGTATTATTTTTCTCATTCAAAGTATCAGAACCAAGGAGAGTATAAATATGAACCTCTCAAAAATACCTCATATGAAATTGAATTGTCTTCAGCTTTTGAGTGTGTATTGTATGTTAGAGGGTGGAGTCCATAAAAGGTTTAATGCAGGACTATATCAAGACCTAGAAAGCCCATGAAGATGGGATAGAGTGTTTGCGTTTTAGCATAGCCTCTAATGATTCAAATGATATTGTAATAGTGCACAAATAACATGTATACCTGTACTCACTAGTACATTTGTATATGAATAACAATTAAAAATGTTCAATCACAAAAAAACTTTCAATAGTACAGTGTTTAAGGCTTCTGGTGTTAACTATTATAAAGTACTAAGTACCCATTGTATGTACATTTGTAGTCATCCAAGGTTTGACTGTTCTGATTTATTTTTTAGTGGCAATGACTGCTTAAGATGTTGTTCTAATGTTTCAAATTTGATAGAAGTGATGACTTGGTACCCTGATTTCACTGTCTTTAACGTAAAACCAATGGTTTTAATAGCTCGGTGCTCAACCAACCAGAGAGAACTACATTGACACAGGTTTGTTTACACTCTATAGAGAATCTCCTATGAGGGGCAAGAGGCTCTGATTGGCTGGTTGAGTTTAGAGATCTATCGATAATGTAAATAGTTTGAGATTAAGACTTTCACTCATTCAAAGTGTACCAAATGGTCAGCAACCATTGAAATCTTAGTAATTTGTGGAGATGTTTGTTTACGTGTATAAATTGTTTGAGTATATAAATGCACAATATATGTCCAAGTCAGAATAAACAGTCAAAAAGACTGCCTATATTGTATACCTCTTATTGACCAATCAGAGTAGAGTGAAACTGAGATATTAATAATGATACAAGTTATATACTGGTATGATGTATATATTAGTTACATACTCTCTATACAAAAAGCGTTGATATGTATGAAGTTTTCAGTGGGAATATAATCATTTTTGTAATGCTAAATAGGAAGTCTCAAATGAATACAAGTAAAATAATGTGAGTGTAGTTATCAAGAGTAGATTGGACTGAACGCCAGTCCACCAAGTTCCAGGGTATTTTTAACCAGTTGGGCATTTAATTCCCATTCTCAACACCTGCTTTTTAGGTTAAAGGTTTTTATTATCAAAATAATCAAAGCCTCAACACCTGTATACTGTATTTATATTCTGACCCCATGTACCCCAAATAAAAAAATCTGTAATCTGCACCAACCCAAAATCAAATCAAGGTGCCATACATAGGATTTAAAAACTGATAGATAAGATTTGTAGTCTGGGTATAACCCCTTGTGACCCCCCCCCCCCTCCACCTCTACTTATCTTCCCAGTGTGAGAAGGTGTGTGGTCAAGTAGCGGGAGGGGGTCACATGGGCCACCTGCAACTAGACTATAAGATTGGCATTAGACAGGCAAATGCAATGATCAGAGGTGATGCAGGTGGAGCATATGAATAAAAACTGATTTATTTTATTTTGATTTTAGTAAAGAAAACTGCTGGATCATCTTCCCTTATATGGTTAAATTATTTAGTAGATGTAACATGTACATGACAATAGCAGAACAGAAACAATGGTTAACAAAATAATACAGTTACGCATGCTACGAGAAAAAGAGATACTGACTCAGAATCAGTTTATTGCTAGAAAAACATTGGCATGCTTAGATTTAGAAAATATTACTTCCAACATTCTATAATTTCTTTAAGCACTGAGTACTTCTAGTTGTATTGTTAACCAACTGTTGTAATTAAACATTGAATGTTCCAACATGTCTACATTTTTCTTATCTAGAAATGTCTTCTCTTTTGAACTGTCTTTATTCCAGTGTATGGCATGTCTACATGGCAGCATGTAATGTATGCACATTGTATTGCGATCTCACAATGATAATTTTGACAATAATGTATATTAATGAATTTTACTGAAATATAGAATAAGGTCCTCCAGAATTATATGCAGTATACATACATCGAAGAGGCACTTTAGGCCTGTATAATTGTTATCATGATATCATATACACAAACAAAAATAAATTTTTGTCATAATTATTTGGAATAAGTAAAATAAATAAACTGAAAGAGTTTAATTGAAGGACTGATCAGAGTAGCTGTGACTATACCTGCACCAACTATAAGCTTAAAATACAGTAAAATATTTGAACAAGGTTTTATTGTATTAGTGGTGATGGTCTTAATGATAATCATGCTCAAAATCAGGCAGTTTTTCAACATTCTGACTATTTTTTGAGTGCTTTTTGGCCAAATTTGCCAAAGTGAACCCCCCTTGCAGCCTTGGAAAATTCTGGCTACGGGCCTGATAATAACAACAAAACTATGATGTCAGTGAATGTAAACACTGTAATCTGTTTGAATTTGGTGGTATATAATTTTTGCAAATATGCCATTTTCAGAAAAAAATCTGGTTGATTTTTAGAAAAAAGAGATATCAGAATACTAAAGGACAGTTAGTAATCTTCTTCATCAAGTTCATTTTTTATTATGTAAATGTAAAGGGGCAATGCCCTTTGATGTCATTGGATTTTTGTAATGTTGAAATGAGTCATAATGAATGAAATATCCGTGCCATTTTAGTTGTTGATACCTCTTCATGGCGAAGTAGTTTCTCTATCATACTCCTAAGTTATGTAAATAGTCTATTTATTTGTTATATTTTAAATGTTTTATTTGGTGCTTAAAATAACCTGAGTTATGTAATCAGCCAATATTGTATACTGAACTGGTTTACAAAGATGGGCTAATGTGAAATAAATGGGGGTTGTAATAAGAAAATGGAAAAATATATTTTGTTTATTTCCTTATTTACTGTTATAAATGTTAAAAGTAATAAGGTCCAATGAGCAATCTTCTTGATATAAAATTGCCTAAGATCAGATGTTGTAAATAAGTAAGACACCTGCCCAGTTTATGTTCAAAGAACAAAATATTGAACATATACAGGGTGTTCCAAAAATAACAGGACTGTTATTTTGTTAAATATGCACCAATCGTCTTCAAATGTTTACATAATGTACTTACTTATACAAGCTATTTGTTGTTAAAGTTTAATTCACATAAAACGTATATCCGTTTAAAACCAAGGCCAAAACGTTGATAATTGTTTATGCTGCATACGTGATAGTTAATGAAATAAATAACACTTGATATGATATATGGAAAATACAACCTGGACCGTAAGAAAACCTTTGCTAGATACATTTAGGCGTTTGAACATGTCCTGTTGATGTTAAGTTTTCACATAACTTATTGTACGACCTAGTAAGTAAATATTGTGCTTTTTAACCGAGTTTCATAGATAACGAAAGTCCATGCAGTGAATATGAGGCTACTAAAGAGTAATGACACTCTGCATGGTATATACTTGTTATAACCCCCTGCGATAACTAATCGGTTACCCCCACCGGGCTACCGTCAATTATTCCCCGTATGTTGATAAGGTTTATGAAGAGCGAGAGAGTCGAGCATTGTGATTGGCTGAGCTATATCATGGAGAAACAAAGCCTAATATAGTATTGTTTTTAATTTCCACTAATTACTAGTAAGTTGCGGAAAAGAACAGTACAAGTAAAAAACAAAAAACTTGTTACATATTGACAATAGAGCTAAAACAAATAAACTCGATACAGAACTAATTCGTGGACAAATAAGCTCAGTATAGGCCTACCTGTTGTAAATGCTCGTACTTGTCAAAATACACGTTAAATTCTACCAAGGATGGAAGGAAGAGGGATTCAAATTTGTGTTTTTTATTTCATGACAATTTTGTCCTTTTCTACATCACAAAACATCTTCATAAAGAGTTTACTGGAGATTTATGGTGAAAATGAGACGCTGAGTGTGGAACAGCTAGAGACGCTTTTTAAGACGCTTGCAAAAAAGGAAGGGGGTGTCGGTCATGATGTGTCCCGTGCTGGATGTGATAACCTTTCATCAACAGAGTGCCTCACGTCAAAGGTATTGTAGTATACGCTGAAAGATCATAAAACGAAAACATCCTTTGAAAAAAGAGAATCAACTGTAGAACTTAAGTTTCAGTATTTATTTGAAAAAATGCCTCGGCAAGCTGCTCATTTTGTTAAATTTTGCTATTTCAAAAGCAGAAATGAAATTTACAATATTAAATGAATTATACTTGTGTCAAAAAAAGATGTAATATTTATAAACAAATATCCTTACTTACATGTGGGCTGGGTTGTTATTTTATTACTTTTCTTTTGTATTGTACTGTATTGAATGATGTAAACTTACCACTGTAAATAACAATAAAACTAAACTAAACTAAACTGTAAATACATCCTGTCGGTAGATGTGATACAAATAAAGGAAATATATTATATGTATGCTTTGACCTGTCGGTTTTCGAGTAATCAAGTATTAATCGTTTTCATTTTCTTTTAAATAAGGATTGAAATGTGACAATTGTGACATTCCGAATGAGAAACCAAACCCAATGATCGATAAGGTCGACGCGTTCTTAAAACATAGGCCTATATGTCTGTTTTCATATCACGTATTTCACAAAACGGAATTTTGAAAATGGATGCAAATTAAGTGCCTGACTTTCTTTTCAATATAATGTTCATTAGGTTATCCATTGAGGGCAGACGTCTGGCCCTTTCAGAACCCTTCAAAGTATTTCCACATGATGATAATTTTAATGGCTTCATATCCTAATAGGCATTTTGATACTCGGGCCATCTCTTTCTTGCAAAGAATCCTCCATTCGGTAATACTCATATCTTTCTGTTTCACTTAAAACAGGGCTGAGAAGAAATGAGATGACATGGTTTATCATGATGAGAATTCCTACTAGATGAAGAATAGATAGAATACTTAAGCCTCAAGATGCCATATACGAGTGACATGCTATTTTCAGGAATAAACAACCCAATACATGCACTGTCTAGATATTTAATTTTGCACATTGTTTACATTTATTTGTACTGCATTTATAAGTATAGGGTAAATATTTTATAATCTTTAAAAATATTAAGTGTCTTTTATATAATGTTACAGAAAAGTAGGTCACTTGATTTTCTTATTATTATTCGATAAAATTATTGATACTTTTCGCCCATGACCCCGAGCTGACCTCTTATCTTGAAATTTACACGTTTTTGAAGGGGGGGGGGTCCCTTCTTGCGAAGAAAAATGGCCTTTAGTGAAAATGGGGGGGGGGGGGTTGTCCGCACCCCGATCCTCCGTTTGAATGGCACTGACACAACTAGCCTCGAAAACCTTTTGTTTATATCGTCCTTTGAGCGATACAGGACATTGCCCTTTGTTTATTGCATATTGCCATACAAACATACTATGTTTAACGACCTCTTCTCACATTCAAACACCTGTGCTACAGATGGAGTCAAGATCGTATAAAAACTGCAATATTTATTGAAGTACTCTCAGAGTGTGGTACGTGCTAGCTGATTGGTTTCAGGGTTGAATCAAAATATGAAATGATCTGATTCATTCGTTGTTGTTTATGAAAAATACAAAATTGTATTCGTAAATTAAAAACACTTCAGTATTTCCAAAGAAACGTCAATGACTAAACAAATTAGAAAATAGGCGCAATCACATATTTGGAAGTATCCTGCGCCCAGAAACAGATTTCAAATTTCTAATTTGAAAACAATTAAAGGACTGTTGAGAGAAAATTCGAAAACATTTATTTTTTCTGAGCTATCAGGTCAATATTTGGCTTAACATCTTCTTTGACATACCTATTTTCTTAAAATGTATGGATAAACTATCAATTTCAGCACTAAGAAGTGTAAATTCAGTTCAAAGCTTCTATAAAGGGAGTCCCACTTATGGATTTTTAAGATTCACCACGTTTCAAGAGGAATATCAGCTGAAATAATGTTCATCCAGGGGGTTTCTTTGTAGATAATAAAAATATATATTAGTCTTGATGAAATATCCAAAGTTAAATATATTTTGACACTGGTCAAATCGTTGAATGGCCCCCCTGCACTAATTGTTGCACCTTTAAAGTAGTTACCAGTTGGTTTTATAACATGGTCTAGGGAATCTCCCTAACCTAGAAGTCACATTTTCAAATAAAATAAAAAGTTGATAAACAATTTTTGAAACCACAATTCTAAATGTAATTTTACATGTAGATTTCAAATATGATTTCACTTTGATTGAATTTCGATTATTTAACCCTAATGTCTGCAACCTCTAAGTCGCAGGGAGGGGGTCATTTGGACCCCCCCCCCCTCTGCGATTTTTTATTACTTGTCTGATCTCATTATCTTCAGAAAAGTTTCATTTTCTTAAAAAAGTAGGTCAAAACAGGTCAAGTCGAGGTCAACGTGACCTAGGGGGTGTAAATGTTTGACATTTTGTGTCAAATTGTCAATTTTCTTTCACAATAATTTTTTTGTGCCGAAAAATGCTTCGCTGCCTTAAGGAATAATCTATTATCTTTCAAATAGAACTAAAATCGTGGTAAAAGCTTTTCGATCTAGAACTGAAGTTATACACTCCCAAAGAAAGCAGGTATCAGGAAATCCCATTGAAATCAATGTAACGTGAAATTGGATAGTCTGCAATTTCAAGTTCAATTTGTTTTTGGCTTTAGCATTTTCTTTTAAGATAAACAACAAATGCGAATCAGTGATTTAGTATGCACATTTTTGAATGTATGACTTGGCATTATTTTAATATGATTTCGGCCCATTATGTTGCCCAGCAACCACCTAGCAACGGCACTAACATAGTGAAATTGAAAAATTGGGGTAGGGGAGAATAAAAAAAATTATGTCTAAAAGGATAGGTATCGATATGGTGAACTGAATAAAACAATATTTTTCTCTTAATCAATTCATGAAAACATTCTGTAAAAAAACACGGTCCTTTATGTAATGTTTACTGATTGACAACAATTTAATGCGAAAATTATTTATATATATTTTATATAACTGTTTTTGTTAACATTTTTTGACTGGTTTAAGAGAAACGCATGTTCAAAAAGTTCACCATTTTGATACCAACCCTTTGGAATAAGGTATCATTTTTCTCTCAAATTCGTGAAGAGAACGCATCTCACGACTACTTGACTACTTGGCGATTGACAGTGTTTTCCTTCAAAAATTGATATACCACAGTCAATAGTGACTAAATTTTCACGAAATAAATATGCTAAATTATTATCTATCAAACAAAGCAATAATCATCTTTTTGTAGTTTCTAGAGCATTGGAAACAAAGTAACAATCAATATTAATTAAAATCGAGGGGGTCGGATTGATCCCCCCCGCAGACATTAGGGTTAATGAAGTAGATTAAAACTATTTCTACTTGCACCTAATCTATTGAAACGCAGTGTGATAAAGGACTCCGACGTTTATCAATACCGGATATTTTTAGTTAAAATCGTACTGACGACGTTTAAACCATGGCGTTCAAAAGACTCTTAAAATCCCGTAATTTATAACAAAAGTATTTAAGTGCACTCTTATACATATTTAGAAAGTACGATCAAGGTTAGCCTTGCTTAGGTCGGTATTTTACTTATCTGATCTTGAATTATAGAAATCAAGATACGTAAACGAGACCGACTTGAGTTAAGGCTAGGTAAAGGTGTTAGACGAAACAAGGACGTCAACCTGGTTGACGTCCTTGGACGAAATAATCATTTACTTACTAGTATGTTCATACGTATTTCTTGATAGTTTTTACAGAACTTCGAATGGGCAATTCTACTTTTCCACATTTTATACACTATAATATGAGTTACTGTTTCGGGTTTGGTAGAGCTTATATAAAACATGTTAACCTGACATGAAAAGGACGGGGCATTATTTGTACATTGCAGCATGTTGTCATGCCATCGTCATTTTGTAAACAGAAATTCCACCGTTCAAACATTGAGATCTACAGGGCGTTAAATAAGTACTGATAAAAATGCTGTAACCTTTTTAATTTCTACTATTACTTTTCTGTTGTACATTGTTGAGTATTGTACTGATGTACTGTGAGAGTTACAAGAATGTACTCTAACAGGAAGGTGGTACTGGGTTGAGTCTAATGTGGTTCGTGTTGGTCTGCATGAAAAAAACTTCAAAATAACCTACCTACAAGATTTTTGTATAATCATCCAAATATTGCAATCAGATATGCACAGAATGAACTCGAGAGGGTCTTAATTTAAAATTCAGACCCCCTAGCTTGCGGCGCGGTACTCCGCACACTGTCGAGATTTTGTGCGTGTCACAACATGGCACAACCCCTCCATACGTCGCCCCCCGCCCATCTTTGAAAACTCTTATGTTTGTATCGAAGTATGGCACAAGGTACATTATCATTTTGAATGAAAACTGTTTAGGGCTAATAAAGGATCTGAACGGACGTTGATAAAACATTTTTAAATTGTTTTCATTTCAGTGTCTTACCGTGAATGAAATTCTAAAAGCGAACAACTTGGAGAATACCAGCCGTATTGACCATGTGGAACTGACAGGCCTCAGCCCCGCGTTGTTGTATCAGGCACAGAAAGACTGCAGTCAAGAGGCTACTGAAACTTTACAAGAACACAAACCGTCTACGGCCGAAGGTAAGACAATCAGTCAACTGAAATATTCGTGCCCCGGGAAATATTGTCACTATTGTATTGACTCTGAACTTACCAATTTTGATATTTGTGTCATAGATACCGGGCAAATCGTTTTGTAGTAGTGCTTCAAACGCTCAACGAATAAGATATCGGAGAAAAATAGTTTATCGTCCTCTTTGGAACTGACCCCCCTCCCCTCCCCCTTATGTAGCCCTTACTGCCCATTATTCAAATTAAGCTGGCACCTCTTAAAAATAGAGTAAAATCGTATCACACCGACAACATGAACCAGAAGCTACAGTGTACTTTATGTTGAGGAGGTGATTTTGAGATATAGCAATTGTAATGTAGTGTAGTGTTACTATAGTGTCACGAACTGTATTCCATAAAATTGTACCTTTATTTTTCAAAACCATAACCCAATCAGTTTTTAATCCACAATGTAAAATGCCTTTGTTTCAGTTTGGGGATATGGTATCCTCTCAGTTACGATCATCAACGTATGCGCGTTGACTGGGATCTGCTTCGTTGGGGTGATGAAACATCGCTTTTACAAACGTTTTCTTATGTTCATGGTTGCTCTTGCAGTGGGCGTCCTCGTCTCTAGTAGTATTCTGGTCCTCATACCTGAGGTAAGAACAGAAGCATAACTTAGTCACGATCAAGTACTGTCTTGGTTTTGACCCCGCTGCTCCACCATTAGTAATTAAATGCTACTTCCTACAAACTCTCATTTTATTATGGGTATGATTATCCCTTTATCTTTAATGTACGACATTGATTCGTAATATCAAATACTTTTAGTTTTTCCTTAAAGTGTGGCATTCACAAAAAAATATATTATCTACAAATACAAAAATGTGAAATCTTAGTTGTGCCCCGGTCAGTTGAAAGTATTGATGCTGAATAAGGCGCAATACAATTCGAATTGTTTGTTATATTCATTGATTCATATTCTCGACAGGCCTTGATTAAATTTAGTTTTTACAGTCGATGCATTTGTTCACAACCTTGACAGACCCCCATACTGCAGACGTATTGTTCTGGAAATCTACAGTCGTATTGGGAGGTATCTTTCTTTTCTTTGTCGTGGAGCGGATACTAAAGATGTGTCTGGACAAGAGTCAGGTAAAAATGAATAAAGAGAAACCAAATGATAATATTCTGCCCCAGCAAAATACTCTGCTGGACCTGTCAAATGAACAATTCAGTTAAAAATACTATATACCGTACATTTAACATTAGATTGATTTGATAGTAAGTAATATTTTTAAAATTGCATTGTCCTTTTTTGCCCAAACGTCCAATAGTTTTGTTTTGACTTTGAAGAACATTCTCTCTGTGACATAGTAAATTCAATATGCATTATTTATAACCCATCCCCACAGATATTGCAACCATTGAAAATTTATGATTTATATTTTACTGCTATGTACGTCTAACTACACAATCTTGGAATCATAATTCTGTCAACAAAAGCCTTATTCCGTTAAGAAATTCAATTTATAGGCTGGAATGGACACGAAAAAACATACTTTGGCGGAAAACGACCCAGTGTCGTCATCTGTGCATCCCAGCAGACTACAGGAGACAGAACCAAACATTAAGCTCCATTTGGACCAACTGGTAAAAGATGACAAACTCACAAAAACAGAGAGTCACTCAAGCAAGTTAGCCCTGGCAACCAATGAGATTTCCATAGTAACAGATGCCGAACATAATGGAGTTTCTCCGCCTAGTAATGGATATGCCGACCATTCACATTATACCGGAGATCTTGGTGATGACGATGAAAAACCCATCAAGACTGTTGCGTGGATGATCGTCATTGGAGATGGCATCCATAACTTCATGGATGGTGTAGCTATTGGAGCAGCATTCTCAGAAAATATTGTGACTGGAATAACTATTTCGCTCGGGATATTCTTCGAAGAGCTACCTCACGAATTAGGTATGACGATCATCAGTGTCAAGATACATGAGATATAGGCACAAAAAATATTGGCATTTTAAAAGTACTGTTTTTCGTTTTGTTAAGATATAGCTAGGATGGCCAGTACTTCATCTTAGTCCGCATCAAGCATCGTCGAAAACTTGGAATACCGCAGCCATTAAAGTTGCAATTGAATGTGATATGTCGGGTCTGGGTTGTCATTGTCAATAAATGTGGTGGCATTGTCAGCACGTCTTCAATAACTGTTGTCTTTTAACAAACGTGATTTCGCACATCCTCCTGGCGCAGTTAGCAAGACTTCATTCATCCAAATTGTCCTCCTTCATAAAAAAAATAATGTCAATGATTGATGAACCCCATGTTGGGAGGATTGATTTCATACGTCAGCACATCAAATACAACAACGTTAACTTTTCTCGTAGGTGATTTTGCCATCCTGTTAAACTCGGGGATGTCTATGAAGAAAGCTCTTGGATTCAACTTTCTCTCTGCCATTACCTGCTATCTTGGGCTATGTCTCGGGATTCTGCTGGGAGGCATGGAAGACGCTAGTAGCTGGATCCTTGCCGTCACTGGGGGTATCTTCCTCTACATATCCCTTGTTGATATGGTAGGTATTGCTAATTTGCAGAAATGACATCTACCGAATTATGTAACTGTTCATTTATTGTAATGAATAAAGTATAGTGACCCATGTGTCGGAGAGACTGACATATATAAGAGTCAATAAAAGAATATATAAATAGAAAATAAGCACGATATGGGATGGACATTCGGTTCATTTATAACTTACACTACATATAAATTTTCAAATACTACAGTAGATGTCCATATTCAATAAAATGCGCATGATAGATGAAAAACACACCGAGCACCTAGAAAACGCTCAACACTGCTAATACTGACTTAAAACAGAATAATAAACTAGACCTAAGACTAGGTACAGTAGGTCTCAATTCTAAATAAAACTTTTGAAAAAGGTGTTTGTCCAGACTAGAACACAAAAATGCTTTGAACACAAAAATGTTTTGACATCTATTTTGAAAAAAGTTGAAATTGAAAAAAATGGTTACATATATTTTCAGTTGCCAGAGGTGAATGTTATGGCTGAGACAATAAAGGATCTCAACAAAGTCTTCATTTTCATTATCCAGTGTGCTGGCATATTGGTAGGATATGGTACCATTATCATCATTGTTCAGTTCGCTGGCCAAATTGAAGTGACTATATAGACTGTACCATATATATATACTAACCTACAACTAGGAATGTTACAGAACAATTTCAACCAGACATTATCCTGACAAAATGAGACCAACTACTACAGACGGTTGAAAAGTTTAGACACTGAGGGAATGAAACAACATACAAAGCTATTGGAAATTATAATTTTAACTTTGAAACTGTTGCAAAGTTCCAAGATCATCAGTATGTTATTTTCGGATGGAAACAAAAATTGTTTAATACAATGATCCGCAGATTCTGGTAAGAAGCCGTTATATTTTGAATTTTATTTCAAAACAAAGGATCTATCTTGTAAGTTCATCGACCTAGATTATTTTTGTTAGTATATTCAGCTCAGTCCTGTAGCCAGGGGGGGGGGGGGGCTCGGGGGGCTCGTACGAGCCCCCCCCCCCTGATATCTCCCTAAAAAATGTGGACCTATCTTTTTGCTTCCTTGAATAAAAACTTGCTCTTCCCCACATTCACTGGGCAATAAAGATTAAAAAACTGGCATTACTGTGCACTGTTTTTCAAATTTGACCATTATTTTTTTTCGCGAACATATTTGTGCCCCTTTTCCTCTGTTTTCTTAAGATCGTCCTTTGTGTTTTGTTAAAAATAGCCTTCTGGCGGTTCCAGGGGGGGGATGGGCCCGGAAAAAATGTTGGCCCAGAAGTATTGTAGTGGGCTTTTTGGGCATTACTTGACCTTTTTGGGCCTTATTTTTTTCAATTTCAGGCAAAATTTTCAAAAAACGGGCTATAAATTTTCAATTTTGGCCCGAATTTTGGTTTTAGGGCCATAAAAATTTAGGCGCGGCCCTAGGATGGGCCCAGAAAAAAGTGTTGGGCCAAAAATATTGTAAGGCCTCTTTATTTGGCCTTTACTTTATTTGGCCTTATTTTTCAGTTTTAGGCTAAATTTTCAAAAACGGGCCATATATCTTCAAAAGGACAAGGTGCAATTATTGGCAAATATCCCTATGGTCAAAATGAATCATTCGTAGGTGTAACATGAAGAATAAAATGTCATATAATACTTTGGAAAATATTAAAGTGCTCGGACACACATAAGCTGAGATAGGGATCATTTCGTTCAGTAAGGTTGTATTGACTTACATGGGGCTGTGCACCATTGACTTAACATGAGGATATCAGCAGATCCCAATAGAGGCCATTGGTTTCCATTGATTATCACAGAAGTACCAAAAATACACTATGACCTGAATCGATTGCAAACTTGATAATTTCACAATACGACACAAATGGTTTATCTCATCAAATGTGCAAATATGAAGTGTGCAATCGATTCAGGTCATACTTAAAATTAAAAGATTGTACATTTTTTCATCATTTTTTTCCCTACAAAATGGCTATAGAAAAATGCTCCAAAAACAACTTTTACACTTATCAAATATCATACAAGTTTGTAAAACCAAAGACTATTCTATTATATTTCATTATGTAGTAACATATTTGGATAAGATGCAGGGATGCGTAGGATGTAAATGGATTTTGACAGACACAAAAATACTTCCTGGTTTGGAATCTATGCCTCTACACTTCATAATTGAATTATGACCCTAATAATTGGCCTATACATCAATACAGTGCTGAATATAGGTCAACAAGATACTAGTGTGCATATAAATGTAATAATTGAAGCAGAATACTCATTTTGAAAGATCAGATGAATTATTTTTTTCCCATGGGGAGATCCCAATGGAGGGTGTATAAGGTCCTTTAGGCCCAAATTTTGGTTCTAGAGCCCTAAAAGGTTTTCCGCGCGGCTATAGGATGGGCCCAGAAAAAATGTTGGCCCAAAAATATTGTAGGGCCTCTTTAGTGGGCCTCTTTGGGCATTAATTGATCTTTTGGGGCTATTTTTTTTCAATTTAAGGCAACATTTTCGAAAACGGGCCATAAAATTTCGCCCGAATTTTGGTTTAAGGGCCCTAAAAATTTTACGCGCGGCCCTAGGATGGGCCTAGAAAAAAATGTTGAGCCAAAAATATTGTAGGGCCTCTTTAGTTGGCCTTTACTTGACCTTTTTTGGGCCTTATTTTTTCAATTTTAAGGCCAAATTTTCAAAAAAACGGGCCAAAATCTTGGTTCTAGGGCCCTAAAAGGTTTTCCGCGAGGCCATAGGATGGGCCCAGAAAAGAATGTTGGCCCAAAAATATTGTAGGGCCTCTTTAAAGGGCCTTTTTGGGCATAACTTGACTTTTTGGGCCTTATTTTTCAATTTAAGGCCGAATTTTCAAAGAACGGGCCATAAATTTTCAGAATTTTAGCCCAAATTTTAATTTAGGGCTCTAAAAATTTTCTGCGCTGCCCTAGGCTGGGCCCAGAAAAAATGTTGTGGGCCTTACTTGTGGGCATTACTTGACCTTTTTGGGTCTTATTTTTTCAATGTTAGGCCAAATTTTCAAAAAACGCACCATAGATTTTCTAAATTATGGCCCAAATTTTGGTTTTAGGGCCCTATAAAGTTTTTTCGCGCACGTGCGGATATTTTTTCCTGACCTGTAGTATTGGTCCCCCCTTGCAAGCTTCCAGATCCGCCACTGTAGGGGCTTGGTTTAGCATGGGCCATTTTTTGGAGGGGGGGGGTGGTTGCGGGGGGGTCGAGCCCCCCCCCCCCTTACAAAAAGCTGGCTACGGGCATGCAGCTAGCGGAATGTGTTTCACACCACCTGTGTGTTTTAGGATACTTATTCACCCTATGCCCAGACAGAGCCTGTGGGAAATATTGGGTGCGGCGCAAATGAGCGGAGGGTGCGGAGCTAACGGTCATTTTTGAATTTAAAATTGGGATATTTCTGAAACTAAGCCGTTTTGGGACTTCAAATATACCAAGATATGTGTATTTGACACCAAATATCAATAAAATTGTGAAAATAGTAGTGCAATTCATTTAATAGCGACGCAGTATGCCTTAAACATTTCCCAGACCTATATATTTTGAGACTATCCTTTTAATACTGCGTCCCCAGCATTCATAAAAAATGGTGTTCAAGATACACTACCCATGCAAATTATTTTTGCATCTTGGAAGCCAGGCAGTATCTGTGTGATTTTATAAAAATTCGGAAATGTTCTTCAGATATGAGCCCCCTCTAAATATTGGGTGCGGAGGTACGTTTATGGAGCTGCTCCGCACCCAATATTTAGAGGGGGCTCATATCTGAAAAACATTTCCGATTTTTTATAAAATAACACAGATACTGCCTGGCTTCCAAGATGCAAAAATAATTTGTATAGATAGTGTACCTTGAACACCATTTTTTATGAATGCTGGGGACTAAAAAGGATAATTTCAAAAGATATAGGTCTGGGAAAGGTTTAAGGCACACTGCGTCGCTATAGAATGAATTGCGCTACTATTTTCACAATTGTATTGATATTTGGTGTCAAATACACATATCTTGGTATATTTGAAGTCCCAAAACGGCTTAGTTTCAGAAATATCCCAAATTTAAATTCAAAAATGACCGTTAGCTCCGCACCCTCCGCTCATTTGCTCCGCACCCAATATTTCCCACAGGCTCTGTCTGCATAGGGTGTTATTTATCAAGATTGTTCGTGAGACTGCACACAAATTGACATCTCAATTTGTGTGCCAGTTTAATAAGAAACTTGAGATATACTGACGTCAGCCATGAGTGAATAGGGTAGGTAAATATGTGATTCAACTTAATAGACCATAAACAGAGAGGTTAATTACAGTAAATTGTGATTTACGTAGATGCAGTTTTATGACGTACCTGTATGTGACTTTTACTCTGAGAGTGCGATTTTTTACCCAGATCGTGCATATTTTGCAAGAGAGTGCAGTCTACTGAGTGCTGTTTGATTACAACCTGTGACAATGGCATTTGCAAAACATGCATTTGCAAAACCCGGCTTAATCACTCCTGAATTGAATATGCTAAATTACCCTTTCCTTTTTTTGGGTGGACAAGTTGTGTTTAAAATGCCAATACCTGGATCTTGAAATACAACCATGTATGGTTCCAAATAATTCCTCAAAAATCAAGATGCGATTTTGAATCTCATACAAATTGTTCATGTTCTTGTGTGTGCTTGAATCTCATTTGAAAATCATCTACAACGTTATCATGAGCTCATATTTGATGTTGGATATGATATGTGACCTTCACTGACCTTCAAAATGTCAAAAAGTTGAATTCAAGTTTAGGTCAGATGGGTCAGAAAAGATTTAATGGGGTCTGAAAAAGTAAAAAATGCACCAGGTTTTAGATATACAGGGTGACCCAAAAAAGAACGCTCTAAATAATTTCTCAAATACCTATCCTATCAATCCAATTTTTTATGTGTGTACACGAGAATCTTTGGATGATAATTTAATATCAAGTCTGTTGCACAGAATTCGTGCAGATTTTTCTATGAGGTGAGATGAGGTTTTTAAGAATGGCGGTAACTGTACGTGTGTGATTGCATTGAACGAAGTTCCAAAATATCGCTCAAAAGGTGCAACCACACTTAAAGATGCAGACTTTCATTTTCAAAAGTGCCTCAATTTCAAAAGTGGGTACATTTTTAAAATGGCCATTACAAGAAGAATATTGAATGATTGTAACAAATTTGGTCTCACATCATCATGATAAACCATGTCATCTCAAATCTTCTCAGCCCTGAGATGCCATGATATAATGAGCTTGATTTGGCGATCCAGGAGAGCCCAAAATTGAGGATTTTTGAGATCTTTCATCCCAGCTCATATTTCATCTAATTGGGGTCATAAAACTTGTGTAACTGTGCCTGTTGTTATATCTGCTGTTAAATACAATGCCTATTATGTAATGTTTTGACATTAAGGTAGATGATTACATGATAACCATCACACTTATTGACAGTTATAACTCTTCCCATCTGATGTGCTCAGATCACAGAATATGCCTCATAATATCAGAGCATGTTTCAAGTGAAACAGAAAGATGCTATGAGTATCAGAATGGTCTCACATTGTCATCCATAGATTGTAGTTTCTGTGCATGAAAAATGAAGCTGATTACATTTTGGAGGGTTCTGTTTTTTGGGGTCACCCTGTAAGCATTGTTGGCCTTCAGTGTTAAAAAAGTAGATTTTTCAAATCGGCTATTTTGATTCAAATTTAGGTCAAATGGGTGACAAAAGACACAATGAAGTCTGAAATGGTAATTTTTAAGAACAGCGGCCAGTGTCATCAAACTAGGTCACAAAAATACAATTTGTGTTTTCGAAGCTTCTCAATGTTCAAGACAACATACAAATTAATAATTTGACTGGAAATTAGGTTATATATTCCTCTGAATCTAAATATATTAGGAATTGACGATGAAAATTTCACACCAGTTTTGAGATATTAGAGTTCAAAAACTGAAAAAGGTCAACAGTAAAAGTTTGACGTTCAGTGTAATCAAAGTAGTCACGTCCAGATTCTCAATGTTTGAGACTACAATTCAATATCTTTGCCTGAAATTTAAAGTAAGCATTCCTTTAAAAGTTCTACACGTATTATTATTATTAGCAATCAGCAATCTAATAAAATTTTGCTTCAATTTTGAGATATTAGCGTTCAAAAACTGAAAGGTCAAATTGTCTAAATATTCAAGGTCATATTATAGCTCACTTCAAATCGAACAAATTATTTTCTGACGATAGTCATCTAAAAGTTGCCAGAAGGTGCCACAAAAGGTCTCAATGTTCAAGATTACAAATCAGTAGCTAAGTTACAAGACTTCTAGTTCGGTTATATAGTGGATAGATGGTGTGACTCTAATGGGATGTACCTACGATATCACTGGGAGGTATAGTAATACAAAGACACCGTTTCTTTGTAACAAGATGGCCAGCCTTTCGGTGATAGATTATCGTACGATATTTTTCTCTCCATTTAAACCGATTCCTCAGATGATTTTCTCTATCATCGTATTACGCTCACTGGCGTAGCTAGGATTTCTCAAGGGGGGGTGCATGAGGCAAATTTTTCAGATTAATGAGGCAAATTTTTTCTTTCAATGAGGCAAAAAATCGAAAGCGCGGCAAAAAGTGTCAATGGGACAAAATCTACTCACACATCATGTATAGTGCATAAAGTAACATTCACATCATCTAGATTACTAATATTTCAAACTGATTTATTTATTAGCCATATCAGATATCACATTGTGATTAACCATTGTGAATAACTATCAAAAACATGACTTAGATATGGTTTATTAAGACATGTTATACTCTTTTGAACAGCCATAATAATCAAAACTTGTCTCATGACAATGCAGTAAAATACTGAATATTGGCAACTCTTTTTAACCTCTTTATAATTCTTTAAATGGACCTAACAATGAGTCTTAATCAAAACAAAATTGTATAGATACCATTGCAAGGCTATGTACTCTGTAACAGTAAGTCTCACTGATTTGATACCCCATACTCTGTTACAGTAAGTCTCACTGATTTGGCACCCCATGGCACCATTGCAATATTATTAAAGATTACATTTCACAAAAAAGCATTTTAAAAGGAAAGGATCAAGATCTTAAATATCATTTTACAAGGAAATGACATTTTAAATATCATGGCAATTTAATGCAATGCAGTATATGTACAACCTTTAAATACTGAAAATTCCTTTAATTTGACATCAACTTGAGGATGTTCAATTCAGCCTTGTATTACATACCTAGCGAAGCATTTGTATGGAAGTCAATGGTAAAGTTAGCGAGCTATATCCACCGATATTGCCCGATTACCCCGATATAGCCCGCTTACCTCGTTTTGATATTAGATTTCTTTAATAACCATGATAATATCATGACGTCACGTCATTGATACAAAGTAACCATGGGAACAAAGGCATGTAATACATCAGTTATGTCACTATGACGTGAAATATGCCTTCGTTCTTGCCCAAATATAGAGCCTCCCAAGGTCGGCCGATATTGGGAGAACTCAGGCATATTTCACGTCATAGTGACATAACCTCTAAATATAGCTTTTAGATTACAACAAACAAAAAGTCATGTTACATATAACTAATGAATTGACTGGTGATATATCAGTCAATGCTAGGACATATTTCTTACTAATATTTTGACAAAACAGTTGACAAAGTTTTCTACAGATATTTTCACTTACAATCTGTAACTTGTTACATGTATTGTATGTAAGTAAATAGCACCAACATATTCTAAAGAAACCACCATAATACTGTTGTTTGTTGACTAGTCACATAGTTAAAGATAGAATCAGATCTATAAGAAGTGACAAAACTACAAAAACAAAAAAATGTATCTCTTACAATCTGTTATAAAACTCCCAAAATATAAATGAAAAGGAATGATATGAGCCTGGTAAAATTGAGACAATTTTTTGTAGACAGTGACTTCTTCCTAGATCTGAATCTATCGTTACTCTTCACTCATACAAAAGACTGGTCAATTTTAACCTCCTTGGATGCAAAAATGCAAATAAATCTGCTACTTTATCCAAAGAAATGTCATGGTCATAGTGAATAAATATCATAGCTAAATCTGAAAGTCTCTCCTCTGTCATTGTGGTTCTGATCCTGGCAAACGCCTTCAAATGCTGACGCACTTGCCCTGCCTTTAATGAGGTAAATCCCGGGAATATGATTTGTATATAGATAATCTATATTAAATACAGGAGAGTTCAGCACATGACGAAAGGAAAATAAAGTGAAATAGGCTTAAAAGAATCAGATGTATTGGTTCCATACCTATAGAGACACAACTCTGGCGAATATTTTAATAAGTGGCAGTTGTAAAAATACACAATCGTGAAAAGTGAAACTCAGGAATGGGGGAAATATATTTAAGAGAAAGGGGTGTCAGCTTAGCAGACAACTTTTGAGTGGTTGGCTTCTTCCATATAAATACGCAAAATATGCGAAACATGTTTATTTAAATGTATCTTGTTAAAAATTGGTGTATGCATCTTGATTATTCATCAACAGAAAAGAGGAGAGAATTTGTAACGAATCCTTCCACCCCCACACTAATAATGGACACGACCACGCTAACACAGCAATATTCTTCTCAAAAAACTTGAAAATTAATCGTCTTGTTCCTTCTGTTCTGGTTTTTATTTTTTAGTATTTTTACGCTCAAAAAGTAACTATTACTTACATTCATCACCTCTACAAATCATCCTCTCACAACTAATCCAAATTATATCGTAATCTGTAGAAATAAATTGGAGCATTTACAGAAGATTTGTGCTCAACTGTGCTTTTCATTCAGTGTTGAAGGCGGGATAAAATTTCTTGCGCAAATTTGAAAAGGTTGCGCAATACACTAAAAGTATCATGGTCAAATTTATTCGCGCAATGCTACAACCGGAAGTTTATGAGAACGAAACATTCTCTCTCTCTCATTTGTAATAGATCTTGGGTATTAATCAGAGTGACATTCCAGGTTCTCGTATGGAAAGTGGCGTCAAAGCCATGGAGAAAGTGCTACAAATAACTTGAGGCAAAATATTCACGTTTTTTCTGAGGCAAATAAAAAAAAGTGACGAGTCAAATTTTGTAAAAAGCGACGAGGCAAAACTCAAGGGGGGGTGCAAGCGCACCCGACGCGACCCCCTGGCGACGGCCATGACGCTGCAAAAGGACCGCTCCTCACAGCTGGAGACCAGACGCCGCTAAAAGGAGGGACTCTGTATAACAGCAAAAAGTGGTTGTTGAATGTGGCTGGTCGTGTTATCGTTAGTTTGGTATTAGCCAATGTCATATTGTGCTATGTTAATTTGTCAATGGGTTGTGTTATGTAATGTTGTAATTATGCCAGTCGAGTGACAGATGATGCACACTCGGATAAGGTATGGCGTGGTGCCCCGAGCCGCCAGTGTTGCGTGATGCTGTTGCCGTGTGATTTATGTTGTCTCTGGTTGATGGAAACTGATTGGTATTGGTATATATTGGTATCACAATTTGGCTATGTTCTATTGGTCGTGCCTGATTGAGTTGTATAATCCAACGTTGGTTTATGTTCAGTTTGGTTTTGTCAGTTGTGCTGCCTTGGTTTATCGTCGGGTTGTGCCCAATCGCGTTGTATTAGTTTGACAGTTGGTTGTCACGTTTTTGTTGGTTGTTTGTCTTGCTGTTAGTGTGATGCTGGTTTGGTACTGAGTTATGCCTTATTGTAATTTGACAATGGATTCTGCTATGTGGTCGGATTGTGTTATGGTCTTGGAACAGGCTGTGTCCAATATGTGATTGTTGTTGTCTCCGGTTGGAGAAAATTGGTTGTATATATTGACATCAGAGATGATTATATAAGGTTGGATAATCATGATTTTGCGCTGTCACTACGTAACATTATCTCATGATTACGTAATCGTTTCTTTTGTATTAATACTATACAATTACGCAAGCTCTGATCGATAGATAGCCGTCTCCCCATGCCAAAAAGTTTTGTAATGTTATATTTTATGTAATAAAAGCTATTAAAACGTACACATCTGTTGTATTGGTTGCGCTTGATTTTGTTTTGGTGGTTTGGTGTTGGTTTGTGCACAATGCATTGTGTTAATATAGAAATTGTTTGTGATGTGTTTTTTGTTGGTTTTTATTGGGTTGTACCCTATCTGGTTATGTTAGATTGGCAATGGGTTGTGCTATATTGTGTTGTGTCATCGGTCATCCTCTCGGTTGTGCAAACGGTACGTATCTTTGTATTACGATACCTCTTAATAATAAATATAGGCTGCATTGATTATTCATGCTGCTACGTTGACCTTTCAACCCTACGTACCTCGCCGTAGGTCATTAATAAAGTAACACTACATATACTTAATATAATAGTACATGGACTGATAGACATATCACGATCGGGCTTTACTGACTACTACTGAAATAATTGAAATACCCTTGGACCAAGGATGCAATAGACATACAAAGAAGCACCGTGCTATTGATTGGATTTCCATTACACCAAGCTTCACGATTCATAAATTATTGGCTGGGAAGTACTAAGGGCTGCATAGATGTGGTGAAGAAAAATATACTGCTGCATTGGCTGGATATATAAGCAATCACAGCCTATAAGCCTGTACATACGATAAGAGGAGCATAGCATAGTCTAGATAGTACCAAGTTGGAATAAACGCACCTAAGAACGGACCTGTTTACTTCCTAATTGTGAGATTTGGAGTTCGTTAGTCATTTTACAGTCATATAAAGTCATACTGCCACTGTTCGAATTAAAAGGTTACGGAGGCAAACACACAACATCTGGGTGCAGGCAGGGGTTTCTAAAATTACACATCAGGTATCAAGCTAGTGAGCATACCATAAACTAGGCCATCGATTCCAGCAGTAATTGTACCCGGGCCATAAACTGTATTTATTGGATCAGAAACTGAAAAGGATTACAACTTTTATTTGCCGGATTTTACAGTACTATAAATGACCTATATACTATACTGTTATATTCAAACGTTCATATAATAGACCTTAAGGTCTCATGGAAGTTAACAGGAAATGACAAAACAAAAAATGACAAAGCCATGCTGGATTTTGAAAATTTTTGGAACCAAGATAACAGAGTTCTGTTTGGACCTCCAGTCAGTTTAACTAGTTCCAAATATCATTTACATGACCAGGAACACAATTGAAATGGTCAGAATGACCATAAACATGATAAAATAACCTTTTTAGCCCTCTGAAAATGTGGCTGAAAAATAGCTAAAAGTAGGTGCTCAGGAAAGGTCAATGAACAGAATCTTTTGATTTTTTCAGAATATGTGTCCAATATATTGCTCTAAATGACACAATCTTTGAAATTTTAAAAAATCGTCTGAAACAATAATGGCTGTAGTAAAAAGGAAAATAGATCGATTTTCAATTCAGTTTTTTTCAATTTTTTCTTTTTCTAAGAATGATATCAAATTTTTTTGAATTGTATCATTTAGAGCAATATATTGGGCACATTTTCTGAAAAAGTCAAAATATTCTGTTCAGTGACCTTTCCTGAGCACCTACTCTTAGCTATTTTTTAGTCACATTTTCAGAGGGCTGAAAAGGTTATTCTATCATGTTTATGGTCATTCTGACCATTTCAACTGTGTTCCTGGTCATGTAAATGATATGTGGAACTAGTTAAACTGACTGGAGGTCCAAACAGAACTCTGTTATCTTGGTTCAAAAAATTTTCAAAATCCAGCATGGCTTTGTCATTTTTTGTTTTGTCACTTCCTGTTAACTTCCATGAGACCTTAAGGTCATACTAAAGGTCTAAACTTTTCTTACATACTAGTGAGGCTTTCAATATTATTACGATTAGTTAAGGCTTTCGATAATCTAACGTAGATATACAGAGGATTCAGGATTCTATTAAATAGGTCTTCTTATAATCATACAGTAAAGGATCTTTGAAAAATATTGCCGCAAAGGTGTCGTAAAATAAGCAGTCATGTCTAAAGACGAGAAAGGATACAGCTACCAACCTGCCCCTACATCAGATGCAGCGCCACCCCCAGAATACCCTACAGCTCCCCCACCCTACCCGACACAATATACCCCCCAGCAAGGTGCTCCCTTTGCACAAGGTCCACCAGCTGGGGCTGAAAACAAAGACTACCCACCCGTTGGGAGTCAGTATGGGGCTGCACCACCGCCGGGGGCTCCGTACCCCCCAGGGCAGCAATATCCTCCAAGCCAACAATATCCTCCAGGCCAACAATATCCTCCAGGGCAACAATATCCACCGGGGCCTCAGTACCCTCCTGGTACCAAGTATCCAGGGGGACCACCTCCAGGGGTACAATATCCTACAGGACAATATGCACCTCAACATCAGGGTGGTGTATATAATCCTACCACCCAGCAAGTTGTGGTCACGACACAACCTGTAGGGGGCGTCACAGTGATAACCAATGCGGCACCTCCTAACTATTTGGCCTGGTCCATCTTCACCATGTTGTGCTGCTGTTGTTGCATAGGTATGTATCACAAACATGTATCTTCACAAGCATAGATGTTTGGAGAATTGGAGTCCCGGGATTGGAGTCTATCATTATGCCCCTCCTGTGGGAAAAACAGGAAATTTCCTGCTGCTTCCCAAAAATAAGCATTATAACAATTCACTTAAGTAGTGAAGTAAAATTAAATGCTATAAAAAGTAACACAGCATATTGTTAAATGGAAATAAAGCTAGGGGAAGTTACAAATATGCAAATTAATTTACCCAATCGGCCATTTTGAATGGCACTTCCTATGTAAACAAATAATTTTCAATCCCAAATTTTAACATATGTGGGCTATAGTCTGAATATTTTCATTCCAAATTTTAAAAAAATTCAGACTAGAGGATATAGTCTATTATCCCACCCTAAGTGCTTTATATGATTGTATAATAGCATTGTATAACTGCAATATAAAACCAACACTCATCATATACAACTCTTGAGAACGATATACAACTCCTGGATAGCGTATACAATTCCTGGTCAGCGTATATAACTCTTCAACTTGATATACAACTGCTGAATTTAGATTAACCTTTTAATAATTAAAGATTAGGGTGGGATAATAAGATCATATAATGGTTGATTCTGTATATCGTTATACTCTCGTGAGTATATTATATATTCACTCGTTCCCTTCAGTCACTCGTGAATATATCATATACTCACTTGAGTATAAACACGATATACGGAATCAACCATTATATAACCTCATAGTACATCTTGGCTAATAAACAGATGTTATATTAGATCATAGAAGGTCGATTTTGTTTTTTCACTAAGTTTATGTTAACCCGCAATTATGAAGTGTCATATCGATAACAAAATAGGCCTAATAGTATTTTAATTTACCATATACTCATCACACAATTCTGCTACCAAACTTGCAATATCCTTCGAAGATAATATTGTTCATTCGAAATATCAAATACAGAAGATTGATTTTTAAAAACAAACATTTTTGAATTTGAACCTGAAAAAATTTGATTGTTTGAATTGAAAAGTGCAATTTCAAACAACAAATATGAATTATCAAACATCCAATTGAAAACATTGAACAGAAATTTGAACAAAATTTGGACAAGAAAAATTAAATATCAAACAAAAATTTTAAAATCTAAAAAGACGTTAAAAATGCCATAAGGAAGGGATTTTGATTAATAAAATTATGTAATATAATCATATGTAACTATATACACCCGCATGGGTGTCAGTTGTCTGTACAATGGACATTGATATAATTGATGAATAAACACCTATGCAAACTGTAATTGATAGAAGGCTTTGATCTGTCACGGATGATGATGTGTTTGTGTTATATCTTTTTAGGTATTGGGGCACTCGTTACATCAATTGCTTCTCGAGATGCAGCTAATCAAGGAGATTTCACAAGAGCACAACAGAAGAGTAAAACAGCAAGAACCCTGAACATTGTTGGCTGCATCGTTGGAGTTTGTTTGTTTGCACTTATCTTTGTATTAAGAGCAGTGGCATTCTCGTCCAATTTTTATTGACTTCAGACAGATCCAATGAAATACCGATATGATTCGGTCACATTTAAATATGGAGCAAGAAACCTGATATTATATATATTAAATGGTATTGTAATTTCTCTAATATAACAGAGAAAGAAGAAATAGACTTACTCTCATAACATAATATTATTAATTTTGATGAACTGATAGACGACACGTAGTGATGATGTACTGGATGTATACAATACCACGGAGCGGTAGGCAAACTGCGCGCCTACTATGCACGCAGTTTGGAACACTGACAAACTGCGCGCCTATTCACAAAATGACAGACAGGGAGGACACGACTCCCAAGAGGATGGAAATTACTGGAAATACTAGGCTAGTTTTGGTTTTCAGACAGTACCAAGATGTGGAGACTAACTTAGTTTATACGTAGCACTCGATTTTTTCCCCGATGCATATCTAGTTTTCTCAAAATAAGGTTCCCAAGGAGCTTTCGTGTTAAAATTATACAGTGTTGCGTCATATAATGTCTGTTTTTCGTAGTTTGACGTTTATTCAGCCCTTGTGTTTGCATATTCTGAAAGATATAGGATTACTGCACATGGTTTAAGTAATATAGTTTGTTTGTTAAACAGTGACAAGCCATTAACGTGATTTTATTTTTTTCGCTGTCAAACTGCGTGCATACTTTCACGTGGATTTCACAAACTGCGTGCCTAATATTTACAAACCGCGCGCCTATATTTACAAACTGCGCGCCTAATTTGCAAGCTGTGTGCAAGTTTGTTGTGTATTTTCAGAAAACGTAAACGCCACTCACTAAACCTGTCCCTATATAAAAAGAAACCAAAGTCTGACCCTAACAAAAATGTAGATAACAACGGCGCATCTTCAAAAACCATGACACCCCCTTCAGAATTAAACAAGATGTTATTTTAAAACGCACCAATGAAGAAAAGGAAACCAATCAAGAAACCAAAGAGGCGATTATTTAAAGGTACCAGTGACTCATTTAAAAAAAAACATTAAAAGACCGTGAAAACTTCTTGCCCGATGTCCTCTCAAACCTTAAAAGAAATAGTACATTGTGTCAACCCTTCCTCAATTTCTTTGGATTTATCAGGCTCGTATACTATACATGTACTGCAGTCGGGACATTCAAGTATTACTTCCTTTGGCATATGCTATAAAATAGACTCGGAACTATTGTATCCCCAAAAATTCAAAGATTTAAGTGAAAAAGTTTTGAATTTCTGAATGTTTGCTCGTCATGCATGCATGGTCACTTATTTATGGTACATGGGTAATAAGTTTCAAGTCTGCAAGTCGAAAGAGTGAGATTGTTGTAAATATCTTTTTCTTACTTATGTTGCTAGTGACTGTGAATTTTTATAGCATTTTATAATGAGGAATTCATTGAATTCTAAGAAATGGCTTTTAGGACTGCATCAATCAAAAATATAAATAAAAAAGGATTCAATATATATTTACACAATTTTTATGAACGAATTGTATTTATGTTGCACAATGCATCATGCACCATGTTAGTTTGAAATAAAGTAGTAAAATAGGCACATCGGCACTTCGATGGGGACTAGGCGGGGGCCACCTGGGTGTCTTTTAGTAGGACCCCAATAGAACAAAACCATTTTCATGAGATTTTTGAACTCAACTCTATATGATGAAGTCGTGCATCAATTTTTTTATTAAATCATATAGACAAGAACAAAATAAAATATAAATATGTACATTTCCACCGGTTGTCAACCATCAACTCAATTTTAGTTTTTGATTTATTTGAACCTTTTCAATCTCTACCTTTTCAACTTACTTACGTACTCCCATGAGATCACATAGGCCTGCATTACTGAGAAGTCATCGATAATATGCACGCAGTTTGGAAGAGTAGGCACGCAGTTTGTGATTTCTGGCTAAAATAGGCGCGCAGTTTGTGTTTTATTACTTCTTTCTGTCATGTTCATCTGTTTTAATACGAAATATTTTGTATTGTACGGGAAAACTGGGTTGAGATTTACCTGTGAATCAAAACCCAAGTGTTTTAAATTTCTGTGAAACGTGCGATATCAACTTATGTATCGGTGATCGAAAAATCGATGTCAATTTTTTGTATTAATCTGCTTATATTTTTAAACCTACGTTCATCTGGACATGCATTTCGCTATCACATGGTTGAATCATATAATCGCCACCGAATGGACGTGTTGAACTATAAAACAATTCAGAATAAATGTCTTAAAATGACGTTTGAAAACACAGACTCCAACTTTTATGATGCAATGTTGATAGGCGCGCAGTTTGTCAGTCTTTCAAACTGCGTGCATAGTAGGCAAGCAGTTTGGCTACCGCATCGTGAATACGCATGGAAAATGTGAATACTTGACAACACATTGACAATCACAATTAAATGTATAGATATATTCAAGTAATGATGAAAAAGACAGGTGAAACACTGGGATCTAGATTGACCTAAATGTACATTAAGTCCTTAGACATAACATGACACTGACGCGTGACACTGACACATGACACTGTTGGTCAATTATATGGAATAATGGGGTTGTCTTTACTATAAGAATTATAACGTTTTAATTGCATGAAAGTCTGCAAGATTGTTCTAAAATGTCCAGTTAAAATGTATTCTAGGAAACCATTATATATAAGTCTGAAGAATAAGTGGAATACGCTCTTTCACTATAATATCTCCATGGTTTCCATGGATTCCATCCTCCTAAGCAGGTATCCAGAATCTGACAGATTAATTCCTGATTCCTTGGAAACGAAAATGTTGTTAATTACAAATGTTTATTTTTCCTGACTGGTCTATGAGAAAATATTTGAATAATCTCCATTCATTAAAATTTGAGAGGGCGTTGAACATGTTGAAAACGAGGAAACAAATGCTGACTGCCTTATGTGATGTGTCTCTGTGTATTATTATAGAGGTGCTGTAGACAGATGCATCTTTACAGTTCATTAGTAACAGTTTATCTTTAATTTTATATTTTTATCTATACATATATATTCATTGTACACATATATCTCATTTAATAAGGACAATAAAGATTATTATATAGCAAGTTGTTCAACAAATTACTGCAATTTTCAGTGTGTTTTAATAAGGGAGTTGCTATACAGCTGAATAAAGTTGAATAAATAGATGTCAGTTCGGTTTATTTGTTTTCGATGGGCCAGATCGGCCAAAGGGTTCAATTGTAAGAACTTGTGATTGTCACTAATTTCACGATTTATGTTGGTGGAATCTGTCTAAAACATGTAAAACTCTGGCATACTATGGGGCGACTCTGTTAATGTAAACTAATCATGAAAATTAATCAATGGTGATTTGGCCCACACTTTTTGAGAAAAGTTGAAAAAGTCATGGAAAATGGTTTAAATAATATAACTGTTATTATTGTAGAAAACTTTTAATTGTATAATTAATTAATATAGTATGCTATTTAAAAGAAAGTATCGCAACAGATTTCGGACAGTCATATTTTGGATTTTGGCAATTTTCTGAGATTCAAACAGGTGCATAAACTTATGTTTGGCCAATAAATTATCTCCAGGAAAAGCACTCAGAGAGATGATAAAATAATTTTGACACACGGTTAACCCGTAACCCCTTGAAATGAATAAGTAATTCTTAGAAAGTGGAAAACAATATTTCCATGTTATTTTCCCATGCCATCCATTGCTTTCAGCTAAATTTGGTCACCCAAAATGGATATCTTTAAAACCCCTGGAGGAATTACCTATTCCTTTAAAGGGGCTAACTGTGTGTCAAAACGCAACATGTTGATGCAACAAAAATTAAAAAAGCAGGGGTGGAAATGGGTTGAAAATCAAGACAATTCATTTTAATGCCCTAAAAGACCCTCAGTCAGTAGGCTACGGAGGCCCTACACATTTTTCTGGATCCACCTTAGGGAGGGGGGTGGACCCCACTTAATGTTCTGGAATGTGTCCATCGCAAGCTCAAATACTTATCAAATGGTGAAGTTAAAGGCAGAATCTGATCTATAGGTGGTGACAAAATTGCAAGCAACATGTATAATTGACCTACCAACCTATTCCTTACAATATCAAATACAATATCTCCCAAAAGATTCACAATATGTTATAAATTGGTGAAGTTATTAATGATTTAAAGTGCAAAAATGAGTGAAAATGTTTAAATTCTCCCAAATAATAAGAATGGTAACCATTCTTATAGATGCTTCGGCGTAGTCCTTGTATCGGTTTGTATGATGCATTATGAAATAAAGGAAATATAAAAATTAAAAAAAAAAATTCTTCACTATTGTAAAAAATCTTTAGTTTTCCTGGAATAAAGTATGCACTGTTGTGATTTTTAGAAAATACACATGACAAGGAATGACATGAGACAAAAATATTCTAAAATTGAAACAATTTTTTGTTTAGCCCGCTCGCTATATCTGATTCTCTCTTTAATAAGATTCAAAGTATGATATGAACCGGTGATATGAAATGTAGTCCAGATTGGATTCGGGGATTGGATTATCCCGATCTCGTTCCATGGGGAGTAAGTCATCCCTCCCTCTTATATTCTGTAGCCTATAATAATAGAGAATATTAGAGGGGGTGATTGACACTGATTGTCTGATTGAACAAATTTACTGAAATTACTCCCCGTGTCCAGATAAAAAAGTTCAGAGGCACGATTTAGCACTGGACGAACTGTACCGAGATTGGATTAGAAAAGTATCAATATTTTGCTCATTTTCCTTAAAACAAAGCTGTAATGATACGAGTTTGTGTAATAGCATTGAACATCTTGTCCGATTCCTATCCTTATAAAATGTTCCATATGGTTTCTTCGCAGTAAACTTGAGCAATCGATACATTTCGGTCATTTCGAGACTCGTCTAGAAAATTAAATGTCCTGGAATTCCCCGGAAATGACGCATATTCTAAACTTCACGTGTCGTTTTTGGGGGAACCCCACATGTGACGTGATCTAACCAATCAGTAATCGACAACTTGCAGGTAGCTGACCAATCACAATTCGACACGATCTAAGTGAGCTTTCAGAAAAGAAGCACGCTGAAATCTGTCGTGTCAGTTTGAAAACCATCAGAAAAGCGACGAGAATTACGGTGATATCCAAGCATTTTATGAACTAAATATTGATCATCGTTGGTCATTTGCATCTAATATAAATTCTACACAGAAAACTGACTATAACTGGTGAGTACTTTTTCAGATAATTTAGAACAAAAATGATCCGTATTTTCAGATTTGTTGAAAATTGAATGCTGAAATTGACCATCATTATTATCGTATGGTGTCTTTGCAGCTTAGTATTAGTATCTCAAATAAATTGTTTAATAACATTTCTTTCATAGAATGATCACATTTCATGAAATTAATTAGTCTTGTTCAGCAAACTGTTATATGATATTATGGTTGACTGCAACATCTGTTTGGGATTTGAACCAGAAGGTCCCGCCCATCAGCTGATTCTGATATCGATAAGACACCGTGTGTTCTTCAAAGACATAAGAGAAATGGTATATGTGAGTTACTGTGATCTGATATCTTTGTTATAGGTCACGATGAAGAAATTTTTCGTGATTTTCTGCCTGGTGGCATTCTGCGCCACAGCATATGTGAGAGCTGAAGAAGAGGAGGAAGAGGAAGATGCTGCGAAAAAAGAGGATAAAGATAGCGTAGGCACAGTCATTGGAATTGATCTTGGAACAACATATTCATGGTAAGACATAATATGAATTGAATACCCAAGTGTTGATCCCGTTATTGCAATACCCTAATTATCATACATATGTTCAGACTTATATATTTATATGTCTCTGATATCATTGATATGTTGGATTTACATCCTTTGTTTTTGTTAATACCATTACTATATTATTTGATCCTGTATACTTTGTGTAGAGTTCTTTTTAATACATCGATATCAGTTTTATTAAGTGCCTTGGGCATGTATTCTAATCACAATCAAGATTTCCTTGATCACCAACTCATATTTTAGTTAATTACAGTTTTTATTATTGTGATTGCCATAGCAATTGATATAACATGTGTTACCTTTTGATTACAGTGTTGGAGTATTCAAGAATGGTCGCGTGGAAATCATTGCCAATGACCAAGGTAATCGTATCACCCCATCATACGTAGCTTTCACTTCTGAGGGTGAACGTTTAATTGGAGATGCTGCCAAGAATCAGCTGACCAGCAACCCCGAGAACACAGTCTTTGATGCCAAGCGTCTGATTGGTCGTACTTGGTCTGAGCCATCTGTTCAACATGACTTGAAATATTTCCCATTCACAGTCATGGAGAAGAATAGCAAACCCCATGTCAAAGTTGCCATGGGTGATGAACAGAAAATTTTCGCACCTGAAGAAATCTCTGCTATGGTGCTTGGAAAGATGAAAGAGGTTGCAGAGGCTTATCTTGGCAAAAAAGTGACTCATGCTGTTGTGACTGTACCTGCCTACTTCAATGACGCACAAAGACAGGCAACGAAAGATGCTGGAGTTATCGCTGGCCTTAATGTGATGAGAATCATCAATGAACCGTAAGTATTGGTTTTAATGATGCTATATCATTAAACAATGACTTCACATCAGCAAAATACTGAATACTTGTCTAATTATTGAGTTTGAATGATGAAAACACTAAAATTTGTATAAGAAGATAGTTGTCCATTCATATAATAGGTACAAGCTCTTAAATTGTATATCGGGGGGGGAGTTCTGGGGTTGTTGCATATTTTAATCATAAATCTTTTATATTATTGAGGAATATGAAAATATGTGTTTCCTCTCCAGAACTGCTGCTGCTATTGCCTACGGTCTTGACAAGAAGGAAGGAGAGAAGAACATCCTTGTATTTGATCTTGGTGGTGGAACTTTTGATGTCTCCCTCCTCACTATTGACAATGGAGTCTTTGAGGTCATCTCAACCAATGGAGACACTCATCTTGGTATGTTTACATTGATTTCAGATAGATTTTTCAAAACAAGTAACATCAGCCCTTTCACTGCAGGCACAGGTGGTTAATATTCTGCTGCAGCTGATGAAAACTTGAGAAATGAAGGTGTACTTGTGAAATGGGCCAAACATCAGAGTGTCATCTATTAGGCACAGGCTGGCAAGTGTCAAATGTTTCACTGTAGCAGTTGAAAACATGTATTTGATATGAAAACATGTATTTGATATGAAAACGTGTATTTGATATGAAAACGTGTATTTGATATGAAAACATGACAAATGTGATTGTATTTGTGAAATGGGCCAAATATCAGTGCCATTTTTGTGTAATCAGTTTCATTAAGAGCAATGATGAAAAGCTTGGTTAATTTGTAATAATTAGTATTTATTGACCATATTCTCTTCAGGTGGAGAAGATTTTGACCAACGTGTGATGGAGCACTTCATCAAGCTCTACAAGAAGAAGAAGGGCAAAGACATCAGGAAATCCAACCGTGCTGTCCAGAAGTTGCGTCGTGAAGTTGAAAAAGCAAAGAGGGCTCTCTCATCCCAGCATCAGACAAGAATTGAAATTGAATCTCTGTATGATGGAGAAGATTTCTCAGAAACTCTTACCAGGGCCAAGTTTGAAGAATTGAACATGGTGAGTTTAGAAACAAAATCTATAATGAGATTTCTTTGAGAAATGGCTATTAATTTTTTTTATTTTCAAGATCAATCGATTGGAGTGAATTCTTTATTTTGGAACTTTGATCTTAGTTTTCTTTCTTGGAGACTTCATATTTCAATTAAATTATATTTTTGTTGTTTTAGGATTTGTTCCGCTCCACAATGCAACCAGTCAAGAAAGTAATGGAAGATGGTGACTTGTCTAAAAATGAAGTAGATGAAATTGTTCTTGTTGGAGGTTCCACTCGTATCCCTAAGGTTCAACAGCTTGTGAAAGAATACTTCAATGGCAAGGTATGTAATGACATATGACCAGTAATTACTCAAATACTTAATGTACATGGAGTTAAGAATCTGGGAGTGTCACATATATAGGAATATTGTGAAAGCACAATTATGTACCTTTCAAGAGACTTGTAACAGACTTGTAAAATCAACTTTTGATACCAATGTCATCTGCCACGTCAAAATAGCAATCAGTACCAATCTGATATACTGAATCAGAATCTCAAAATACAATCCTTTTAAAACAGCCAATAATGATTTGTTTATTTAATGTATTTCAGGAGCCAAGCAGAGGTATTAACCCTGATGAGGCTGTAGCTTTTGGTGCTGCTGTCCAGGCTGGTGTCCTCAGTGGAGAAGATGACACTGGAGATCTTGTACTTCTCGATGTCAATCCTCTCACTATGGGTATCGAAACTGTCGGAGGCGTCATGACCAAAATCATCCCAAGAAACACTGTTATCCCAACTAAGAAATCCCAAATCTTCTCAACTGCTGCCGATAATCAGCCAACTGTAACTATCCAGGTATTCGAGGGTGAGCGACCCATGACCAAAGACAACCATCTTCTCGGAAAGTTTGATCTCCAGAACATCCCCCCAGCCCCACGTGGAGTTCCCCAGATTGAGGTCACATTCGAGATTGACGCTAATGGTATTTTGAAGGTATCTGCTGAGGACAAGGGTACAGGAAACAAAGAAAAGATCACAATTAATAATGACCAAAACAGGCTCAGTCCAGAAGACATTGAGCGCATGATAAATGACGCTGAGAAATATGCAGCTGATGATGAGAAAGTAAAATCAAAGGTTGAAGCTAGAAATGAACTAGAATCATACGCATATTCATTAAAAAATCAAGTAGGTGACAAAGAAAAACTAGGAGCTAAATTAAGTGATGAAGATAAAGAAAAAATCACTGAAGCTCTTGATGAAAAAATTAAATGGTTAGAAGCTAATCAAGAAGCTGAAGCTGAAGACTTTAAAACACAAAAGAAAGAGCTAGAAGACATTGTTCAACCTATTATGAGCAAATTGTACGCTGATGCCGGTGGTGCTCCACCACCTGAGGGAGGAGAAGAGCAAGAGCAAGAGAAAGATGAGTTATAAAAAACTCTAGTTTTAGGAAATAATATTCAAAATGATCAATCCCAGATTATCTAAGATTGATGATTCTGTCTAAACCAAATTATTCCACTGGGCAGAGTGATCACTCCTCGCTGGAGTTGATCATTTTGACTAAAATCTTGTAGTATTCAGACCTAAGAGGGTTAATAAATCAAAGGTTCTACATTGATAATCTGAACAAGTTTCAAGTGAAGTAAAAGCAATGCTTCCCACCCTCATTGGCCAACATTTTGATAACTAAATGCTCAGGTCTATGATCAATAATTAGGGCTGTAATTATAAAGAAAACAATAGATTCTAACCTTATTCAATTTTTGTAATGTGGAATGTGTATCTTTTTTTTGTTAGACTATTTGTAATTTATTTTATTATTCAGTTATTCAGTACTCTAAGCCAGAATGGTCACATAAAATGCAATACATTATACTGAATACATTATGTAATAAAAAGCCTAGGGTCTCCTTTTATGGGTGGAAAAGTGTTTTGGTGGTATTTTTACATTTAATACCATATTATGTAAACATTCTGGCACCCATATCAATTTAAATGTTTTCATATCTTCCAAATTCAATAGTATGTTTTATGGGAAATGGTACCAAATTACAAAGGGAAAGCTGTAAAGCTGTTCTTTTTCTTAAAGATTGTTCAGTCAAAACTGCTCAATATAGTGTACAATTCAATCCCATGTGCTGTTTGATTGAACTCACAGCACTTGGTTAAAAGTTCTAGCTTGTATGAACTGGGCTCCAGTTATCATTCCTCCTGAATGTAGAAGTGATCTTGTCATGTTCTGTTATGTTAAGTGTAACATAATTGTAATATATTATATTCTATTGAACGTAGACAGTTTATAAAGCGTTAAGATAGAGTATCGTAAACAAAAGCCTTCATCAGATCTCAAGTGTGCAAGGAGATTCTCACGACAGAAATCCTCAGATAGAGGTTACCATATGTTGTTCATGTTCATTTTTAGCACACAATGTTGCATATTATAGAATTTGAAGTCTTATTCTGTTATGTGTAATTTTGTGGGCAAATTCTCGTTCATACACATTGTATATCATACTGTACATACTAAGTCTTCAGAAAAATAAGATAAAAATAATTTATAAAAAAATGAACTTCTTTGTCTTTTTTTTTTGTTATTTACGTATTTAGTTATTTTGTGTCAATCCCATTTTGATTCACAAGGTCTCCGTTGCTCCAACTTGTGTTATAACACCTTGGAAGTCAAAGATGGTCAATTGGTTGTCATTTGCAATGTAATGATTCCCTTGTGAAATAATTTGGAACATGCATTGGAACCCTCGCCCCAGATTTAAATGCCATGATTAATGGTGACTGTATCGATCAAATCAAAGTGGCCAATTTGATATCAAAATTGACCAAAGGCAATTTAAGAAAAAATTGGAATTGCTTCCTTGCAAAGTCGATGGACCTTTCTGATAGGGCTGACATACACGGATATAGTGAGATGATAGCCATTTAGAATTGCATGCATTATGGACCTCTAGGACTTCCCAAATTCCGCTATGGAGGTAACTATATATATTCAAGAAAGGAGTTCTGGTGAAATTGCAGACTTTCTTAAAAAAATGAATGGATGTAGATGCCATAAAACACTGGAATTTTCATTTCATTCACTTACCGATACCTGTGGTGGCCATTGGTCAGGAGTCTGTGTGTTTCTCTTTTAAGCCCATTCGAAACCTTAAAATATATAAATTCCAAAAAAGTTTTTTTTCTGACTTCATATGCACTACCCTACCCCCATACTGTAGCCTGTATTTCTTTCTAAGCGATACAGACTACAGTGAAGTTGCAAATGGAGGATGTTTATTTTCATATTTACGAGGGTATACTAGATTTTATATATATTCCAAGTGTTCTACTATATATTGTATACATTCATCAAGCAGTTTGTAATTGCACTCTCTATTATCTTATTATTCTGTAGATAGGGAACGCCTCCGTCCGTCCGTACGTACGTCCGTCTGTCTGTCCGTCCGTCCGTCCGGGCAATAACTCAAATACCGTTGGCCCGATTTTGTTCATATTTCGTACACATATACCCTATGGGGGTAGAAGTACTGCTCGAAAGCCGATTTTCAAAATGGCCGCTCATTTCAAAATGGCGGCCATTTTAGTGACGATTTTACAGTTATTTAGGTGCAATATGTAAAACTGTAATAGCAATATGTTTTAAATGTAAAAAAAATTATAAAGGACATTAATAATGCTACAAATGTGGATATTAAAAAGCACATGGCAGCCATCTTGAAAAATGGCGGCCTTTACTCGTCATTTTACGATTTTTGCTATAACTCTAAAAATAGTGGAGCGATTTTGTTCATATTTTGTGTGTGAATACTATAAGCATTGCACACTGTCTAAATACACTTTTGGTAGAAGGCGGCCATTTTTCAAAATGGCCGCCATTTTAACGTATTTTACTATAACTCGAAAAGAAGTGGAGCGATTTTGTTCATATTTGGTATGTGAATACTATAAGCATGGCACACTGTCCTATGACACTTTTGGTAGAAGGCGGCCATTTTGAAAACAATTTTGAAAAATGGCCGCCATTTTAATGTATTTTACTATAACTCGAAAAGTAGAGGAGCGATTGTTCATATTTGGTATGTGAATACTATAAGCATGGCACACTGTCCTATGACACTTTTGGTAGAAGGCGGCCATTTTGAAAACAATTTTGAAAAATGGCCGCCATTTTAACGTATTTTACTAATAGTAGTGGAGCGATTTTGTTCATATTTGGTATGTGAATACTATTAGCATGGAACACCGTCTATTTCTAATGACGCTTTTGGTAGAAGGTGGCCATATTGAAAAATGGCCACCATTTTACTATAACTCGAAAAGTAGTGGAGCGATTTTGTTCATATTTAATATGTGAATACTTTAAGCATGGCACATTGTCTAATAAAACTTTGGGGAGTAGTCGGCCATTTTGAAAAATGGCCAGCATTTTTATGTGTGTTATTTTACAAGTAGGCCTACTTGTGCGATTTTTCCAAAAATTTTAGAGGTGGCTACTTAAAATCATATTATTATTTCTTCTGATGACAACTTGGCTTGGCTGATGAAAACTTGACCATTTTGAAAATGGTGGCCTTTCTGGTGTGTTGTTTATGATATTTGCGCTTCGTTTGTAAAAATGCCAGCCATTTCTGTTCGATGGGATTCGCTACGCTTTGGCGTTGCCGTTGTTCTGGTTACCAGAAAAGCTGTACAGTATAGACAAATATAGAGAATAGCCCCTCTAACTTCGTCTGAGGGGGGGGGGTGCAAAAAGAATCATTGAAGAGAGTGAGCAGCCCACTTTATTGAATAGGAGATTTCAAAATGCAACTTTTTGTGGAGTGTTTGGCGGTTAGCGTGTGTCTGTAACAAACTCATGCCATCTCTGCATTAGAGTCCATTAGTGCAATAACCATGTACAAGATGGTGACATTCTTCAAGGACAATAGCATAAATAGATTACACTAAACCGGAACACTATCTTATCATGAATCTATTTTAACCTATTTTCTTTAGTTGTATTTTATCCATATTTGCTGCAAATTATCATGGTGATATGTACATATGTCATGCATGTATTGTATGTACATCTACACTGAGTAGAGTGTTGGATGAAACTTTAGTCATGTTTTATAGATGTCACTGTTGTATACACTATACAGTCGGCCATTTTTAAGGAACAAATTTCGTAAAAAATTTGCATGGAAGGTATGGTATTATTTTTGTGTTAATTACGTGATCAGACAATTACGATTTAAAAGACAGAAGGTGTTACTTAGTAAATATACTGAGATTCTTTTGGCTGAATATATAAACTTTTGGCTACTTCTAATCTGGCTAATTTTGAAGTTCAATTTAGACAATCTACCAATTTGTGGATTGAACTTTGAAGGTCCATTCTATAATTTTTTCCTTTGATTGACAAGCAATAAGACCACATTCCAACAGAATATGGAAAAATAAAAACATGTGTATCTATATTTGTGTTTTGAGATAGTGCACTGTGCAGCAGATGTTTCCCCATGGCCGTTTGTAATCTTGAATGAGTTTCTGCTATGTTCATTTTGGTATAACATCAAGAAAAACATCAAATGTGCCAACAAACCAAAATATACAAAGGTTCAGGAAATAATTACCGACCCACATCTCAGGTTTTTATACAAAAAAGGAGACCCACATGTAGGATTTCTCAGTGCAGTGAAAAAGCGACCCACTTTAGCGGCACATCCAGATATAGGCAATATACGGAAGCCCCCCCCCCCTTTCGTGTTCCTAAATCATGTTGATATGAAATGACTCGACTCTTTAGAGACTTTAGAGTAGATCTATTGATACCAATTCGATATGAACCCTGGCTTTCACTATCACGGGCAGTGTTAGACATGAAATAAGCCGGCCCAAAAACATAATGGTCTCTAACCATGGACTTCTAACTATTTGAAGTCCATGCTCTAAGAGAGCCCTCCTGTATTTTACAAAGCCACTTTACATGGAACATGTTATGAATATTTTGCTTCTATTGCATATTCATAGTATACAGCATGTCAGTAAATAATTACATGTACATTCTATTCATCTTACAGACATTCAGATGGAAGAAGGCTACAATGATGCCACTAACCATCAGGCCACAAGAAACAGTTCAGATATTACACAATCAATTTACAACAAGGACTATACACAGCTGATGCATATTCTACATGATGAATACCAATCACCAACTGAGTTTAACCTAACTTTCCTTCACAGTCTAGCTATAGAGGCAATACAGTCGCAGGACTTAGAAACTTTAGAATGCCTCGTTATGAGCCAGCCATCCCTAGTTATGAGAGTCAGGAAGGAAGACCAGGAAAAGAGGCTGATTCATTATGCTGCAGAGATGGGGAATGTTGAGCTTATGAAATGGGTTGTGAATAAAGGATCGCCATTAAGTGTAACAGACAAAACTGGCTATTCTGCTATGCATTATGCTATAGAGTAAGTGTATTTGTAATTGTTGAATGCATTTACCATGAATATTGAGCACTGTTAATTAAAGTACAAGTGTATTTGCAAATGTAATACTGAATTAGTTTTCCTATACTGCACATATGCTGAACTTACAGTCATTTGCAGTCATTAAAATAAAGTTGGTTACTTTTTTACTTCCCATATTACAGCTGTAAATATATGTAAAATGGCAAATGTACATGTATATATTGCAATGTTTTCAGGGGTCATTTTCTAGAAGCAGTTGCATTTCTACTGAAAGAAGGCATTAGTGTTAACAGAGCCAGATCTCGAGATGGTTATCTTGCAATACACCTTGCTGTCATGAAAGGTCACTTAGAGATGGTGAAGCTTCTCAGAAACAGGGGTCATGCGGACCTGAATGCCTTGACAAAACCACCATCTGGGATCTCTCAAGATAATACAGAAAACAGACCCATACACATGTAGGTACTTTTTAATTGAATTCTTTCTTTTTTGATGGGTTTGATGTTTCATTCAATGTTTTTCGTTTCGTGTCAACTTTATCTGTGACGACCTTTAATGACTATTAAATGACTATAAATAACACGAGAAATTGACTTTTAAAACTGTCCTAAATCATTTCTGTCTTGCTACACCATTTTTATATTCCCATATTGCTTGTAAACTTACACTCTCATTTTTTGTTCACACTAATTCTTTCTACATTGGCTCTTTTGCATTCACACAACTCAATGTGTGTTCTCACTGCCTCAATCTGTGATTACACCATCTGATTTTGCATTCAAACTGACTTATTTTTTGTTCAGTTTAGATTTACACTTGTTCATTTTTTATTCACACCATCTCATATTGTTGTCACACCATCTCATTCTTCCTTCACACTGTGCTTGTAGAGCAGCTCAACTTGAAGACTATCTCATGTTGGACTACCTGTGTGTAGCTGGGGCAGATATAAATGGCCAGAACTCCAAGGGTGATACAGCCCTAAATATAGTTGTAAGAAAGGATAATGAAGACCTTGTTAATTATCTATTAAACCATGGAGCGTCTACAGAAATCTTCAACAATACAGGTTTGTTTTAATATTGTATTACCCCCTTATTGCATCCTCCTTGTTTTAAGATTCATGAGTTCTCCAACACAGGTTGAAATCTTAAGAAAAAGTCTTCTGAGATAATCTGTAAAGTCTCAGGACCCTACACCATTACCATGTTAACTTTATGGTGTATGGTATCTCAAACTTGGGACATAATGGTACATATGGTATAAGAAATCCTGGGACCTCTAATAATCTCCCTTTCACAAATAGAGGGTCTGTTGAATAAATCTTTCATTGATGCAGTCTATTTATATTTATTAAATATCAATTGTTTTCTTGGTTTGATCATGGGCTTTCAACTAGAAAGCCCATGGTTTGATAAAGCAAACTGGAGCATACCATATAATGTGACTACCACAAAAATATGCAGTGCAGTGTATTTACAAAAACTATTATCATTCATACTTGCAGGTTTTACTGTACTACATGATGCAGCTCTATCTAATACTCCAAGGGTGATGCAGATTCTATTGGAACATGGCTGTAATGTGGACACTTTATCATACAAAGAATCTCCTCAAGAAAGTGACAAAGCAGCTCTTGGCTGTACAGCATTACACTATGCAGCTACACATGGTCATACTGTGATAGCAAAGATGCTTCTTGATAAAGGTACATATTACTTGAAAAAAGATTGATCCATAACTTGAACAATGTAATGTATACTTACCATACTACCATATACATGTATGTATATTTCCATTGCCTTAACCTAATACCCTAACCAACCAATTATAGAATCATGGGTTTCTATATATTTCTTTATAAACATGATTTTGAGTAATGGGTTTTAGACAAAGAGGTTTCAGAATGCACCTGAAAATCAAAATGTTAATTTCACACATTTTGCTTAAAATCAATATCAAAAATCCTCCAATCACAAGGCTCCAAGATCCAGAATATTCAGGCGGGAAGTTCTGCAGGCTTGTGTTCAGAGGATGATATCAAAATCCTGCTTGTTTTCTGGAGAGAATATAATACCTGGTGATTTTCTGGCAAAGTAAAATCAAATTAGACAACCTAAAATGTTTTTTCTAAAATGTTACATAATCTCAATCAGTTATAGATACATCAAAATACAAAATTAACATGAGTTTGAAATTGTAGGTGCTAAAGTAGACATTCGGGCAGTTAGTACTCTGAGAACTCCGTGTATTATGGCTACTGATGGGGCACACTATGACATTCTACATGCCCTACTCCAAGCAGGTAAGTTCCAAAATACATTTCAAAGAGTAGAATCTGAGTAAGCCATATAAGAAAATATGATACAATATGATATGCTATCAAATTTTTAGCACTTTTATGGTGCCCTTTCTACTTGTAGAAAGAGATGTTTAAATCAGTTTTTTAATTTTTTTTTGTGAAGTCAATTTCAACTTGAAAAAGTGAAAGTTGCCCCTGCTATGTTCTAACCTCATCCATGAAATGTAGTTATTTATGATCTGTTTCAGGAGCTAATGTCAATATTCCCGATGTACAGAATTCGACTGCTCTTCATGTGGTGCAGAATATATCAAGTATGATTCTCCATTATTTTACTTGAATCCTAGTGTCATCCCTAACTTTTTAACGGAAGGACCCTATATAAGAAGGTCACATAAAACATTAATGAACTATGCATACACAGCCAACATTGAATTTCTTTTGTGTGGTAAGGATAGTGATAGATTAAGGCTTTCAGCCATTTAAAGTTTGTGTCACTGATTTTCTCTTATTAGACTCTACAAGACCCTTCATATACTAAACTAGTATTCATGTCCATGTATATGCTAACAAACTACATGAATTGTATTCCAGGAAACAAGCAGGCACCCAGTGCAATAGACATTACACAGCTTCTTATAGAATATGGTGCAGATCTCAATTACCCAGACTCCCATGGGTTCACTCCACTGGATAAGTGTGTTGGTCAGCTGATGAGACAGAACTACAACAAACATTTGCTCAGTCTACTAGTGACATCTGGTGCCAGATTGGAACAATCCTCAAAGCGAAGGTTAGAAAAATCTTGATTACTTTTTACCATTGTCCTAGTGGCAGTTTAGAAAATGAATAATACTTTTAATCTTAAAGACCAATCACATTGCTCTAAGGCAGCAGCACTCTGGCTGTAGCTTCAAAAAATTGATATAAAAAATCTGCATTATACTGCTTATCCCTATATTTTATGCTGCATATTTCTCTCAATGTTGGGAAACTAGGACTGCTGTATGGTTGTCATAGATCAAATATGACCGAGCCATTCCTTTGATTATCAACGCAACATTATGCTACAGTAGTAATACTGTTCATAGAGGATTCACAAGAGTTATATAGGATTTCACAGTTATATAGGATTTTCTGTATGTTATATGTATAACACATGTATATATTTCAGTACCCAGCACAGATCACCAAACTCTTCCCTTTGTTGGTTAGCTTGGAAGAAGCAGCTAAAATCTGCCCAGTTCCTTATAGAAGCTGGATGGAGCCTAACCACAGAATCTTGGATCACATTCACTGCCCCGAACAAACAATTGACTGAATTTCTCGATTCTGTTCAGCGTATGTTGAGACACCCACCAATGTTGCAGCACTCATGTAGGATGGCAATTCGCAAACATTTAATGGCAGAGAGTGACAATCGAGAGATATTGACCAAAGTTAGTCGATTGGATTTACCAAATCGTTTGAAAAGCTATATCAATTTGGAGGTTGAATCTGAAGTTATGTTAAGTGATTCTCAGTGGAGAAATGATGAGTTTATAGCAATTATAGGGCCAGTGTAGTGTACTGATTCTGAAAAGAAAATACCAACCGACCAGTGCAATGAATCTTAAGGATTAGACTAAAAGAACCAGTGCACTTATTCTCGAAGAATTAAAGCACTAGATTAAAGGACAAGTGCATTGATTCCTGGAAATCTTTAATTACACTCAGAATACAGCAATTATTTTGAGCTAGTCCATAATGTAGTCTAGGATGTTGGGTAATGTGTATTGAGGATCTTTGAGGTTCTCTAAGGTTATGTGTTAGCATACTCTGTTAATTTTAAACATAAAAATCAATCAGAAAATTTTACATATGGTGACTCTAGTTTTTACTTGAATAATATTTTTGTGGATAAGTACACTTAATTGAGTCAGAAACATGAAAGGTGCGAGAGTAGTCTAGAGGTGGTGATTGAGGCACTATCCATAACACCAACTTCATGGAAATTGTTCATACTTGCATACATACATATGATTTAAGAACAAAAAGTTCATTCTATATTTTAATTATGCCTTTAGTGCTAGAGATCCTGAAAGTTCCTCATCAAATGTTCCCTTAGTCATTTGAATTTAAGTCTGAAATAAGAACATCTATCATGAGTAGTACTAGATATAGTATGAGAGTCTAAGATAGGGTTCCAAAGATGTAATGCAATTGCAAGATGTAACAGTTTTAATATCAGTCATTATTTTACTTATACATGTACTTTATTTTTATTTTATGTACAGCGTATGTACTTTTTAAATGTTATTGCCTTTTAGCTCTTGAGGGATTGTAATTGTGTCAGATGATGATTTATTAATGATTGATTCAAGAACGGTCACTCAAATATATATTAATTTGGGATTATTACATTTATCCACGGATGCTAAATATATTATGGGGACCTTCTCAAGGTCTTAACAAATCTTAAAACTTCCAATAACTTAACAAATACTGTTTAGACTGACTTCAGTTTTTTTCAAAATCATCTACAAATTATCAGAAGTTCAAATCTGACTTTAGATTTGACCTTCATTGATCTTCTCAAGGTCAAAAAAGGTCAAAAAGGTCTATTTTCAACTTGCTTCAAATTGACCAATTTTTTTTCAAAATCATGTACAAGTTCTCAGAAGTTCAAATCTGATTTGAGATTTCACTTTCAATGACCTTCTCAGGTTCAAGAAAGGTATTTTTCAACTTGCTTCAAATTGACCAATTTCTTTTCAAAATCATCTACAAGTTCTCAGAAATTCAAATCTGACTTATGATTGAACTCATAATATTGTGAGTAACTAGTTGGTGACATTTTGTCATGTTAATGCCTTGTCATCTATTTGTGGATATACCCCATCTCCAATTTCTCACTGTGCCCACTTCTGGAGATGACTGATATCCACTCATGGATAAAAACGATATTCCTCAAAAATGATAGGATATCCTATACTTATTCCAGTGTTACTAAGATGTTCATAAGATATCTCAGAATACAAATGTTTTTTTAATCATTGGAAAATATCTTTCTACATAATTATAGATATTATTCACATTTGTGTGAAATTGCCATTCCATTCATATCATTTGCCTTGTTGCTTAATAAATGCTTATTATTGTTATTAGTTGACTTGTAATAAACTGTTAATCATCTCATCATTTCATATGTTGGATTCATTGGCTATCAAGCTTCACCTGTCTCTCTTTAATAAGTGCTTTGAATTAAGCGATTTTGTCAAGATATAAAGCTTCCAATGTAACTCCTAATTTGAGTAAATCTTGTCATAACCACCCAACAAGTTTCATCTTTTTTCTCCAATTATTAAGTTTTTGTATAGCTTACTCTGCAATGAATTTATGTCCATATTTATGTACCGGTTGGGGAAAATCAAAAAATCTTATATATTTTCGTATCTGATAAAACATGTTGATATACAACATATAGATGTGATAAGCAGCTTTCATCTGGCAAAACAGTGTTATGGAATCAAAAACTTGTTCATCTCGCATTTCTAAATAAATATGATATTTAAATATTAAACAGCATGTATTGAATATGTACGTGATTGCGATCTAAAGGATAGTGAATATTATGGCTGCAGATGGGCATTTACATGATAATTGATATATTTCATTCTGGTGCTCTATTAAAGTAAAAAATGAATTTAGACAGTTTGAGGCACCAGGTTAAGATCCCACCCCTGTCAACAATAAGTTTATGGCCTAATTGAAATTTCCTCTTGAGCAGAGGTCCTTTGCACATGTAGCATCTCATCAGCCTAAGAAATTCCATCATATCAACCAGTGTTTCAGTTATCACTGGACAGAAGAATGAACAAATTAACAAATGTATGATCAGACTGGAGGACAGTCAGCTTCTCTCTATCCCTTCCTAACTTCATTTGGTGGGGTAATAAAGGATTCTCTATTGAAAGGGCATGAGAAAAAGCATAACCTCTGGACAAAAAAGCAAGAAGATAACACAGTATCTCCAATTTGTCATTTGTCACTGAAATATGGATTTTGGTGGGTGTGGATTTTTATACCATACTAAGAAAAATATTCTTACAAACAATGAGACAAGAGAAATTGCAGTTTTTATACATTTCCTATATTTTAGATGTTCATTTAGATGAATATATACACATGCATCTTTACATAATTTGTTTCACAGTATGGTACTTATGCTAAGTACTTTTATTACAACCTTTTTATCTCAACTCAAAGTTATACATGTGAAATGTCAAAATTGCCAGTTGGTTTGAAAATATTTCAAATAAATAAGTAACATATTACAAAAAGGAATTTACCTAAATGTAAACATAATATCTCAGCTAAATGTTATTTTATCTACCATGGTGATTGTTTTGGACATTGTTTCGATTTGAAACATTATAAGGGCATATTGGTTTAACATACCTCGACATTTCACAGAAATGTGCTAATGTACGATAAAAATTATGAACACATCTCCTCCATACACAGGATAACATAGTTCATTCCTTAAAATGAATGACAAAGTACAAGTATGTAGAGCTTCAATTCGTAATACAACTTTTCATAGTTACTGATGCACTAGGATTGGATCAATTCATTTATCCTTCTGTCAGTAAACATGGAAACCTGTGGCAACTAACACAAGAGTATACTTCAGTGGCAAGGAATAATTGAAATTTTTCCTAAGAAGAAACTTATGATCTCATAGATCCATGATTGGTTTTCGCTCTCTATTATTGCCCAGCCAATTACATCTAAATTCTGAGTGGTTGTTTTCTGTCATGTCTGTCTACTCATATTAAAATATATCTATCATAGGAAAAATCACAAATTAACACAAAACATACCTAAACATACGTAGTATACATGGCTTTTGACAATAACTTGAAATTGCACTACAATTCACCTAATATTACAGACTAGTAGAGTTCTCACTCAGTATGTTTCAAGGATTTTCTAAATGATGCATTTACACTGATCATCCACACCAAGCAAACTACTTAAGTAACATTGCTTAAAGCCTAAGATCATAGCACAAAACAAAAAAATATAATCTTCGCAGCTTCTTTGATTGAAACCTGTCTGTGAAATTTATTGACTAAAATGGCATTTCAAACCTACTTTGACAACAATGCATTTGTATCCCAGAGGATTTGAAACACTGAAAAAATTATTCATAGACTTTGTTATATGATCTTCAACCACAGATTTGATTTGTCAACTTTATTTCAAATATAGGGTTGACAAAACAAACGAAGCAGGAAATATTTTGTGCCTGAATAATTTAATATGTATGAAATATTTTGGTTCAGTTCAGTGTAAAAATGTTCATAGCAGGGATGAACAAATGGAAGGGGGGGATTAACATGAGAACTTGATACAAGTCTGCTTGAGTGATTTTCATTCATTCATTTATTTTTACAATTACGAACTAAACTTCATTCTGATTGGACAGCGAGACACATAATCTTTTCAGTAACAGCATTCCCACCACCAACCCTCAACTTCAATTCATTCACAACCAAGTATTTAACCATTTACAATGACAGTAATATCAATTTTATTGAATAATTTAATGAGTAAAATTCTTTAGAGTGAACTTTTTCCATATATTCTCATATACAATCACATCATAAATGTCCAATAATACAAGGAAAAGTATTTCATATACAGTGTGTTATACTTGTACATTAGTATGTAAAATATGCACCACATTTTTAATTGTTCACTTAAAATCAAACTTGAAGTTATACTAATTCAAGCTCCTATATATTCGTTTCTGGAGATGGCAGTGTATTGCTTTAACAAAATATATAGATTTCAATTATCATTCTCTAATCCCCAAAAGAGCTTTATCAAACTAAAGTGTTATCTTTATAAATATATACCCTATCTATAAGACAGTGGAAGACAAATGCCTATCCATAAGAATAAAACAAATTTTAGCGAGAGCAAGCATATTTCTGTTTTACTCTTGCATGTTTTCCAATACCATTGACGAACTGTGGTTTTTATGAAGGCTACTATGTATACATAACTAACCAAATTTACACATATCTTTGTAATATCCAATGCTTCTTATTAGCTCTGAGAAAAACAGTTCGACTACCCTTTAAAAATCCAATCCGGGTATATTACATGATGATGTCACAGGTATTAAAGCTCCCATTGTATGATGTAACAATGTACAGATGGATCAACAGGGAGGTGAATTACTATATCATATATTATGAATATAAAATTGTTAAAGATCCTATAAGCTTCTTGTTTTTACCATTTCTTTTTATGCTCATCCATACTGACACCGCCAGGGCCTAATGCGACAACCAACAATAGTCCACCAATCACGGACAGAGTTTGGAAGAAATCATACTTTAGGAAGTCCCTCATTGGTCGATAATATGGGATATTCCACCAGGCATTGAAGTAAAAGTTTATAAGAGTGAGCCAGCAAACTAGAACTAAGGCGGATAATTTGGTCTTGTAACCAATGGATACCAAAATTATCAAAGCGGTGCCGATGAAATTTTCAACCATTTGTAATGGAGACATTTCGAATCGTAGAAGCGTAAGGAACATAAGGACGAGTAGAAGGCGGCCACTCAGCTGCAGATAAGTCTTGGGCGTGTTTTCACCCAGGGAGGGGAGCCCGGCGAACAGACTCTTACCCTCAGCTTTACTCTCTGCTAGAATCAGTATGACACCTCCGGCTAGAGCCAGATTTCTGAAAGAAAAACAAATGAGTTGTGAGACATTAGTGATTAACTGTGGAATATCATTGGTAACATGTTTACTTTTACAGGTTTATCCAATGAATATGCATAATATTCAATACAATATGAATAATCTAAACATTTATCACATTTTATCATAAGCCAAAAGATAATGAAAATATGTGACAAAGTCAATATAAGAGCAATATTGTACATTCTTTATTCTAATAAATTATAACACAGTATGCCTTGGCACTATTGCTCCAACTATTGCTAAATTTAATATTGTAGAATATAAGCCTTCTAAACGAGTATGAATCGTACAAGAACAGGCCTCGAAAGGTTGTGATAATATATATGGCCATGGATTCAGAAACAGAATATTGTAATCACCAATAGTTTCTACAAATCAAGTTTTTATTTTATTAATGAGTAACAAACAATAACACCTTTTGTTGTCACTTGAAGTTTGTTTTCTACATCAAACTGTACATTTCACAACTGTCTGATTATCTTATAGGTCAACAAGTTCCCGAGCACTTGGGTATCCCAAGTACATCTCATATTTATGCTAATTGAGGTAGTATGAGTGGTCTAGACATATTGTATGTGAAGAAACAATAAAATGCGATAACTCTGTTAGAGGTGAAATGTGAACCCACTCCTAGAAGTTTTTCACTAAAAATACAGCAATTTTTGTATAAGGATGCACCATGTTTGTTTTTTAACCCCAGCATTACATTTTGAAAATCTGAGTAAAATGAATTATTTTAAACAGGACTGTGTCAATTCCAGGTGTTGTTTTAACAATTTTATTAATGTTCCAGAAAGGCATGTTAACTGTGAACCAATTTACCGCATAGTTACTAATAAACACTAATAACCCACTAATGGAACTTTTTAAGGACACTGACCCCATTTATGTGTAACAATTTGTCCTGAGAGTTTAAACAAAATATGCCCTGTACTACTTCCAACATATCTTAGTAGCATATATTCTGTGACCTCATAAGGTAAAGACATATTTATAACAGTTGAGGCCAATGAAACTGTTACAATTGGCCAACTGGCATATCTGTACAATAAAAACCAATGTTATGAATTTTGAAAGAAGCTCTATCTCATCCAGATATTAGTTCTAAGAATCAATCAAAATGAAAGGAATGGGGGAAATTCACATAGGATCTATAATTTTATGCACCATTCAAAGGTTTGCAGGAGACCCCCTCGCAGGGAAGATCAGGAATTTGACACACACACACACTGTCCCAGGGATTGGGATTTTGACACAGTAATTCGGCATGACACAGGGATGTGACAGGGATATTTGCAATGCATATTCCCAGTAATAGGAATTTGACTATGTTAGACCAGCTATTGTTGCTCTCAGGTGGGGAAATTTACCCACTAAGTTGCTCCCTGGAAAATTGATAGCCCAAATTAATTAATATTTTTAGAAATCCTCACCCCTTCCCATGTGGGGGTCTCATGTAAACATTACAGTTCAATTATAAAGATGTGTTAAAACTTATAAATACCTCATAAGGAATTTCAGATCCCATAGAATACTGTATGCAATTGTCTGAAAATAAAGCATTATTTAATGACATTAAAATGATATTACATATATAATGTTTATCTATGTACATGATTGACACATGACATAGAATAAAATTAAATATGTCATTCTCTCTATAGGACCTATGCATGACATATTACAAATAATAACAACCTCTGGTTACAATTTTTCTGAATCAATAAGGTTATTCATAATTGGCATCACGCTCCAATTTTTATAATATTGTAATTACGAATCATCAACCTGATTCCCTTAGGACTTTTCATAATCAATATCTCATCTTACCTCAAATTATGAAAATCAATAGCTAAATGCAATTAATTACAAGCCAAAGGCAAGAGGTTGCGATATATTGTTGTCGCATAATATCTCGTACAGATTTTATATTCAGTATTTTTTATTACTATTTGGCTAATCAAAAAATTATCTGATTCATTCTCAAACCATACAAGGTTTTAACTTCACTTTAACAGTTCCGACTGTACAGAATAAAACAAACTTCCTACCTGGATAAAGATAATAGAGAATAATATGCCACATGCGATAGGTACTTTCTGCCTGCTAAGTACCATAATGCACCCTGCTAGCTGACCAACCAGATTGACCAGGACAAATGTTGAGGCCAACATGGTGCCACAACCCCACTGGGAATCCATGTAGTCCCTCTGTTCTCCCCATTGGGTCCACATACGGATTCCATCCTCCAGGAAGGTACTAATCAGACACAATCTTGCAATATGAGGCAAAACATGCTTGCTGTGACGAAGAACCTGCAAAAGAAAAAACATAAACGTTTCAAATAAACAAGAATTATAGTATAAATTTCATTATCTGAAAAATAGGTTTCAGGAAAATAGCAGTATTTCATATGTTCAATTTATAACCACTGATTTATTTCTACTTTTAAAAAGTAGGTCATTGAACTCAGAAACATGTGTTGTAGAAACTTAGTAGTAACCTTCAACTTATTATCTAGTACATTTTATTTTAAATACTATTTGTGAAGTGAAAGATGTAGACCAAGCATGGAATGGGTTAAATATACCTTAAAATAGCATTGGACTCTAAGGAAGCCATGAGCATTTCTGAAAATGTGGTATCCAATCTGTATGATAAGAAACTTTTATGGCTTCCTAATTGGAGTCCTATGTTATTTTCAGGAACATACAACTCATACCATACATGGTCTACATTTTTCAGTTTTGCACAAAGAAAGCACAATTATACATTTGACATATGTAATTTTCATTATAAATTATCAATAATTCACGAAAGGGAATATATATTTTACATTTAATGTGTATAATAAATTAGGGTAAAATATAATTTAAAATCAAATATTTTGATGAAATGTTGAAAATATATTTCAGAAAATGTTCTTATCAATTGAAGGAGCAAATGTTTGACAAAATGAAATATATTGGTAAAATTCTACATGTCATTCTCTGATGAAATAATTTGTAGCTTTGCTATTTCTGTCAAAAGATAATCAAATCTAAAAAAGGCAATCAAAAGTGCAATATCATACAGATAAGTATATTCACAATATATATGCAAAACATTTGTATTATATTCGCACATGAAACTCCTTGATCTGAAATATCCAAAAGTTTTGTATACAATATGAATATGTTTTCTATATACTGTAATCTTGATTGGTTAGTATATTCATCCGATTGATCTTAGATGGAGAGCATAGGCCCAGGGAAAAGTATTGGTATGCTTATCTAAAAGAAACAGGCTGACATCTCCAACTGAGACCACCTTTTTAAATGGCGATTCCAACAATATCTATTTATTATTTTCCAAAAAGTTGATAGAAAATTGATAGTTTTCAATTCTTACCTATATGAATAAAACCCAGTCAAGTGATATAATGGAAATAAAGCTGTGTTCAAGTGAGAATTTCTGGAAATCTGCATTTGTGACAATTGCTTGAAGAATTGTTTGAAACAAGTGATTTGAATTGTATCTGCCAACCCCCTTTCATACTTCCAACTTGCCCCACAAATGCAGATATCTACAGTAGTTCTTTTTTATGCAATATTATCAAAGAGTTGGGGTAACGATTTGAAATAATCGATGATATACGTTTCAGAAACACTTTGGAGAAGATTCGGGAGAAATTTGGTGATACGATTCCATACCAGACTACCAGTAAGGAAAACTTGTACAGGGACTACTCTAGTCTATATCCAATAGACTGAATTTCCTGAGAATTTTTTCATTCCAAATTTCAAAAAAATTTCAGACTAGAGGATATAGTCTAGGGACTACTCCAGCAAGAAGTACCACAACACACACGTAGATGTAACACCAAGTATCTATTAAGTCACATTGTAAAACATCTACAGTTGGGGACAAAAATAAATGACAGGTCGATTTTCGATCACCATTTCCTAATTATGGTGGTCTGAAAGCCCATAATTTCCAATATTGTCTAGATATATATCCCTTAAAATTTGTATATTTTACATTTTGTATAATCTCATCCACTGATGTATGGCCTCTTGTAAATTCTCTTATTTTTAACATGGGAAATCCTCACTTCAGCAAATCCACCTGTCATTTATTTATGTCCGCAACTGTACAAGACCGCACCACAGCGGGTATCAAAAATTGAATATTTGGACTTTTGTATTTTACCAAGCAATAATATGATAGCGTATCATCACTGTGAGACTTAAAGTGAAATATGAAATTCAAATGTACATAATCTAAATTACTACTCAACAATGAGAATAACAGCTGTCAAAATCAGTCAATCATTTTTGATTTGATAAAAAATAAAATATGGACTAAAATTGTAACATCAATCCAGTTTCTGCAAAACACAAAGAATGTAATTATTTAAATTAAACTTTACCTGGTCGGCTAAGTCTTCTGCTTTACTAAGGAGCTCAGTTTGGCTTGGCATCTTGTCTATTTGATACAAAAACCCTAAATAAAGAAGCCACGTAATCCTCGGACCGGCAAACCGGAACCAGTATGGTGCTCGTAATGAGGCTGTGAGATGATTACACCTTCCTCCTGTTTCATGTTAGAGAAATATCTCATAAAACATGTATCAGAATCGTTGATGTCAAATTTAAAAAATCGTAAAAATATCATATTATTTAATCTAAAATTTTCATATCATTAGTAAAATATTACTAGGTAAATGTGAGGAATTAATTTGTATACTTTATAGTCTAAAAAGGGAGGATGTACAATCGTTCTACACTCTGCCACGTCTTCAGGAAGTTGTCTTCGGCGAAAGTCGGCAGTTCTCGGTAAACTCCGTAAAATAAAAATGGCAGCCGCCATGGAGTTGGTGATCGCCAAGAAAAAGCTCCTAGAAGTCTTGAAAGATGATTGGAAGCTGTGAGTTATGCAATTAATACAAATGAGAAATACTAATATACTATTCTGATAAGAAGTGAACTTCACACGGACGCCATAAGGTCCTAACTTGAAGGTGTTTCAAATATTTGTCTAAAAAATCATGAAACTTGAAGTTGAACATGTCAACAATCATGACCAGATTTTACTTCGGTCCAAAGCCTTCTCTATATTCCGGCTTTGAGGAGGAAGATTGAGCTGCCTTAGTATTATAAATATTGTAAATCATTGTGTCACACGCACAGTAAATATGGCATAATTATTTTGAAGAACATCAGCTCACATCCCCGTCTGAATCTATTGTTATATTTGATTTCTTTAAGCGAGAATAATTTCAAATGTTATTCACGTCCAGAACCGAACTCCCGTACAGTGTTAGTCTTCAACATAACACTGCGGCGGGCAGGTATCTCACCGTAAGCATGGTAACTTCGTAATAAACAACTGACGTGATTGGTACTTGTCCCATGCTCAGGTCGCGTGATTGTAAAATTTAGACAATTTCATTGGTTGAATTGCGCGTATTAACTAATAAACAACACGTGCGGTAAACTTTTATCAACACAACTTTTACTCAGAATTCCTTCCGCGGTGATTTCTTCTCATATTTCAATAATTTTGAAATATTTTGACAAAATAATGTTTGGGGAACATTCATGAATACATATTTTATAAGTTGTGTGAAAATTGACCACATATGCGATGAAAAGGGGAACTATTTTCCCTAAATTTTGGGGATTTGCTTCATCTGCCCGCCGCAGTGTCTATACCGAGACACTGCATTGGAGTTCGGTCCAGAACCGGAAGCCATTTTTAGCTACAGCGAGAAAATTTCACCATGTATCAAACTCCGAAATGAAATTTTGAAATATCTAAATCCAGACAAGCAACGCTTCATCCTAAATATGATTAATATTCTTAAAAATATTTATAAAATTTATTAAAAATGAGTTCTAGGTGCGTGTAGGTGCGTGTAGCACAGTACATGCGAAATCAATGAAGTTTCGTCAAACTCGATCAAACTCCGAAATGAAATTTTGAAATATCTAAATCCAGACAAGCAACGCTTCATCCTAAATATGATTAATATTCTTAAAAATATTTATAAAATTTATTAAAAATGAGTTCTAGGTGCGTGTAGGTGCGTGTAGCACAGTACATGCGAAATCAATGAAGTTTCGAGACTCGAGTAAACCAGATTCTACTTACGAATAATCTGCAAAAGGCTTAAAACTCCATTTGATTCAGATATAATATTCAAAATAGATTGTTTGATTTATAATAGATTGTTTCAGCTCAAATTAGAGCTATTCTGTTTATCCGATTATTGCGATCACAGATCGTATACCCCCAAATGTAGGCCAGATTTGCATTTTTATCCCACCCTTGGGTACCATCCTCGGGGTACCATATTGTGACCAGTTTGATGGATGGGCGGTCGGTTGGCCAGGCACTCTGATAAATCTTGTCTAAAGGTTTCGGCCAAACCGTTTTATGGATTCATCTGAAATTTTCACAGTGACCCTATCAATCTTCATTATTCAGGGTTCATACACACTCGACCAACTTGATTTCCTGAGAATATGTGGATTTTGTATCTATCCCCATGCATGATTACCATATGCAGATGTATATGTATATAAGACATGCTAGAGTCCATTTCACTGTTTAACTGCGTCAGTAAAAGCTAAAAAATAAGAAATCAAAATATCATTTTGCAATAATATATGGAAAACTATATTCCTATTGTACATGAATGACATTTGTATATCTTATATATATATATCTTATATATTATTACAACTTTTGGTCCTTTCCCTTTTGGCACTAGTGCTTATATATTTGGATTGCTTCTAGTTTGGCTTATAAAGTGTGTGGCCTCTTATATTTGGATGCTTCTCTGCCATGTTATTTTCAATAAGATTAACATGGCTGAAATTCTTCAAATTACATGACGGCACAGGCTTATTGCACAAAAAACTAAAAAATCTGAAATATACAAATGTCATTCATGTACATTATGAATATACGTTTCCATATATTATTGCACAATGGTCTCCCAATTTCTTATTTTTGCCGTTCTACTGACGCAATGAAGCAGTGAAATGGACTCTACTTGAATTTGTTTTTATAACTCCAAATTTTCCCATTTTTCATTCTCCAGAGATATAATATCCAGTTTCTTACTGGGGTACTGAGTTTAGTTTTTCAAATACACGAGTTCTTTTGACTTTGTTCCATTGTTAAGATATATAACTCCCCCCTCCATCCACTCCCCACTCCCCCTCCATCCAATATTCATTTATTTCGATTATTTTTGTATAACGCATGGAAACTAACTTTAAAAAGTGAGCAATGTCATTAGTGTTGTGATAATAACGTCCCTTATACCTATTTATTACAGGTCAGGTTTACCATTGTTGCCTGATTTATAGCAAAAGCATTGATTTTTGCACGTTGGTTATGATGTGCCTTTTTATCGTACCTAACAAAAGGTACGATATTGTAGTCAGCTTGACGGGCGGCGGGCAGGCGGCGTCTGACTTTTCAGCTTGTCTACAGGTTTCCAGCCAAACCATTTGAGGGATTCATCTGAAATTTTCAGGGATGTTTCTACATATCAACGTCAAGAACTGATTAGTTTTTGGGCATTCTGGGTAAATTTTAAGGTGGCCATTTTGGATTTTCCGTCCTAAAATCTTCACTTTCAAGACTTGTCTACAGGTTTTCAGCCAAACCATTTGAGGGATTCATCTGAAATTTTCAGGGATGTTTCTACATATCAACGTCAAGCACTGATTAGTTTTTGGGCATTCTGGGTAAATTTTAAGGTGGTCAAATCTTTACTTTCAAGACTTGTCTACAGGTTTCCAGAAAAACCTTTTGAGGGATTCATCTGAAATTTACAGGGATGTTTCTACATATCAACGTCAAGAACTGATTAGTTTTTGGGCATTCTGGTTAAATTTTAAGGTGGCCATTTTGGATTTTCTGTCCTAAAATCTTCACTTTCAAGACTTGTCTACAGATTTTCAGCCAAACCATTTGAGGGATTCATCTGAAATTTTCAGGGATGTTTCTACATATCAACGTCAAGAACTGATTGGTTTTTGGGCATTCTGGGTAAATTTTAAGGTGGCCATTTTGGATTTTCCGTCCTAAAATCTTCACTTTCAAGACTTGTCTACAGGTTTTCAGCCAAACCGTTCAAATTTTTACATATGTTACACAGTGATAAGTTCTAGAGCTGATTAACTTTTCTGCGGCCATCTTGCTTTCTTGGTCAACAAGACCACAATGCTGTGTTTTAGGTACGATATTGTTCACGTCTGTGCCTTGTTTAATAGATCTCATAACTTAGAAGCATATCAGTTCAAAAGAAAAATACTAGAAGACCTAACATATTTTGCCATGCACTGCGCCTATTCATTTGGCAATTCAGTTGTAAATTTTCTCTTGAAAAATAAATCTTCAAAATTTGTTGAGTTTTCACAATACCGAAGATTTTATTTACCTAGTTTTTATGTCAACAGAAATATGCATTTTATTTTCAGATACATCAACAATTTACAATCCTGGTTCAAGCAAAAGGTATCTTATTTCACAACATTTGATAAACTTGTATTTAAGTTCCATGTTTATTTCCCAGAATACACATTCTACTTAGATATTCAAAGTTATGCACAACTCATTGTCGTAGCTCAAAATGTTTAAATCATCACTGTTTTTGTGACATGAGATAATATGAAATAAGATTAATTCTATTTAAATAGTTATTGTCCAGAAGTTTTTATGCAGTTCCTAACCCAGAACAATGACCTATTCATTTATTTGATATAGCTGTCAAGAGAAGACTTCGATGCTAAGGCTAGACGTATACTACCCCCAGAATGTACACATCTTCACAACCAGTTCCTATTAGCCATACTTACCAGGTGTCAAACATTCAGCACAACATTATGTGAGTTACCAGTTATATTATACAATATTATACGAGTTACCAGTTATATTAAACAACATTATGTGAGTTACCATCTATATTATATAATATTACACGAGTTACCAGTTATATTAAACAACATTATGTGAGTTACCAGTTATATTAAACAACATTATGTGAGTTACCAGTTATATTAAACAACATTATGTGAGTTACCAGTTATATTAAACAACATTTTATGAGTTACCAGAGACATGGAAATCCATTTGGAAATTTTTTATCTGGAGAGAGAATGTATATTGGCTTGTTGAGCCTAATCTACATTTATGAACTATGAGCCTAGTTGTATTTTCTGTATCTCCATTCCAGCTCCCAGAGATCTAAACCACCATAGTAGTAAATCACAGAGCAGTAAGAGACAGAGATTAAAGAAGAAACATTCCACCAGGTCTAACTTTCAACAACGTTTTGTTCCCCAAAACCCATTGAACCAAGCTCCACATATAGTGCCACGACAACCAGATGAGGAACCAACTTTGAGTAAGTCTGTGAATAATGTAATTATGTTTTGCAACAGATTCCTTTTAGATAAAGTGGACAACAATATTTCCCATGTTATTTTCCCATAGGGAAAACTCATGTGATCCATTGCTCTCAACTAATTTTGGTCACCCATAATGAATATTGTTAAAACCCCCAAAGGAATCACTTATTCCTTTAAAGGGGTTAACTGTGTGTCAAAACGCAACATATTGATTAAACAAAAACTAAAAAAGCAGGGATGGAAGGGATTGAAAATCAGAACAACATTTCAGAAAACACTTGTGGGTGGGTTGTTTGCATCTTCCCTGTCTCAAAGTCGAAATTATTTTATCATCTCTACGAGTCGTGTGAGTGCTTTTCCTGGAGGTAATGCATTGATCTAACATATGCACCTATTTAAATCCTCAGAGAAAATCCAACATGTAACTGTCCGAAATCTGTTGCGATACTTTCCCTCTTCCTTAGTACTTTCCTATTTAAAAAGTACAGGGTGTTCAGGAAATAGAGATAATAATGTCATAACTTTATTTATTCATGGATTTCATTGAAAGTTTCAGAGATTGTATATATCTCGGCATATGTTTCATATTAAATCAAGAACTATAGACACTATTTGCAAACGATGTAAAGGAAACACCGCTTCAGTACACAATAATTGAAGATGTACAATGGACTTAAGGACACTTTTAGTGTTTAATGATAGCTTAATTTTCTTCCTTTCTTGTTGCAGATTATTGTACTAAAGACCACACATTACCAGATATTGCCATGATTCATGGTCGTATGATAGTTAGTGCCTGGGATTATGGTCTAGAAGATGTGGAAAATGATGCTGTTCATATGGTGCTATGTGCAGTAGAGGTAATGAAAACATCAGCTATCACTCTTATAGGGGCCAATAAACAATGAACATTTATCCGTACTATGATGATCTAAAATTATCTATCTGGTTGTCAGGTTCAAGGATGAAGAAAATATTGGAGCATCATTTTCCTTTTTTGTTCTCAGAATGTTTCCTGTTATCATTTTTATGTCACCAACTTTTTTGTGGATGGTGGTTGGTATTTGGTGGTTGGTGTACGGGTTCGATGTTCTACAATCAGATGATCCAAAATATATTTTCCAAATTTCTCATGCAATGATTTTGTCATCCTCCTAAGCAGGTGTCCAGAATCCGTACCTCCTTCTTCCCCCCTGCTGTAACCAATTTTTAAGCGCCCGATTTAACTGAATCACGTGATCTAATTATGCGCAATGACTTATACATGATTTCTGTCGCAGACAGTCAATCAGATTGCGAGTTCTTAATCAGGGAAATACGAACTGCTTATCGCATTGTAAAAAGAAAGAATATATTCTGGATTTTGAAGCCATGTGATCAGAGGATGTGATTTTGTACAAACAGAATTGATGATTGTATAATATTTGCTAGGATAGCTGTAAATAAGCTGCACAAATTTTCACAAAATTATTCGTCATTTTGTTTCAGCAACAATTAAAAAATGTAATCTCCTCTGTGATATCCCGACGTGCCGGTTTCAAGACACGAGAAGGAAGATTTAAATATTCTATGGGGTCTCAACCAACAGACCCCTACCAACGGACATCACAACATTTACATGATTACACAACAGAAAGGTATGTCCTTTTTGCTTTTGTAAATCATGTACAGTGTATATCTATTTTAATAGCATCAGTGAATAAATCACTGACATGCAGCTTGAATTTGCTAATAACATGTGCATCACAATAAGTAATCATAGTTGTATCATGAACAGCAATGCTATTGTCATTTGGTTGAATTTAACATGTAATATTAATATAGTCGATTATTTGAAGATGTGAAACCACTTTATTGAAACAGGTACATTCTTTCCAGTCAAGCCACAGATATATGTGCCAAGGGGTCCCATGGACCAAGTATAAAACCATCTCCTGCTACAGCTGACATGGATGCTGCTTTTCAACTTGCTTGCTCTGGTGCAAAGGGGCCTCTGAGAACACCAATCACATTGTTTGATTTATTTGATGCCTTAAAAGTAAGGATGGATAAAGTATTCTCCTTGATAGAAAAATGAAGCAAAAATAATATCCATTATTCTGTCTACTTAGTCCAGTCAGAACGAGGGTTTGAGTGGGGGTTTGCGAGGGAATTAGATATAACTGTTCAGTATAAATTTGTGATACTATGTGACTCGAGTTAATTTATTTCACTACTATTAAAGGAGGAGGGAAGTTAGCGCAACAGATTTTGGGCAGTCATATGTTTGATTTTGGCCATTTCCTGGGGATTTAAACAGGTGCATATGTTAGGCGAATGCATTTCCTCCAGGAAAATCATTTCTAGAGATGATAAAATAATTTCGATTTTGAGACAGGGTAGATGCAAACAACCCACCCACATGTTTTTTCTGAAATGTTTTCCTGATTTTCAACCCCTTCCATCCTTGCTTTTTTAATTTTTCTTGCATCAATATGTTGCATTTTGACACACAGTTAATTCCTTAAAAGGAATAAATGATTCCTTTTAGATAAAGTGAAAAACAATATTTCCCATGTTATTTTCCCATAGGAAAAATCATTGCTTTCAGCTAAGTTTGGTCACCCATAATGGGTATCTTTAAAACCCCTGAAGGAATCACTTATTCCTTTAACAGTTTAAAGTGGTTAATTATGTGTCAAAATGCAACATATTGATGCAAGAAAAATTAGAAAAGCAGGGATGGAAGGGGTCAAAAATTAGGAAAACATTTCAGAAAAAACATGTGGGTGGGTTGTTTGCATCTACCCTGATTTTCGTGGAGGTAATGCATTGGCCTAACATATGCAATTGTTTAAATCCTCAGAAAATGGCCAAAATCCAATATATGACTGTCCAAAATCTGTTGCGCTAACTTCCCTCCTCCTTTTGCAATTTGTTAAAACCTTGGAATAATGTACCAAAAATATTTGAAATGTTCTCCATTATGGTCATTAGAGATTAAAAACATGAAATACTGTAGAATGAAAAAAGATCATGGTTAGATGTCGTTAAGTACATTTTAATACACCATAATGTTCATTGGCACTCTTGCTACTTAAGCTTGAAACTTAAGCTTGTTTATGTTTCCAGGCCTCTAAAAGTACAATAGCGTCACATTCAGTGTATTCCATCAACATGGAACGTATAGTAAACAGACTTTGGCATCCATCTAACGAAGAACTAGAACAAGACGTCATATTTAGAGAACAGTTAGCTTTAAAACAGTCTTCACAAAGTGGAACAAGGCTTTGATATTGTACTATTTTTACATCAGTAATTTTGTCACCATCAGATGTGGTGACATATTCTTATAATCTCCACTTTTTGGATGGTTTTGGGCGGATGGCATTTCGTGGACATAGAGTCCTAACAAAAGCAGGTGGTGACATTTTGCATGTGAATGCCTTGTTCTTCATTTAGGTTGAACTGTCCCAAATGTAATTATTTTGCCCTATTTGAAGGACTGGGGCATGTTTGTTAATCCGTGTACAAAATACAGTGTACAGAAATCCCTGCTTAAAGTACAGAGTGGTGGCGCAAAATATGATGTGTATAGTGTGTCCTTAAAGTGACAGGAGTGGTACTGGCACTTTGATAATTTTGCACCAGTTATGTTCTATATAGTGACTAGAAGTGCAAAGTTTACAAATATCAATACAAATATAAATACACATGCAGTAAATAAGGGTAATGTACTGGTAGGTTTTGAATATGGGGTTTATCCAGAGGGATATATGCGTATCTACCTGAAGCATCATTTTTACTAAAAAAATATTCAAAATGTTTTAAAAAAATATTTCAAATTTTTTTCAAAATTCTTTTCAAATTTTTTTCAAAGCAGGAAGATATGCCCTGGAGTGGGAGATATGGAGGTTCTGGATATTGAACCTCAAAATCAGGATATGGGATATATCTTACCAACTTATCTCCCTAAAACTCCACTTGGCATAGTATAATGCTGCATATCCCCTTTGTTTTAGGTTCTAAGATATCATCTGAAACATGCAAGAGATGCAATCAACTATCCAGCTTGCTAATTTGTCTATTCAACAGCCAGCTTTTTAGGCTGCTGTATCCATAGATTATGAGTTACGTTTTGGCGTATTGGACCATACATCCTTCTCTCCTGATAATTTTTCATATATCACTACAATTTTGATAGCTGAATTCAAAACTTATATCTGCAGTGACATGTCTGTGTGGACAAGAGCGAACCTTCTATGACTTGTCAACTGATATTAATAAATGCAATTTATGAATATTTTTTAACTGCATTTCTAGTCACAATAAAATAAAGTACATTCTGTGAAAATTTGAAATGTGATCAGTGAGAAAATTTATTTTTTTTTTTTTTTTTTTTATTCTTCTTTATTCAATTTTAGTACATACAAATTACACATGTAATGACTGCCGAAGTTGAAAAACATTGGTGGCAGTTTTTATTTAACAAACATAGTAAAATTATAAAAAACAAAAAAAACTAAAGGGTGGTGTCAGGTTTTCTGTCTGGGGTGTTTAGGCAATAAGCAGAAAACAAATTAAATAGTTATTTACAGCTGAATACAAAATTGGCAGTAATCTGCAGCACAGCTTGGTTTTCTTCAATATTTAGTTCGTCATTTCCATTTAGTAGAAATTCAATTTTGTTTCGAACATTTGAATCTAGAAAAATTTCAATTGCATTTAGCTCTGAAAGTTTTGCAAGTAGAGTTAGTCTTTCATTGATATGTAGGTTGCAGTGAAGGAAAAAGTGTTCAGTAGTTTGTGGTTTTCCACATTGACAGAGGTCATCCAAAATTCCAGGAAAGTTATGAGCATATTTATGTGATTTTAAAAGAAATCCTACTCTAAGCCTGTTCAAATTAATTTCATAAAATCTATCAATATCAATATTTTGACAGTTTGTAAATATCTTTGGTTGGGTTGAGAAGTTTCTTTTGACATGATTTTTAAAGGTGGATATTGTTGGTTGACATCTCAATTCAAGTGGGAGTGAATTCCAAATATTTATGCATGAAAAGATACAGGAATTTCTAAATTTAGCTGATATATTAGTAGGTAAGTGAAAATCAACTGGATTTCTAAGTTGCATATGTAATCTGGTTGGTCTATATTGTTGAAAAATTTCTGATATATAAGATGGCATTTGACCTAAAGATAATTTGTACATAAACGTTGCTATGTGTGATTTACGTCGGTCAACAAGTTTGTCCCAATTTAGTAATTTCAATACCGAATTTGTATTTGAGCCATGTAAACACCCTGATACAATGCATGCAATTCTGTACTGGAGTCTCTCAAGTCGGTCAAGAGTTAATTTGTTACCAGTATGATAAATAATGTCATGAAAGTCAAAATGTGGCCGTATAAATGATTCCGCTATCCTAGAAAGATGTTTACTTTTAAGTTTATGGCTCAATGCACGAAGTGGATTTGTCATTTTTTGAACTTTATTCAATAAGTTTTCAATGTGCACGTCAAAATTTAGAATGTCATCCAGGTGCATACCTAGATGTTTGTGACTATTTACTTTTGGCAGAGTTTCACCATTAAGTGTCAAATCAGGGATATTATTTAAAGTACTTCTTGGTCGTCTGAAAATGAGATCAGCACTCTTTGCTGCTTTAAATGCCATTTTCCAAGTATTTGACCATTCAGAAAGTTTGTTCAAATCATCTTGTAAAAGGTCAATGGAGTTAGGATCATTTTTGGAGTATGGATGATAAAGTGATGTATCATCAGCATAGAGAAAGCAAAGGGAATTTAAATCATCTGGCAAGTCGTTTATATAGATTAAAAATAATAACGGTCCAAGAATTGAGCCCTGAGGGACACCTGCATTTATTTGACCAGGAAGTGAGAAATTTGATTGTATTCCATTTATTGTGACTTTAATTTTTCGATTTGATAGGTACATGGTTATAAGGTTAAGTAGTGACTGTGAAAGTCCATATCGTGATAATTTATGCAAAAGTAAATAATGGGGGACGGAATCAAACGCCGCGGTAAGGTCGAGGAAAATTGTACGAACATTATTTTCATTTTCAAGTTCATTGTTTATCTTATGGATGATGGAAATCAGTTGGCCTGTAGTACTATGACCTTTTAAGAACCCAGACTGCAATTTATAAAGTAAGTTTTTAGACAAGAGAAAATTACTTAAATTGTTATATATAACTCTTTCGTAAACTTTTGATATACAGTTGAGCAGTGTTATCGGTCTATAATTAGAGCAGTCTGATCTTTTCCCTTTTTTGTAAATCACCGATACATTTCCCTCCTTCCAAGAAGATGGGAAGAAGTCATTTTGTAAAAATTTATTGAAGAGCCTAGATAGTGGTATCTTTAGAGAGTTTGCATTGATTTTGAGCATTTCATTACTAATATTGTCAAGTCCAGGAGCTTTATTGTTTTCTAACGAATGTAAAATTTGAACGATTTCTTCACTGTTAGTTGTAAATTGATGTAAAAGTTGGTCAGTTCTATGATCAAATGGTGGAAGTTGGTCACTTTGCTCTATACTGCTTTTTCCAATGAAATATTCCAAGAAAAGATTTGCTTTTTGAAGACTTGTGACAGCTGATCTATTTAAATTATAATTATATAAAACAGGGATGAGATTACTGAATTTTTTACCCAAAAGATCCTTGATCATTGGCCAATATTCTTTCGAATTAGCAGATTTTTCTTGAGTTTTTTCACAATATTCATTTTCATAATTTGTCTTTTTATTATTCATATGGTCAATAACTAATTTGGATTGTTCTTTAAATTGATTAAAGTGGTCTAAACTTTGAGACTTTTTGAATTTTCTATAGAGACGGTCCCGTTTGTTAATTTCAGTTTTGATTGTATGGTCAAACCAAGGTTGATCATTTGGTCGAATTGTTACCTCTTTATGCGGTATAAACCTGTTGAATATGGATATTAATTTGTCAATGAAGTTTTGAAGAAGCAAATCGAGATCATTTTGATCAAATAACAAATCATCCAGATTTAAATCGTTTATTTCACGCGTCATTGAGACTTTATCAGCATCTTCATAAAACCAAATGGTTTTCTTGTATGATTGATCACGCGGAATTTTGACATTAAGTATTGTTTTGAGAGTAAAGTGGTCGGTGTTTCCTATGGGTGAACATACTTCAAAGTCAGTTACAACCCCAGGGGAATTTGTAATTAAAAGGTCTATACAGGATCTATGTAAGGAAGTAGCCCCTGTTGTCTGGTTTGTTGATGAAGCAACCCTTGTAGCACAGTCAATCAGCTGACTGAGACCGTAATCACACAAAATTTCGTTTAATTCAAGACCTGCTTGATTTTGAATATCATCATTAAACCATTGTCTATTTCGAGCATTAAAATCTCCATTTATAATTAAGTCAACTTCATTTTTCTTAAAGTTTAAAGCTTTTGAAATATTTTGATCGAGATTTTTAAAATAGGTTTTTCGTTCCGCATCTGTTTGAGACGGAGACCTGTAAAAAGTACCATAAAGTATCAATTTATGATTTGATTTGAGCAAAATCCAGTAATTATTTAAACTATCAGCATTTAAAGCATTCACAGCTTCTGTATCATACTGTATGGATTTGTGTATATAGATCATTAGTCCACGGCCATTTTTAGTGTAGAAGGCAATTTCAAAATCTGGTATAATGTACACATTTTTAATATCATTATCTGTTAATGTGCCTACTTCACAAAGTGCAACAACCTTTGCATTCTCCCGAATAACTCGTTGTTTCAATGCCTGAAATCTATACCCTTCATGGGCCTTAATACTATTTATGTTAGAGAACAGTATATTTAACTTTTCAGTAGTATGGGGCCCAGGATGTAATTCTACATCACCACAGCATATTAAATCAAGATTATAATCATATACATATTTGGCACTGAGTTGGAGTATGGTTGGATGTTTCAGTTTGCATGGAAAAATGGCTTGGTGTTCCAAATCCACAAAGTCATACTTTGATACAATATAAAAATGTGATATATTCATAGTTAAAACCTTCAATACCACTCCTAAAAGACATGTCAAATTCAGAAGTTTAACATTTGCGGTTAAAAATTGCACGAAGGTGATTCCAAGTTGGAATATTAAAACGATTCCTTGTAAAAGCGACAAGATAAAATGCACAGGAAGTAATTTAATTTCCAAAGTCATGCTAAAAATCATCAAATTGTACCATTCTAATTTTGGTACATGTTGCACATGTATATGAAAGCACTTTGCATGAAATAATCCTACACTGCACCTGTATGAACTCAAGTCTACTGGCATTTAGCCAATTCCTGTACTTGCAAAACTGACAGAGTAATACATATATTGAGCTATTTCTACTGCTTCTGTGCTA